TGCCGGGCAATACCGAGAAATACAGACCGCTGAGCAAGAGCGCTCATTGGCTGTAGTACAGGCAACCCTCACGTGACATGCAATAAAATACGGTATTGATATGATGTGAAGGCCATCATTCATATCAAGAGTCCATAAACATGCACTCTTGTTCATATTGATATACATGTAGGGCATTCCATTGATTGGTGACAGAAAAAAACAAAAGAAATTATAGCAATAAAAACTGCTTTATGGCAGTTTTCTAAAAAAAGTTATTGTGTTCTAGTCCATGGACCCCGTCTAAAAAGTAAGAAATTAACGAAATGTGATAGCTGAAAATTAAAATTTCACACAAAACCTCACAATAATCACACCCAGAATGAAAAGCTACATGTAGAAGACCTTTTCCCCTCGTGATCCTCTTTCCTATGCATGCATGTTGCCAATTGTTGGTGCAGTACAAGTTTAGTGTTGAAAGCAGCATTTCAAGTGTTGTGATTATTGTGAGGTTTTGTGTGAAATTTTAATTTTCAGCTATCACATTTCGTTAATTTCTTACTTTTTAGACGGGGTCCATGGACTAGAACACAATAACTTTTTTTAGAAAACTGCCATAAAGCAGTTTTTATTGCTATAATTAGTAGTGCATCACCTGCTCTGGGTAGCTCTTGCCTTGGCAGTCCTGCCAACTAGTATTACTTTAGTTTTGACCTTGGGAATGCGGGTTGAGGGATCATTGTGATTTTGTGTAGCAGGGCCTATTGTAGGGGTCTGTAACTGCTACAGAGTAGATCTACAGTGTAGCAGTCTACTACGAGTCGTAGATCTACTCGTACAATGTTTTTTTTGTAGCTGTCTGGTCTACCATGGTCTACCGACGCGCGGGCTCAGGTTAGGATCGAGCCGCTGCTGTCATTCTACGACCACTCGGGACTCTGATTCTGAACAGCAGATGACCGGCTTGCGCGGCCACTTGATATCTTCGGAAAAGATAAAATGCTAGCCTGATCCTTGGAAGGCTAGTGACTGTATCAAAGCTGTCCGATGTACGTCTGGAGGCATATAATGCCTCATGCCTGAGTCATGGCCGCATAGGCATACTCCACACAAGTGCCAGCGCTGAGCGGTTGTATCGTGGTGGTTCTGAAAGAAAGCCCAACGCCAACGGTCCGCATCTGAGACACGCGAGTCGACGACCGTGATCGTCCCGGCTACATGAGCCGATGAGGCATAGTGATCGTGGTGCATATAGCCGTGGTTGGCTATAAAAACCCTGCTATCGCCACGCAAAGTGGTCATTGGCTGCCCCAGCCATGTACTGCAGTATCCGATGTATTGTTTGGAATAAAACTAAAACTGCACTCGTACTACATGCACCACTTAAAAGTCTTTGAGTCTTCGGCACTTGTCGACCTATCTTTTTTTCCGCGGGTCCCTGTCGCGTTCAGACTGCTGCGTGGTCGTAGATCGCTGGCTGAGCTGCCGGTATGTGACGGTGGACCTAAGTCCGTGTGCATCGCGATATCGGTCACCGTCCTTGCACATCGGTCACCATTCACCAAGTCCTTGGACATGTACATCGTCATCGGTCAAGCCGAAAGTGAAAACTGAAACTAATTACTTGGCCGTTCTCCTATGTATGCAAGAGTGTAAAGCCCTGATGTTGCGTATGATGTACACTACAGGAATCCTGTATGATTGTATCATGCTCGTTCGCTGGCCACCAAGGCAAAGGCAAGGATGCCGGCGTTTCATTTCATCGTCCGTGTGCATGGTATGCATGTACACTAGTCATGCCTGTACTACTGAGTCTGTAGTAGGTCACTCATTAGAAGTGTGGTTGTGGCAAAAGTACGATCCTCCCATGAGCTCTGTACAGGGTTGTCCTCAACTTGCACACTTACGACTCGTGTAAACATGCACATGTACGCACAGGCATTCCAGGCAGAGATCACTTCGAAGATGTTAATAATCGTCGAGAACCAACCAACTGACCTCAATGCAAACATTGAACTTTTTCAGGGCTCCATCACCGAAGCACTTGATCACCATTGCCCCGTGAGGATAGTTCCCTTTTCCCCCAAGTATAAACCCGCACCATGGGTCGACGACGAGCTACGTAAACTGCTCTACCGCAGAAAACGAGCTCATAGACTCCTGCTGAAACAGCCGGGTAACCAGCAACGAGTCCAGTCGTTCCGAGCGCTTCGGCGACAGTGCAAAATCACCATGCGCCGTAAGAAAGCCAATTACTTTCAGGCCGAGTTCATTACAACAGACGGAACCCTAGACGTCAGTGGAGCGCTATGAACAGCCTACTTGGCAGAACGAAAGTCAGCCGTGAGCCTGGAGCTAGTATTGCAGACATTATATCTGTATTCTCAGATATAGTTGGGCCTTTGCCGCCAACAGAGACTTCTGACGCCCTGACGCTGGCATCCGTGCCTGATCAACCATCCAACATTCTACCTGGTCTGCCGTGTGGCCCCCAGTCAGACGGCACTCTAGTTTATTTTCCCCGAATCACAGCGGGGGACGTTAAGTTCCATCTCCGTGCTAGCCTATGGACAGTCGCAAAGCAGGCGGTCCTGACGCCATCCGGGATTCCCCCCCCCCCCCCCCCCCCCGCTCGTTTACAAACTTGCGCCCGATCAAATTGCACCAACGTTAGCCTCTCTCTTGTCGTTCGTTATCCCTCGAAACTGGAGAATTTCCAACGCCCTACAAGCTAGCACACGTCCGTCCGATCCACAAACGTGGGGACGTTTCCGACCCTCGCAACTACAGACCCATCTCCCTCCTTCCTCTCATGTCCAAGCTTCTCGAGAGGTGTGCGCTAGAGCAACTTACGCATTACATGTTTAGCGCCAGTCACATGGAATCCCTCCCTGCAGTTCAGTTTGTGTACCGCAAAAACCACTCCTGCGACGATCTTCTCGCTCTGGTGGCAAATGATTGGAGTCAAAGTCTAGACCAGAACGAGTATGTGGCTGCAGCCCTTTCCTCGACATAAAAAGCCTTCGACACTGTCAACTACAGTTTGCTCCTCCAAGAACTGTTCGAGATTGGTGTGTGAGGGGTTGCACTGCGTTGGTTCGCATCATACCTCACTGACCGGCAGCAGAGAGTTGTCACCAAGTCTAGCAGAGGTGCCTGTTATTCTGTCTCCAGAGGTGTACCTCAAGGATCTATCCTTGGACCCGTCTTGTTCAATATTGCTGTCCGCAAACTGCCAGAGTGTGTTGCTAGTACCAAGGTCCGTCAGTTTGCTAACGATGTTTCTGTCTACAAATCCGGAAGGGATCCACAGAAGATCACTGCAGACTTGGCCAGAGACGTTCTGTCAATCCGCAACTTCCTCCGGGACCACGGCCTTAAACTCAACGCGGAAAAGACACAGTTCATCATATTCCGCCCAAAGTCCAAGGCGGTCCCAGCTAATCTCCAATTGTCAATTGACAGCACTTGCATACTGCCTTCAGCCACGATCAAACCGGGGCTCTGCCAACCATGGATGGTTGGTCACTGTTTCCGAACACAGTGTCCTCCACCTTGTTTCATGCTGTCAAACTAACAACATGTGTAAACTGTAAACTATAATAAGGTTTATCTAATACTAGTATTGAAGTAGTGGTAGCGACTCTTCGGCGCTGGTATTAATATATTGGGTTATATAATATTATAATACTACACTGTACTTGTAGTACACGTGCAGTGTGCACATGTGTAGACGTCAAACGCCCCGCCCGTGGCTGCGGCGTCTATACAATGTAAGACTAAGAGTATCTACTCGGGCAGCCAGTGCCATGGAATCAGTAGTAACTGTTACACGACTGTACTACCATCGGCAAATGTACCATCCATGGTGTACAATCGAGTCGTCTCCGAGATTAAGCCCCAACCGGGGCCAGACGGGCCAGAGTCCTGCAACTGGTTCAACCAAAACTGGCAAAACTGCCAAAGGCAAAGGCAAATAAAAGGTCCACCTTACTCACAAAAAATGATAATTATTTAATATATTATAATCATTCGCAGCATGCTAGCATGCAGTATGTAGACTGACTGTACATGTATGTCTGTATGTTCGGCTTCTGAACACGCCCTTGCCTTGGCATTGACCCTTTTGAGGTACCTTGAGTGTCACAGAACCGTCATTGCGTCAACTCTACGTAACCAGCGGGTCCAGACAGATGAAAGACAGATGAAAGATGCTGCCATGTACTACATGTATGTAGTACAGGATTGTCAGTCATACCATAGACAGTGCATTCTACTAGTACATAGTAGCGGTCGGCTGGCAGCCGCCTTGTTGCCTGTTGCAGTGTTGGGATCTGACACTGTGACAGGAGCCATGGCCTCTACAACTGCCAAGTTTGTCAACGCCCTGTCCATGTTTGTTTACACACTGAACCTCGAACTGCAAGTCAATGGAAGACAAACCCGATTTCATTCATTTTGTTGTCCTTTTCGGCTTTCGCCGTGCGTGCCCGGTAGTATCCTTGACCATGACCCAAATGGCTTGTTCCGGTATATCTGCAACTAAGTAAGTTACTTCAAGACGAGCGTCTGTCTGTCCTCCACGCTGTAGTTCCTCCACATCATGCATCAGGCCATATGGGACGGTGATTGCGCTGTCCCGTGCGCAGGTGCCTACCGCCAATGCAAATCGCTCTTCCTCGGCGCTTATCGTTTGCAGACCACACGAAGCTGCGAGTGTCAGTTTGGTTCCGAGGTTATGGGTTCACCAGTCACCTGGAGACTGTTATCTGGCTATCGTGCCTGGAGAGTGGAGTGGAGAGAACTTTAGCATACATTTCGTACAAGGCCGAATTAAAGATGAGCAGCTAAGCCCAAACTAGCTAAAGCTGTCTTCGTAGCTCCCACGGGACTCCTGAAACGCTGTCTCTCAACTATTATACTAGTTCGCATTCGATAATCCCGCGTCGCGTTTGATTTACACCATGCCACCAGATCAACGACGCTACATCAGTACATGTAGGGAGATCGACTCCGACGTCTAGAAGAAAAAGAGGAGCACTTATATTACTATGTAATAGCTGGCTCTGAGAGCCGATTCGCTCTTTGTTTCACTGTGCTGCAGATCAGTCTTGTATGAATTACCGGCTGTGTTAGTACTCATCGTCTCATGTTGGAAGTTTTCGAGTGTTCGTAGATCACCCTGTTCCTCCTGCGTGACATGACTGCACCATTCAGGTGAAAGAGAACGACGAGCGCAAGTAGGTAACTCACTCATTCATAGAGTTTTCGAGCTCAACGTTTCGAGATTCATCATCTCCGTCCACGTAGATAGTTGCGAGTGCTTGGCCCGGGGCTTGAACTTGAAGTTGAAGTAAGTAGTTTGTTGTCAATGTTGAACGACACAACATCACACGCTGCGCAGACCTAGCCGCAGACCGCCCGCCGGTGCAAGTGTGAGTGTGACTCGACTGGTCGGTCCATCGCGGCATCGGCTTCGATCGCTGGTGCTTTTTGTATGCAGATATGCAGATACAAACAGCACAATAGTTTCCAACACTCGGGCGCTGCAGCGTAGGCGAAGACCCAAGACTGCAAGAGCTACTTGTGGTAGTTGTGCCATTTCGGGGGAGGCAAGTTGCTTACAAAACTGGCCTGGTTCGCTGGTCCATTTCTTGGATCTGCCAAAAGCGGCATTGCTATTTTGCACCTTTGACTTGGGTACATCTCTCGCACGATGAAGGGATCGGCACGAACACGGAACAGATAACTGAGCTTGGTTGTGGCTCACTGATTGTCGAAGAAATATTTTATGCTGCAGCTCAGCCGGCTTGGCGAAGAGGAGTTAGATTATTTATGTCGCGACGAGTGGCATCGTCTGTTCCTCATCATTGATCGCTGACTTCCTTCTGTTCTTGTGCTGGTTGCTGCATTGCTGATTTCACTGGAGCCGCGATAGCTATGTATCGCACCGCGCGTCGCGTTTCTGCTGATGATGAAGGCGATGGAATATCGTTGCAAGAAGGAGACAAAGTTATTGTACTGGAGACGATTCGGCATGACGAACGATGGGTCAAAGTTCAACCCCTTCGTCGGGGTGGGAGAGTAGGAGTTGCTCCTCGAAGTTGCTTAGAGGTACGTACGTTAGTTGTTGAGGTCCCTACCCGTCACCTTTCTTATCATCGAGAACTTGCATTTAGAACTCTAAACTAATCTATCCCTTCAGTCTTTGGCTTATGACGTTATGTAATTAGCTACATGTAAGTACTTGGGGTTGATTGCCTTGATGAGTGTAGCCTATTGTTGCCAATATTGGCCTTGGAGCTGGTCGCGTGACAACGAACACCCTTTTTTATTACAGAATTTCAGATGATATCAGATGCTGTGAAAGTTTTAATTACTATTACTTCCACATCATCTGATTCTGAGTCTCTTGTTACTCCAACAACTGCCACAGTACAGCAGGTGACTTGAACTTTGTTGAAGTAATAGTTGACATGTATAATGCCATGCTGAACATGTGCGAATGGCAATGCGACCTATTAGGGAGGTTCTGCTCTACGTTTCGGGAACGCGATGCAAAGAATCACACGAACTCTCTTCGCATTCCCTTAACGTAAAGAAATCATGTTCTGCTCTACGTTCACGTAGAGAAGTCACGTGGAATGTGTACTGGGAATTTCCCCTTCCATATCTGGCAGTTTTCTGCCTGCACTCGAATGATACCCAGCAGATCCGCACGCATTTTCTCTGCGTGTGCCACAACGTAGAGAACCTCATCTACGCGTAGAAATCTGGACCCAAAACCCGCAAAGCCGTAGACTCTAACCCAGACACCTGCTCTCGCCGTGATTTCTCTACGTTTCACGTATAGCAGAACCTCTCTATTGATAAACATGTACCAGGGAATCCTAGCAGCTAGGGAGACGACACAAGACCATAGTACATCTGAATCCATGTACGCTTCGACCCTGGATTTGGAATTCTACGTGATCCATAGTCTATGCAAGTCGAAGTTGTGATCTCCGCCTAGACCTGCTGACCCCAGGTGCTGCCGAGACCCGTGATGCCATATGCGGGCGTGTATAAATCGGCCCTGCCCAAAGGGCGACTACAACGGGCAGCCCCGGGAGCAAAACCCATGTCGTTTCGCGTTCCGGTCGCCCATATCGTCCCGCTACATTCTATGACTCCCTGGTGTGTACTGAGATGCTGGCCTGTGGCTGTGGACTTTAATGTACACGTGTGCGACGATATTATACCAGCCTCCAGATCCGAAAAACGGTGGTTTTAACACTGTAGTTTTGCGCAGTGTTGAAAAAAGCGCATTTGAAAAGTCGAGTGTATTGCATTGAGAGCTGAAAATGCATGCAGTTATTCAAACAGCCATAAGTCGGTGATGGAGGCTCAATTATTATCATTATTATACTGGTGTGGGGTACGAAATTATAAACCATACGGAAGCTTCAATTTCCTCCAAGGTGCGCTGTTATGAATGCAGATTGTTATCGCATTTCACAATAATATTATTGTTCAGTGCCTAAACACTATTATAGAGGTTATGTGAATGATATCATGGTGGTGACAGTGAGTGGAACCGCTTATGGGCATGAGTGCAGCGGAACCGCTTATGGGCATGAGTGCAGCGGAACCGCTTATGGGCATACAACGTGAGTCGCCAGTGAATCGCTAGTGCATCGTTGTGCCGCGACTTTGTCATGTAATCGGATGAACCTCTTTTTTAAAAAGGAAAACGTTATCCACCATACTGTAGCATACGTACCATCATGACATTGGATGGGGAACAACCTTGTTCTAATGTCCTTGTCCATGATTTCCTTTCTTGCTCTTTGTCGGACCCAGGAGGAGGAGAGTGTACGTTTCCCACTGTATGTTGCCCGCAAGTTCGTTGCCAATGAAGATGGCACAGAATTTGCAGCAATGGGGGAGAAGGTGAGACCAAGTTTTTCAGTTTATCTTGATCCTGTCATGGAGAGGAATGCCGTTTTCTGTAGAGTTGGTTTGAAACCCATTTTTACCCAGCCAGGCCAGTTCAGGACTTGCACAGGATCAGTGATGTTAAACTGAACGAGCAGATCTGTGCCCCACAAAATGTTGCAACGGGTTGTTAGCCACAGAAAAACTCCTATATGCCAGATCCTACACTAATAGGCGTCTCAGAGATGAAAGTTTCAACATGGCTATAGTATATATACAAGTAGAACAATTGGCACCAACATACTACCATGAAGAAAATTGTTCCTGGATCTTAGCATTGTTGAAAATTTGGATACCGAGCCAATAATAAAATGTAGAAAGGAAGGAGACACATGGATATGAGTTGTGAGTAACTGACCACTAGTGTAACTAGGTGTTATACAGTCAGAAAGTCCTACAATTAGGCACCAAACGTAACGGTGTACTGAGACATCCAGCGACCTACACACCAGTTTTGTACAATACAGTACTCCTTCTGAATTTATCTTTGATAATTTACTTTCTTGGAAACAACGTTCTTGGGTGCGTGACTCTACTGTATGACCTACAGACATTACGCCATCTCCAAAACCAGCCCTTCGTCAAACACCTGCACAAATCTATGCTGATATACTTTGAAGTATGTTTTGTTGAATTGTGTGTGTGTGTGTGTGTGTATGTGTGTGTTGTGTGTGTGTGTGCGCGCACGCGTGTGTGTGTCTATCTGTCTGTCTGTGTGGTATTTACATGTGCATGTGGCTCCATGCACACGCAGGTCGAGCAGCTGCACAAAGTGTCCGAATATGGTTGGCTGGTGCGACATGTGGACAGTCGGGCGGTCAGTGCAGTGGACGGCCGTGACTTCCTACCTGTTACTGATGATGCCATTATCGATGGCCCAATCACCGACAAGCACTTGCAGACACATTTCTCCAGTAAGAGCTGCCGTCACATAGTACCACTGCTGTGTGTGTTGGGGGGGGGGGGGGGGGGGCGTACAAACGTTAATTATCGGCAAGCTTATAATATTTTTTAATAAGGGGTCGTCGCAAAAGTTTTTTGTCGTCCCTGGTCCGAACATTATTCATTGGGGGTGCGAGCCAAAATCACAAGTTGACCGACACTGTACATAATTATCCATATAAAAACGTATACTGGTGTAGTGCATGCGTGGACTACCCCGTCGTAAAAGTGTGAAATTAGAACTGGTTAGTCACACGGACTTCATTGAACTCCTTCACCCAAATAATGAATTACGTCATCCGAACGCACCAGTAGCACAAGGTTTATATGTATTCATTGACTTTGGCATATCAAGCGGTTGTGGCGGTGTTTGGCCGTCCACGTCACCTCTGTTATTTCCTCACATCCTCTCAGTTGGATCAGCCCGCAAGGCCAGCTCTACATATTCCATCCTGTCCAGCACTTTCACTTCGACATTTCCTGGTGCTTCCTCAGCGTATGCATCAGCGTCTTCGAGAACTAGCCGATTGTCTTTGCTCTCATTCGCTTCCTCCTTTTCTTCAGCGGTATCAGAGAGTTGTGCTATCCTTTGCACATGCGCATCTAAATCAAGGAGATGCAGGTGATTCGCAGTTACTTCCGCGAATGCCTCTGCATATGTTTCACCTTCAAACTTTAGTTCAGCGAAATCACGGAATGGCACATGGAGAAGCAACAGGGTCCAATAATACTTTTCACGCTGGTCTTCAGACCTGGTTGGATACCACACGCGGTAGTTCAGAACTTTGCTACCGGCACGTTTCCGCACGAATCCTTTGTCGTGTTGCAAGGAAGGGGTCATGAGCCTGGCAGCGTCAGCGGCAGACATGTCCAGCGCTTTTAAGTTCTGTGTCTGTTCTTGAGCAAGCACAAGAAACCAGGGCACATACAATGAGCAATGGAATGCATGGGATGTTGAGAGGATTCCCACCAACCACCCATCCTCACTACTGGAGCAGGACATCTGAAAATGCCTCCACGTACGGACGTCGTTGGGTGTTGGGTCCGACATATTTCCATGTTTCTGATGTGCACGGCGTATGGCATACTCTAATTTCAGACATTTTAGGTACAGAAACAGTTCCCTATAACTACCGTAATGTCGCGTGCATTAGCCGGGGCTTATATGCCTATAAGCCGGTGATGGAGTCAGGCTTGTACACAAGACAGGCTTATACATGAGACAGGCTTATGACAAGCACCACTCAATGACCAGGCTTGTATGCGCAAACTGCTGACTTTTGGACGTCAAAACCAACATTTTCCAACGGGATTTTTTTTCTTTTTTTTCGCAAGTGTACGGTACCATGCAAACATGAACATGTAAAAGGCGCGCTCACCAGTCTTGCGTAGTAGCCCGGCTTACGCACGCGACACGTGGCGCGTCTCGTGTACTGGCCCGGCTTATGCATGCGACAGGCTTGTACGCGAAAAGCTGTTGCAGATTTCATGCTTCTACACGAGACAGGCTTATGCACAAATCCGGCTTATGCACGCGACATTACGGTATTGGAATATGTGCGTTAGTGTTCGTTCGGTGTATTGAAATGTTAGGTATAAAACAGACACACCGAAAGTACCAAAAATAAAAGTACAGTAAAACCTGTGACTACCGACCACCCCTTGGTGCCGGCAAAAGCGGTCTTTAGTAGCAGGTGGTCTTTAGTTAGAGGTTTGCACCGCGTGACCATATATGGATCCCATTATATTATGTATGTCAAAATGCAGCTAATACATTTCCCCAGGACTTGCGCAATGTCATTCTTATTTCGAGTCAAACAACACTTGGAGAGACAGACGGAGAAATGGATAGGGACACAGAGAGAGAAGATTAATTGTTTGCAGACTTCAAATAATTTGAACGAAACTTCCCCAGGGAACGTTTGACTCCTGGCTTCAGAAGTAGCAGTCAAACGTTCCCTGGGGAAGTTTCGTTTTGCGCTGGGCTTCAAATTTCTTCATGCGATCAATCGTACCGACTCTCCTTGTTGTGACTCCTCGATTGCTTGAACGCGATCCTTCAGCATCAGGACCTTGTGGTGCTGCTTTGTTTCTGGATTCCTTGATGCCATCGTCGATCCGTCTGTATGACTGGGGTGACAGAGCCGCCCAGTCTTCGTTTCTCCTCCGAGAAGTAACATCGATCAGAGAGCGCTTTCGATGCACTCTCCAAGACGTTTCCTATCATGTTTATTCTTGACAGCGCTTGAAATTTTGACAGGTGTAGTGCAGTCCACACCGACTCCACGGTCACCAGCGTTCATTTGTTCAGCTGTAGTATCGAAAGATTCCTTTCAGGACCATGGAAAAACAGCAAAATTTCAAGAAGGAGCTTCGAGCAACATTTGATTTCCCACATCGCGGTTGCTAGTTACGGGTCAGAAATCGTCTTTGGGACAAGAAAAGGCGGTCGCTGGTCGCGTTCAGCAGGTAGTCGCTAGTCACAGTGCATTTTGAATGTGAGACCTTCCGTGCCTGGCGAAGTGGTCGGTAGTACCAGGCTGGTCGCTAGTCACGGTGGTCTTTCGTTACAGGTTTTACTGTACACCGAAAAATTATGAAATTACAGTACCTACACGTCAGCACTGCGTGAGTGCGTTCTACACAGGGGCGCGCACTGTACTGTTCCACAGTTGCTCCTGACGGTGGCAACTGGCACAAGGCAGGCCTGTAGTTGGTCACGTGTCGACCACGTGTCTTTAGCGCTACACTAATTTTGGTGTCACAAAACTGAAACATCGAGCACCAGTATGGAAAGGCTTTAGACGGAAAGCCTTTCCGATGTACATGAATGTGATTTTTGTCGTCCAGCACAGCAAGCTGCGTTCATTTCAGAGGGAAGGGGTCCCAGAACGAAATGAACGATGTTCATTTCAGGGACGAAAAAGCACTTTTGCGACGACCTCTAATTCATGCATGCGTTTACATGTGCACTTGTGAGCATGTGTGGCTTACGTGTGTAAAATCCTTTGAAAAAGCAGGAGTGCTGCTAAAGTAGTGTTAGTACCTCAAGGGCATGTCTGTTTCTCTGTGTCACTGTTTCAGACCGCTTTGTTGTGGACCGGATGAGTATCCGCAATGGCAGAAAATCACCAAGCGGTGTTAATTGTATAAGCCCAGGGGTGCCGGAGAATAGCCCAGCCGTATCACGCAGCAACGTATCAATACGTTGTAATGACACGCCAGAGTAAGCAACTGCATTCAAATGTGTGATGCTATGTACAATCTCCAGAGCCCAGGAGTTCCTTTACTCTTGCTGTATACTAATACCGGTATCACCTGAAGAGAAGGGCTTGAAAGTACACCATGTTTGGGCCCTCTTTCTAAGTGTTACACGTGTACGGTATAGCACTTTTGTCTGCGAGGAAAATGATTTTAACAGTAGACGTAATTTTCAAAGATTTGTGAGTGAACTGCACAAGTTGAGATATGGCAGTTAGCTGACTTACATGTAGCTCATGGCTAATGCGCTAAATATTTACAACGTTTGCAATGCTTTGTCCGCTGTTCTGCCTATCCCAGGGGTTCTCCTGCGTTTATTCGGAGAGGTGACACGAAAAAAAGTCTCAGGAAGAGGTTGTCAATTCGCAGGGACAGAAGCAAGGTGAGTGTCTCCTAGGCCTAGAGCATCTTGGCTATGAAGTGCTGCTTTTTATTTTTTTACACCCATTTGAGGTGCATGCACATTTATAGTGAAGTGGGCCTGTAGTTGCTGCCTACAGTAAGTGTTGCCATTTACATGTTATCGTCGCACAGAGTCAAGCCGACAAAGAGGAACGAAAGGAGATTCTCGAGGAGCTGGACAGCACCATCTCTGCACTGAAGGGCTCCAAGAACCTTCGGCAGAAGTCGGATGTTCGTGACCTACTTGTGTACGTAGTACATGCATGGTGGAGTGACAGTGCCTGACATATTCATGCACGCTTGTGAGCGCACAGTGCTCGCCCTCTTTCAGGATCTGCTGATGTATTTTCAAGTGTTGGGATCTGCTTTTGTGTCACTGTGAAATTTCACATCAAATGTGACCTTTCCAGATGCAGACGATAAGCAGTTAAGCACTTACTATCGCTCTGTGTTGCCACCTACAGCACTCTGCAGAAGCTTCGTAATGAGGTCAGCAGGGGCAGGGACCTGGACAATGCCAGGACGTTTCTCAACAAAAATGGTATGTCCTACTACCCCTACGATCTTGTCTTATTTCTCATTGCATGACTCACTATTTGGTGTGAGAGAGTGTGTGTGTGTGCATGCGCGCGCGCGTGTGTGTGTGTGTGTGTGTGTGTTGCAGTAAGGCCATCCAGAATTAATTCGTTGTTTCGGGTCACCCGACCGACCGTCCTTTTTCACCCGACCGCAATTTTTTAAATTTTTTATAGTGCATGCAAATGTACAGACTACACTATGTACAGGCGCGACCCTAATAATAGCAGTCCAGATATCGACCTCAGAAGCCGCCATGGCTAGCCAAATGACAGGATGCAGCGCTTGGTGACGACGTTGTCTTCTATCTCCGATCCGCAATCGGTCCTGAAACAGCATCAGCTCCGCCCACCTTGTCGCTATTTACAGAAGTTTTCAAGATGAGAGCTGCTCGTCAGACTCGTTTGCCAGCGAGGCCAAGATCTGGTCCTGGAGGGGACCTGGATCTGATGGGACAATGACTGCGCTGGATTATCTACACTAAAGTCAGATTTGATCGACTGGCTAGATGGACAAAAGCTATTCGATGTACATGTATGCACATGGACGTAAACCAAAATAAAAAATATAATATAATAAAAAATAAACCCGACCGACCGACCCTGGTACGGATGAGTGAAGTGACCCGAAACAACGAATTAATTCTAGGTGGCCTAATGAGGATAACTAAGGATGCATACTTCGAAGTACAGGTACAGAGAAGGAAACTATAGCTTCATTGCTGTTACTCCGAGTTTCATGTGTTAACACTAAAGCGGGATTCACAGAAGCTTTTTTGCGATGCGACGTAATCTGCGACGGATGCGTGCGATGCGAACTCGCGAAATACCATTCACAGAAGAAGTCAGCGATGCGACAACGCCTTGCTGATTTGGCGCGAAGTTCAATGCAGTTCAATTTGCGCTGTTTGGTACAACTTGTACACGTTTATAGGCAACTCTTGAACTTTTGTACAACTTTGCTGTAGAAAATGTCAAAATCGTACGCCAGATCGCTTGTCGCATCGCAAAAGTTGAGCCAAGCTCAACTTCTGCGATGGCCCAGTTGCGGGAGTTGCGTGGGTTGTGAGATGGCTGCGATTTGGGGATTTCCCGGTTTAAATATCCTGGAAAAGGCACGTGGGCGGGCGAAAAAAAACAAAAACAAAAAAAAAAACAGAAGAAAAACAAAACTCCATTCTATGTGTACTGAGCCATGTTGCACTACACTGTACTACACTCAGCTCAGTCTGTAAACTGTCACTTACCAAAAACGATAAAAAGTAGGCACAGCACAGCTGGCAGACTGGGCTGGAGCGATACCGCAACAGATTTCATGGATGGCTTCTTTGACACGAGTCGAATGGAATTCCTCTCCATCACGACGATCTTGGAAAAACCCGGAGTCCTTGTTGACACCTAGAATCTCCGCTCGCTTGGTGAGCAGGCCCTCCCGGACGGCTTGGAAAGAAGTTTCATAGCTCGCACTTTCTCCGTACCATCGCCTAGAATGCAAGATTATCGAGAAGCTGATCTGCCATACTGGCTAGAGAAAATTCGCCAGAACAGCCATCGATTGACTCGCTTGGGTACTTTTTTTCCTTGGCAACGATTCGAAAAGGTACACGGTGACGCGAAACATAGAAATAACTTGGTGTGGCTTACTAGTAACAGCAATAACGCTTTATTAGATTCCCTTCTCTGTGCCTGTATACAGCGCTGCACCTAGGTGCATCGAGGACGCTCTCTCTCGGCAGAACTAACTTACTTCACATCATGCGACGACTCCGTACACACAATCTGCATATTGTGCATGGCAGTTGTGCACAACCCTGCTTTGGGTACACATAACAGTTACAACTCTCCAGTGGTCGCTTTCCACGCACCATTACATACACATGTACACTTCGGCCCGTGACTCTACTGTACGCACAGTAAAAGATGTGGCCATTTCTGACGGACTAGATTTCACTTATACATACATAGTCGTATTGCACTAGTGTACGTGGTCCCTGCAACGCTATGCTCTCAATTTGTGTAATGCCCGTGTCTCTCTTAGGCACCAAGCAAGAAAATGGCACTGAGGCCATCTCGTCCAAGGCACCCCTGGAGAACTCCATCTCAGTACCCATCCCCGATGCTTCTGTTTCTTACGACGCGGCGAGCCGTTCCGAGTCACAGCCATTGGGTGATCTTCCAGCCCCTGGTTCGGTTCTAGATGATGACCCCCCTGACCCATACACAGCTGTTCCGAACGAAGACCAGAACCAAGCACCGCAGGATGGAGCAATCGAGAAGCTGGATGCAGCTGGCAATACCAATGGTGCATCTTCTTATTCAGCATGCGAAAAGCCAGCATCCTATGCATCCATAGATGGTATCCTGGGGTCAAGGGGGGAGGAGAAGACGTCAGAAGCACAAGCCGACGATTCTGACACTTATGCAATTCCCAGGAAGACATCCAAGACAAAGAAACCACCGAAACCCAAAGTGAAGCCCCCACCACCACCAGAATCAGCACCAAAGTGTGGCCAACAGTCCAGTGCAGCTGCATCAACCACTCGCCCAGTGAACGGGAGCTGGACAGCGACTGCAAGCAGTACTAGTCTGCCCACCGTCAAGAGAGGTCAACTCGGCAAAAATCTGGTATGTCCTGTTGGTATTGTCCCGTGTGACTGTATTCTCTATGATCCACACACAAGCAAGTCATGGCATGGCCGGGATTTCCCTACAAGTATTACAGTCATGCAGTAGTCTTCCATAAAATGGAAGTGTTCTGTGCTGTATCCATTACACAAATATAGTGGAAGCGTTCTGTGCTGTATCCATTACACGAATATAGCAGAACACAGCGCTCTATTACATGTACAACAACATTTGAAGACAGTTTACTCTTCCGCAACCAAGAGAGCTTCCTCTCAAGACCCTTCCTATGCTTGCCGCCACACGTAATCACATGGTAACGTGGTCTATGTGAACACAGTCTGACATTACACACACACACACACACACACACATGCAATAGGACTTGAAAGTGATAATGTCAAAAACACTATAATGACTTCTAGGGTCAATTCGGAACGGCTCTGACAATGGCGAAGTACAGTATCTTCTGGGTAGGCCCCTCGTGTCGCATCCTGATGTGACCTTTTTCTGTACCAGTACCAGCAGTGGATGTATCACCCCATTCTGAATCTGCAGTGACTGTGTATGCACTGTGGCCCTGTGTGGAATTATGCGGTACCTTTCATCATGTTCATTTAGCATACTATCACTGCTGTTTACAGGTACCTCTTTTTGGATGGTTGTGCATTGTGCACAAGGCCTTTGTGGCCGAAACAGCTTGCTGTCTACAGCATTGGGCACATACCACTTTTATACAAAGTGTGACATGAGTGGCCTATCCATCCTAGCAACCACTTGTTTATCTGCCTCTAGCTCTTGCTACCGCTGTGTACATGACTGTAGTTATGATGTAAGAGGAAGTGTGCACGCCAGCATGCAGCACCCCATGCCATGACCTACAAGTACAACATGCACAACATTCAGAATGATGCTCATGCCATGGCATACCGCGTACCGTCATACTCACTAGTTAGCTGGCTCAACAAGTGCTTGATCAATGATCAGTGATCTATCTCCAAGTGATGTAGAACCCAGGCATGCAGCACTACTACTACCGGTACTACTACTAGTATTAGTAAGCAGGCATAGCAGTATTGTTCAGATTTGTACAACTGAAATACTCGTCGGAGCCAAAGAGTTCCTTCCTGATCGCACATGGCCAGACGTAGAAACTGTCGCCAGTGCTGTACCTCCACTTGTTAGTCTCGGTGTTTAACGCCCGACGCCGACATTGTCCTACTCCTACTCCCAGCATCAAGGTGCGTTTCAGAACTAGCCAGACAGAACGACAGCAAGTAAAATGTCACTTGCGCTCTCCTGGCCCTCGAGGGCCTCCACGGCCACTGCATGCAGACTGCACTGCCTGTGCTGTACCAGTACTGCAGTGTAGTCTACTGCTGTATGCCTCCTGTTGTTGGTACATGTTCTTTTTGATTTTGCAAGCCTCGTGATCACGTACATGCAGGGTATTTTACGACTCCCTGCGTACATGCATATGCGCATGCTATGCGCGCGCGCGCGGTATTTCGTTTTCTATGATATTTTGATATTTTCGTGTAAAAAATTAATCAAAGGCATAGCAAGAAAGGTTTTTGAATGTAATTATTTCCCTGAACTATTCATTTGCAGAGTGGATCGTCGGGTATTTCTAGTCGTTCATCAGGACACATCAAGAGTCCCCTGTTGGCCCGCTTCGTAAGCAAAGTCATGAGTACTGGTACCAACCCCAAGGAAGTGGCCAAGCGCCTCGTCGAAGATGTGCGAGTCAAGTAAGTCTTATGCGTTTTGTTTGGAGGGTGGTGGTGGCTGGTGAAACGGCTTTAGAGTTGTACGTTGCTACTAGTATACTGGCGGTAGAGTCGATCAATTTTGTACTAGTAGTAGATGGGTTTGGTTCAACTGAGCGTGGGGTGTGTGGCACCATGTCGGGGATTGTGGATCAAGTCAAAAAAGTTATTTTTTATTTGGGGGTGCTCATCGTGGTGATTGTTCGACGTACAGTACATGTACAATAATGTGATGCATAATTACGAAGTAATCTGCAAAGTAATGGGCGAGTAACTGTCTTACTCTTCCACTGTAATCACATACTAATTATACAGTCAGAAAGTGTGACAACTAGGCACAAAACTGACAGGTTATACGACCTGATCTGCGCTCTTTGGTCTTGCTAGCACATGATTGTAGTACTTTGCAATCTTGCCACTCACATAGGAAACTCCTCCGCATGAATATGAACAAGAACAAGAAGGACCTCGGCCGGTACTGCACACTCTCAAGGCGCAGATATTTTCCGTGGAAAAAGGAGGGAATGGCTAGTTAATGGGGTAGGATAATGTACTCGGGCAGTTTTGTTGACTCTCATTCTCTATTTGAGACGCCTTGTTGGTAGCCTTCGTTGCCACCTTGGCGACCCGAGCTTGTTTTATTTATTCACACGCATTGTTGGGCTCCTTGGAAAGCACAGCCGTCAACTTCAGCACTGCTTTTCCATGCTGTGGAGTTTGAGTCTCAAGTATAAACAGAACTTTGAATGCTGTTCCGAGGAATCAAAATTTCCCTTTTGGGCAGGTTCAAGTTTAAACTTTACTTGATCCTTGAGCGTGGTGGTGCTCCTGCAGATGCGGAAAACTTAGTCTGACTGAGTCGCGCGCGCGAGCCGTGACATTTTTACTTAACTAAGGCTGTCATCACACTACGGAACAAAGCGCTGCGTCTACGTCCACGTAAGGAATTTTTGGTCGGTTGTGATGATCCATGTACTGGGCGAAAACGGGAGCAGAGGAAACGGGAAACGTAGACGCGGTAGGGCGAGAGAGAGGGGGGGGGGGGGGGGGGAGGTATACAACTAGGCCCATTGTCCTCGAAATCAGCTGTGTGCTTGGAATGATGGGCACAGCCAACCAGGCGAATAAACGCAAGAAACCCATCTTCTGATTCGGTGTCACACAGCTTCAGGGACACCTTCAGCTGCAGTGTTGCCAGTAATGAAGCTAGCGTACCTGCACAATGTGCTGAAGAAGGTTTTGCCCAGTGACCGGAAAAAAATGATACGTAGTCAGTACTTGTCGCAACCCGTGGCGATGAAGGTAACCTGAACTGTGAGTGCCTTCAGATTTTCCGGAATACATTGCAGGTCAGGATCGGTGGTGAAGCTACTGGACAAGCTCTTGACACTGGTGAAGCTGTGCTCTTGGCTGCCTGACATGTCTAGCTGCGCAAAGATGGTCTGATTAGTGAGAAGTGGCAAACCGATATGGAATGTATCTGTGTCAGGACTAACGACAAGGCACTGCTGGAAGTTGATCTCCACCATGGCTTTCAGAATCTCCATCCGCTCCTTTTGTTGCTTGCTAGGTCCATCGACGACAAGGCACTGCTGGAAGTTGATCTCCACCATGGCTTTCAGAATCTCCATCCGCTCCTTTTGTTGCTTGCTAGGTCCATCGACGACAAGGCACTGCTGGAAGTTGATCTCCACCATGGCTTTCAGAATCTCCATCCGCTCCTTTTGTTGCTTGCTAGGTCCATCGCTGTGGCTGGCTCTGCTGCTCCTTTTGTCTTCTGTTATCTCAGAAAACAACTCGAAAACAAACAAACAACTCCTCTTTAATGTTGTGCAGCACATGCTCACGATGCGGCAAATAACATGCAAGACGATCAATATATTTTGGACATGGGTGTACGATGGCTGCCTTCAAGTCTTTGTTTATGCACATTTCATGACATTCATCCAGGCCAATTGAGTTGAAAGCATTGATGACAGGCTCACTGAGAATGCACCAGCTTGGGACTGTGTTTTTATCGCCTCTGGCATGGATGCAACATGTGACAAGTGGTGAGGAAGCAGCCGCAAGTAATACGTCCTGTCTATGCGTGAAACAATGGGGCCGCTGCTTTGATCGCAGATATGCGCAGATCGCAATTTCCACTGCGAGCTGCTGCCCAAAGACTCATGTATGCCATCATATGATCGAAATAGAACTCCTTCCAGAACCTCCATATGTCATCACTCTCAGCCATTGATGTTGCAAATTCCTGCAATTGAGAATGTGTCACCTTTGGGTTCCCACATTGCTGGAGTATGATTCTTCCAATTTGCTTCATGGGCAAGGAGTAGGAACTCATGGTACTTGCGGAAGTTGCTGGCTTTCTCCAATACTGACAGCAAATCGCCACGGTAGCCCATTGCTGATGCCATTGACTTCAATCCTGCATCCCAGTAAATTTTCATGATTTAGTTGCCCCCAAGAGTGTGCAACTCCTGATACCCTCCCTGTCTATGGGGTTCGCTGACTGCGAAAACTCACATCACGTGGTACAGTGTTCCAGTTGTACTTCCTCCGCGTCATTAAAATTGTCGCTTCGCACATCGCAATATTTGAGACTTGGCTCGTCTTAGTCAGACTGTCGGAATCGCTGTTTTCTGTGTTCGAACACTGGTGCGACCCTTCCTGCGCAATGTCTACTTGTCACTGAAGCCGTGGTGGTCTCGGACTTTGTCGGAGCTCTCTTCCGCACCAAGCAAATTCATCGCGCTCCGCACTATTCCGCCCCAGAGCGCATTTCGTTTTCTGGAGTTTGTGCCGTCCCACATCGTTCGCATGGGCATATATCAAGACTGCACGCTTGGGTATAAGAACCCTGGTATCTTTCCTGAATACGAAATGCTGAAGTTGACGATGGCAAGAACAAAGCGGTCTCAAATTCCTAAAATGGGCTACTTGTGGCGCATGTGGCTGCGAAGGTAGCAGGTCTGAAAACACCAACAAAATCAGCGAAGCGCTTGCCAAGGAAAGAAGGTGCGAAACTGCTTACCCTATCCCGCTGGAAGGTCGTTACAGTGTACTTGAAAAATGCTAGCTTGCCTTCATCGCCTGCCACCGGGAGGCATGGATCGCTTGAAAACGAAGTTTCTTGACCTGAATTTGACCGCGCGTCTTGTTCAGCATATTGTTGAGTGCTGAAGGGTCTGTCTCAAACTCTGATGAAGACGTCAACCTTAGCTGCAAGTGCAGAGAAGCGGGGGGGGGGGGGGGGGGGGGCACAAACTAAAGCTTGGTCCGTCGACAATGCTCTGCCTCAATTTCTAGCTGATTTCTTTGCCCTTTGAGTGGACAAAATATATTCGAAAAATCGCTCTGGGAAGCGACAATTTTAATGACGCGGAGGAAGTACGTTTCCTACCAGTTTTTAGCGAGCAGCGGAGTAATAAAAAATGCACTCTATGTCGGAAACTCACTGTGCTTATGCAACTCGCCAGCATGATCATGGCAGATATTCGGATTGCGCGCACACTATCCTTCGTGTGTACAAACGTACCTAGGACACGTGATGTGCGTTTTCGCCCTCGGGGACCTCATATCCGACATATGCAGAGTTGCACACTCTTGGGGGCTTATATACTCTTGATCGTACATATACCATGTACATAGTAACCACCTTTGCTGTTGCAAACTCACTGCGTTCGTTCTTTCTTTTTTTACCCGTATGTCTGCGGCTTTAAAGTCACGGCTTAATTATATATTCGAAACACCACTGCTTTCCTGGACATTTTAGATTCGAAATTACCCACCTACTATGCCATGGCGTAAAAGTAAAAGTCCACTCAAAAACTTTAACCAGTGAATACAAAATTTAATCTTAATCGTAAAGCCTGTACATTGGCTTGAGCGTTAAATGCGGCTATAGAACATTGATCATTGCAGATGGCTGGTGCTTAGACAGCCTCTGCAAATGGACTCTCATTTTGCACTGCGTTGTCCCCGGCTTGTATTGCCAGAGCTGATCGGATGGGCTTTTTCACGAGTCATTTTTGTGATCAATATTGTTCTCCTCGCACCATGTGTTGCAGGACCGGGAGCAGCTTTGATAATTCGTTTGTAGCGGCCAAGACTGTGCTGGAGCACATGAAGGAGTTTATCCCGGATAAGACCAGTGAGATTGAGGAGCTCGAAGAAGCACTGGACCAGCTACAGGTAAGGCATCTGGCCTGAGTGGGGTTGAGCAAGAAACTTGTACAGGGCGGCTGTTCCTTTCTCTATGGTAGCAATCGATGTAGCTCATTTCAAGTGCTTTTGACTAAATTGCAATTACATGTATTTTTCAGCATCAATATCAGATTCTTTGTGATGAATAATTGGATTCTCTCCCATTTGTTTTGTATTAGTACTTTGGGGTAGGCTGAATGTGATATACAGAGCAGCGTATGCTGACTACTCAAGGCAATCCGATTGCGTTTGCAAAGTTTCAAGGCTAAACACAATGTGTGGTTGTGTGCATTGTGCTCCTATCCAAGAGCGGTAGTACGACTGACGGAAGCAAGGATACGCACGATGGAAATCGCCTGGACGTTATCTTCGCCGAGCTGACAACGATGCGTAATGACGGACAGCAGCGTAACTGGACCGTTCACGATGATGCCGACGTCATCACAGAATATCTCGAAGAGCTTCTCTCTATCCTGGTAGGTCACAGACTGTCTGCAAGGTGTTGGAAGGCTTACCTCACATACATCTGAATCGAGCGGTCCTAGTGTGGAAGTTGGGCCGTTCTTTTAGAGAAGTATTTTCTACGGTACATGTATACTGAGCTAGTACTGTGTCTGCCACCATTCTACCGGTTTGATAGCTTTTGTGTCTGTGACCATGGCCAACCTTCTGCCTGTGACGGGTCACCTGCAGTCGCCCAATGTTCACATTGCGTTCCTTTAGAGCCACAGCTTCGTTTCCTATAGTGTCTAACCCTGGTGCGGAATCTCTATTGAGTTTCCGAATGTATTAATATTTTTATATATATATTGTTTTTCATGGATGCAGTGAATGGGATTTCGGTCTTTGACCACTTTGTGGTGGGTCTGATCTACTCACCTCCCACCGCTTAGGAGCTGCATCTGCGCCTTGATCCAAGAGGGTGGTGGCGTTCCTGCGGATGCGGAAAACTGGGCCTTTGGCCGAGTCTCACGCGAACCGTGAAATTTTTTTTTAATTATATTGTTTTTCGTGTTTATCATGTTCTCCAGTCCGAGGCGGATCAAGTATTATGTGCACACAAAGTGGCGTATGATGATTATGCCATTGTCACCACTCTAACTGAGTACTACCAAATGGTAAGAGAAATAGCATTGTGCCACACAGTGCACCCTGCTCGTATTTCATGTTTGTTTGGATCTGGCTTTGTGTCATGTCATCCTCATACCAGTAGTATACGGCTTGTCAAAACTACTGCAAATTGAGGGGGTTCGACGTGTTTAATTGTCAACACTTTTCAGCTAAGCCAAACCAGTCCAGGGCCCAGGTGGCTGAATTTACTCTGCATATGCAAGGGCTATGGAAATTGAAATTTGAATTTTGCCGTACAACCCCAACAGATCTAAATTTGACTCAGCTGAGATTTGAATATTATTTCCACCGTGTGTTTCCTTTAATAATACCATTGTTGGTTTGTTTTGAATCGCTTGTCTGGGTGGTTTCTATTAAATTCTGTGCTTTTCGCGTTCTGAAACTATTTCCCTTGTTTCTCATTCATCCTTCAGGAAACTCGAGTGCCAATTCGACTGCTTCTGTTGAAATTCTTTGGAGGCCTGTGTAGTCTGGACACCAAAATCCCATCTGTTCTGCTTACGTCCAACCTACCACTTGAGTTGGCACGCGACATTAAAGCCGACACAGCCGGTACGGTTTCTATTGATGTGGTTTGCCTCTGTAATCGCAGATTGTTTCAGAGAATTTGATTCTCAATATGTGATTCTCCATGCTTACTACCTGTGTATTGTTTAGTTTGGTATCTCCTTTAGCTTGTAAGTTTCATGTCGTTGAGCACGTGCTCTCCATCTACTTCACACTGTGCTCTTTCTTCTTTTTTATTACTGTTTCATCCAATCTGCTCTTGCAGAATTCCAAAAGACGCTGTACTCCTGCTTGGTAGGCACGATGATGTTCTCCTCCGGTGAAAAGCCTCCATTCAACTACTATGGTGAGTTGTTTGGTAACTTAATTACTAATCAGGGATATCTATTTCTCTCTCTCTCGCTCTCGCTCTCTCTCTCTCTCTCTTCTGTGTGTGAGCAGGTCCTTGACATGAATTGTTATGATTTCTGTATGGTACTGTAAAAGCCATATATATAACGAAGTGCTAACTCTAACGAGTTAACGAGGAGAAATCTGTCGTTAAAATAGAAATCGTTATACAGAAATCGATACACATACTGTCCTATTGAGCGTTGAGAATGAGTGAGGATCGTTACCTTTGGTACACATAAACTAGTCAATTTTGGGAAATCGTTATATATGCGCCTCGTTAGAATAATGGCTTTTACAGTATGCACATCCACGAATCTTGACTTGCTCTCCTGTTTTAGTCTCTGTCTACTTGCATACAAAAATGGTGCACTATCTCAGATGTGTTGATTGCGCTGTTCCTCTGCTTGCAGAAACATGGAACACCGACTTCATGCTGTTCTTACTGGATCTTGTTGAGAACCCATTGGAAGAGGATGAAGAGGAGCGGTTACTCGACTGTGTTCTGGGTCTTGTGCTTGGCTTCAACTACCACTTCCTAGGTATGCGTCTATCAGATTTATAATGGTGATACTTACCAGTGTGTATTCTCCATGCTGTGCAGCGAATGCAGCGTTGGTTGTGATCATTTGCTGGCATAACCGTACTGATTTATCTCTTTGTCTTGGTGCTGTTTTTGCTTGCATTTCCTTGTGCCCGATTATGCTGTGCAGCGAAACGCATATAATCTGATTCTACCAGTTTGAGATCTCTTACTGCATTTGGCATGTCCTTGCCACCATAGACTGACTGCCGTAATACGGCCGCGTGGGGGGGGGGGGGGGGGGGTGGAGGTCGTACACACACACCAATTTCAGAAGTACGTTGTTTCTGTTTGAAGTAGCATACAATGTGAGGTGCAGGCATTTTCTCTTTTCCGAAGACGATCATCCCCCAGGCTTTGGCAAGTCAAAAGAGTGTTATCTAGAAGTTCTTGTTGTAACCTTCTTGGCTGTTCTGGTTGTTCCAACTTTGCACTGCTTGTAGATATTGATGTTGCAAACAACCACGTGATGAAGGCACTGCAGGCTATGCCAACAACACGCAACTTCTGTGAGAAGGTGCTGCTGATAGTAAACCGAGAAGGTGCGGTTTGTGTGTGTGTGTGTGTGTGTGTGTGTGTGTGTGTGTGTGTGTGTGTGTGTGTGTGCTCTGTTGAGTCGGAAAGCTGGGAAGGGGGGGGGGGGGGTCTAGCCAACTAGACACGGCACTTTGCTTTCTATGAATGTTGTATATCGTAGTGTTTGGACTCAGAATTGAATAGATAACAGAGCTGGTCACTGTTGTAAGAAAGTTCCCATGCTCGTATAAATGGGTGTAAACAGCGGGTATAACAACGACCTGGCGGCCGTTTGAATGCATACTTTCAACCTCACGAATAGCGACAACTCGGCGCGCATAACAGCACTTTTGTCACGCACGATCGAATGTCGTTATTTGCAAGGTTGACAGTAGACGATGATACTTGAACATCCTGGCTTGTATGTTTGTCTATGTTTGGCTCAAGTGGTCAATCAGCCGAAAGCTTTTTCATAGATTCCACCTTGTAACTCGGCCTGCCTTTCTTGCCATGTTCATGTCTATCTGTGCAGAGGATCCAGTGGCCCTGAGCAAGCCGCTTGTTCCTGACTCTGTTCTGAAGTTGCTGAAGGACATGTTTGCCGAGCGCAGCACGGCATCTCTCTTCTACACATCCGATACGCATGTGTTGATTGGCATCGTGGCACGGCAACTGAATGATCTACCGGAAGACAGTGAGGTAGGTGCAGAATGGTTCCAGCGGACTACTTGCTTACTTACTTGCTATGTGTTACAATTGTCTAACTAGCATTCTACAGTGAAACTTCAGTGTAAAGTACATAACATAATTATGAGATAACAAGCGAAAGCGGGAAAAAAGAAAGAAAGGAAAACATATGGGATATAACGCACTGTTTTTGACGGCCCTGCAATGTGCTATACTATACCAGCCCTTGCGTACACGGTGCCTCTGTTATCATAAGTACCGATTTGTACAGCCCTTGCAGGTGTGTTCTACTGAAGTTGCACTGTACATGTATGTTGTGTGCCTTGCACTCTGCTACAGTACGTGTAGCATACATGCTTGTGTAGCGGATTTTCTTGGACTCTTGCACTCGGCCCTTACTTGCAGCTTGTGCTTGCCGTTGTGCTGACCTGTTTCTGGCACACCTTTACTTCCCAAAGATCTAGTCTGCTGTGCGTGCAAGATACACACAGCAAGTGTGCAACTACATGTATGCATATCGGTTGACTGGACTGTGTACTGGGCACTTGCTTTTCTCAATAGGCGTTCACGCGTTGGTTGGCTAGAAAATGGAATAAGAGTGTTGACACGCGGCATCTGGGCGTCTGCAAGGGTAGTGGGCACTTATAAGGGCTGTTACGGTATCCTGACGTCAAAATGACATTCTGGTTTATATGCTCTTGATTTGTACTCGTCACCTCTGTTTAGCTCCGCTATCATTACTTGCTGCTGCTGGAAGAAATGGTGCAGACCACTGACTTCAACACTGATCAATATGGCAAAGAGGAAATTGCTACTGCTCTAGTGCGTATTGAAGAAGGAGAAGTGGTCGAGGCGCGGAACAAGGACACCATTACGCGGATACGGAGCCTTGCGCCGTCGCTAGCTGCAAGCTAAATGCCGCAGCGCTCACGTGAGTTGATCTTGATTGTTCCTCTGTGCTGTATCTATCGACTTGCTGTCTCATTACATTTGGTTACCTTGATTTCATCCCCTAGCTGTCTGCTGTGCCTTCACTTGTATATATTCTGTTTTCATAAAAGGTCGTATGTTTCCGGCCTTGAAACCCTGTCAATTTGATTTGTTTATCACTGCACATATTCTATGCTTTGATTTGTTTACCACTGCACATATTCTATGCTTTGCAGAGCGAAAGTTCCTGAGAAAAATTCTAGTTTTTAACCCAAACCGCCTCAAATTTATTTATATCACACCAATTTGCTACGTCCATAATGCCCTTGTTCGTCCCTTTCATGCGGAGCATACAACCATACTTCACCCCATAGTTCATTTGTTCGCCGTTGTATTTTGCTATCTTCTTGGTTGCTTGATTCCCATGGCACTTCTGACCCTTTTCCTGGTTGGTTTCAAGTTACCAGGACGGCTTGTGTGTTTATTTCTTTCGTGTGAGTTCTGTAATTGTGTTATTCATCCAGCTTCATGACCCTTTTATTCACTGACTTATGCATATCTATGAACTAGATAAATTTGCTGCAAATTCACAACACAGCCGTACACCATTTGACTCACTCCTCTAGTATGAAATTAGGTGATATTATCATTGTTGTTTAGCCTCCATAGCTTTCGTATTGATTCTGAAATTTCTATTCTGCCAGTCACGTGACAAATGCAAGTGTGTTCATGTATGGTACGGTGTGGTCACCGTGTGTGTGTGTGTCCGATGCGCTCCGTGTGATGTAGACAGGGTGTGCATTGGGAGTCGATTCACATGGCTTCGCTAGTTGTGTGTATTGGACAGTAATCTGGCGCTAGTCTTGATCTGTTTCATTCAATATCGGATCCGCTGTCGTTACTATAAAGAGAAAATCTGTGGGTGCACATCCAGTTATCCAGTGCATCTGCAGGTTTGCGTGCTTCTCTTGCGACAGGCGGACACATGGTGCGTGTGTGCACGGTTTGTGTGTGGGTGCGTGCATGTGTGTGTGTGTGTGTGTGCGTGCGTGCATGTGTGTGTGTGTGTGTGTGTGTGTGATCTGCTGCATTTTGATGCCATGCTGTGCATGCACGGATTCTTCAGGCCTGGATTGAATGCTCCTTTGCCCTTGCCTGCTTTGGTTGAGCTGGCGTGTCCACTTCAATAAAAAGTCCAATGTATGTGGATCTCCGGAGCTCCACTGTACTCTGAACCAGGGAGTAGTAAGGCCGAGTAAAAAAAATTACTAGATGATCGTCCTTTTTTTTGGAAAAATCGGGGAGGGCGGGAGGATTTTATTTTTATTTTTTTACTTTTTACCCTCTCATGCACACAGTGTACACCAGGGAGTCGTCAAATACAGGTATTTGACGACTCCCTGGTGTACACAACAACATCAAGGTTTTTTTTCTCTTTTTTTCTTTTTTTTTCTTTTTTTCTTTTTCTTTCTTCAGCAGATCGATACTGACGTTGTGATATACTAGTAGTATGTGGTCCATATAGTAAAGAAAGTATTAAACAAAGCGTGCACATGTTTCCTGCATCCGCGATCGGTAAAAAACCAACGATTTCGGCAAAAACTCACGATTTAAAAAATAAAATATTTCTTGGGGCGCTGACAAAAACTGGGGCGGACGGGGACGATCATCTAGCTTTTTTTTTTACTTGGCCTAAAATACATAATAATTATTAAATTTTGTATTTTACTACTCCCTGCTCTGAACCTTCTGCCAATGTCATTCAGCTGTTTTACAATGATTATGTAGATATACTACTATAAATAATAATATTTATAATGTATGCAGGCAAAGTACATGAAACCAGGGAGTCGTAAAATACCGGTATTTTACGACTCCCTGCATGAAACCTTTTCATCAGGGGGTCGTAAAATACTTACGACTCCCTGCTTTTCATGTCTTGATACAGGCCAGGGGGTAAGCTGCCATGTCAACAGTAAACACTGTCAATGTTGTCATGACAGTTCACCGCTTTTGCCGGGATTTTCAAAGCATTCAAAACTGCATCAGCTGATCGGTGCAGTGGAGCGTAAAATGCGTATGGACCCTCCACCCGTAAAGGCAACATGCACTTTTGAAAGGCGGCCACATGCCTTGGTTGATTCATGGACTTCGTTTCTGGACTTTTGTTTCTGTTCATCGTTGCCCAAATCATGTATCAGCTGATTGAGCTCATGAGGTCAAAAGTTGTAATTTGTCGTAAATGAGCACCGCGAACAAATTTTCTGGAGGTTCCAAAGTGTGTGAGCTACAAAAAAGAACGGCTTTGTTTAGTTGCCTGGAAGACGTACAGGCAGGATTAGTGTTGTAGTTTTGCTGCATGGTTAGTTTATCGATACTGCATTGGTCAATTCTCTGTATTTTATCAATATGGAGGAGCAATGGTAATATATTATTGATTTGGCAAGTGACGCGGGGACACGCTGAGATGCTGAGAACCCTCTGTCTACACTCGTATCAACATGAAGAGAACCCCGTCAAAACGTCCTCAGTTCCTTGCCACACGTCAAGTGAGTAAAATTTCTCTCTCAGCCATACTTTCATTTGCTTCAAGTCATCATGCATTTGCTGAGAAATCCCAATTATTGAACCACATTCTCAAATTATCACAAAGAGTATCATGCTAGCTTGTCAGTTTGAATTGAATTTTCATTACTTGTACCTGGAAATCGTTGTAGGCGGTCTGTTTGTCTAGCAATAGCAACACAACACATGATAGGCAGAGGAGTGTGATTCTCATTGAGCACTCTTCCACTCACTCTAATACATGTATACAGTGAAGCTGTTCAGAATCGAGTACACTGGATGCTAGTATAACATAACGTGTCTATGGGGTGTAAACTATAAACGGTACTATTTTTGAAGACCTTCATTATACTCCAAGAGTCCATAAACAAGAGTATGCAACTGTGATCTCTTTTCTATGGGCCAGATGCGCGGCGCGCTGCCTTCATTACATCATTCAGCTGCAGTCCGCGCACTGCGGGAAATCAAACACCGCACTCTCCCTCTGGTTTGAAATGAACTTTCCTACGGAACTGGAGTTCATGCGCCAAAATTTCAAGAAATTGTAGGTTTGAGTACATGCTTTCAGAGCGTGATGGAGGCAAATTACATAATAAAGGCAGCGCGCCGCACATCGACCCATAGCCACAGTTGCATACTCTTGTTTATGCACTCTTGATACTACTGATAGCAATCATTTGACCTCAGATATATAGTACCTCATCTATGAAACCTCACTCCTCAACTCCAATAACGGTTACTTTGCTGCGACTCAACTCAGTAATGTTTTTAAGTATTGAATTGAATCGCAGTAAAGAGGCTGTTGTTGGAGTTGAGGAGTGAGGTTTCATAAATGTGTAAGTGGCTGCGTTGGAGTTAGCGGACAATAAGAAAAATATACAGTACCAGAACTCACAGGTCGATCAAAGTCACCACGTTTTGGTTTCCGCCGCAACTGTCCGGAGGAAGTACTCAATAAGCTTCGCTTCATAGAAAAGTGAGTCTTGAAAACATGGCGCTTGGTTTGGTTGGCCTCAGTCTGTGAAGCCTCTACTAGCTACTAGCCTCGCCTGTATCATCCGACCTTTAGCATGTGTAGAGAAAGGGGGCAAAACAATGACACAGGCTCGAGTACAGGGCGGGTCAAGAACCACCTTTCCATCCCCACTAAACCGCCCAGAAACTGAGTACTTGTCCATCACTGGCTAAAGTCATCCTCAGCCGGAATCCAAAAGAATTTTGCTCTCGTTGAGTTTGGTGTGCCTCTATGCAGTGCGTGAAACACTGCTAAGATGTCCTTTAATAGAAGGGCATCTTGGCTGGGTTGCGTGCCAATATGTTGATGGTGTGCTAGTAATGATGTCATAAACATCACTGCATGCAATCTCCAGGGCAGTACTTCTACTGACGAAGAGTGCCACGACTGCCGCCACAGATTAGCACGTCCGGTGCTTCACCCCAGCGCAAGTTACACACCCACCCGGAAAATTGGCTGAATTGCTAGACATTTCTAGACTTATGCATGGAACACTCTTCATGGAAGTCATTTTACCATGTTTATACGTAGTAGATAAACTATTTGTTCAGAAACCAAATCCAATATAAGTGTAATTATTATGCATGCATAGGGTGTCCTGCTAACTGCACCTGTTAGAGGAATAGGCAAGTGTCCTGATTGTGAACTGTGTAACATCTCCGTTGAGAACTCGTGTGGTTGGGGCTGAGAAATCTGTCCTGAATGTGGGAATGTCTACTTGGGGAGGTTCAGCACGTGTATGGAAACTTCAGTATACCATACAAGTACGTCCAAGGCACATCAAAACCAGTACTGTAATAGCAGAAATTTTCGGTGGTGTTTTATTTTCGGTAACTTTGGTGGCGAAATTTTTACCGAAAATAAAACGCACCGAAAATGCCGGTATAGTACTAGTACAATTACCTGGAACGCGGGTTTACCGAAAATTTCCCTCCGCCGAACCGCCGATTTTGGAGAATACCGAAAATTTCTGCTTTTACAGTACTGTATTTTCCAGAGTGTAAGCCACAACCCCCAGTTTTTTTGCCTCGAAATACAGATATCTATCCTATTCATCACCGTTAATTTGATCATCGGAGTATAAGCTGCACCACCCTTTTTTTGGCTGAATTTTGAGTGTTCAAAGTGCGGCTTATACTCCGGAAAATACGGTACTTTTTAACCGAGATTCTCGATGTTTGAGGTAAAAGGATTGGAGCGGGATGTGGAGTGTCTTCAAAAAGTACTTTGTATGCGATGCATAGTAAAAACGTATGTTATATCCAGGGTCCTTTATGCTGACGTTTCTCTGTGTTACGTAGGGTCACTAGACACTGTGCGTGTGTTGGTTAGCAATCCCCAGTGCCCTGGCTCAGGTCGCTTTCTTGCCTTTCTCTTTTGCTGCTGCAGTGGAACCACATTGTCACCTCGTTCCAGGACCACGTACCCATCAAGCCCGTGCGCTATCGCCTGCGTCTCTACTACCATTGCTTCACGGGCGCGCAGGCCGTTGCCTGGCTCAAGCAGTTCTTCAATGAAAGCGGCGGCTATGGCACTGTAACAACCTCCCAGGTACGTGCACAAGCAGGGACTGAAGCAACGATAGCCCGGCATGTCAAACCAAATTTTGTAGTAAAAGTGACGAGCACCGTTGTCACTAGAGTTGTACTCACCAGTGGTTAAAATTAAATAATAAAAAGCTTACAGACCTGTTTAGTTGTTTGATACAGTACCCCAGTCACCGTTTCGTCATCGGTCTGGATGACTTGAGGGCGTCTATCATATCAATTGCACACACCGGTAGTAACTATTTACACCGAGGTAGGTGCAAGTGCAGCCAAGATTCTCCATACCGAAATGGTAGAGCCTGGTCAGATACATCAGCATACACCAATGGACAAGATCGGTTTGTCACAGCTCCAAGTTTCATGCACTGCACAGTCTTCAGGTGACTGATACAGCATGTTGTGCCTAAGTTTATATTTACTCTGTGTTTGTGCTGGGTGTGTGCATTCTAGGTGGAGAAGTTCTGCCAGAAACTGCTCGAAATGGGCATCATTGTGGATGCTGTCCGCGGTCTCAAAGGCAACCGTAAGTTTAGTGAATCTGGTGGCCGCACTTTCTCAGCTGGACCTCAGCCATACTGTCTTACCGAGTCGGTTTTGAAGGGCAGGATATCGCAGAAGAGCTCTCAGCAAAGCATTGGCAGTGCATCATTGAAGCGTAGTGACTCGGTGAAAAGCTCGCACTCCGTGCGCAGCAAGAAGTTGACGTGCAACAACCACATGGTCAATGTACAGTTGACGACATCTCAATCATCGGTGAATAGCCTTGGTGGGCTACCTATGCGACGCTCCTCTTCGCTGCCGTTCGCTGTTGAAAACCGCATCGACGACAAGACCATGGTGTCGGCACCAGTACTGCCAACTCAGCAAGCCCCAGCTCAACACACTACCAGTAACGGATCGGTTTTCCAAGAGGCGCAGCCAACTACTAATGAATCAATGCTCGCATCAGCGCTCCCTCCCCTATGCCGTGCAAGGGCCTTCTCTTCAGCACCCTCCTCAACTGTGGCCCGAGCGTAAGTACCCATAATGACAATCTAGATTGCAAATCTGACATGAAATGTTCTGCTTTTCTGACTTAGTCCCTTTGAAGTACAGTCGTGGCAAGTGAAATCCGACACTTGCCATAGGGGACAGTGCCACAAATGGACATCAATGATGTAATGCACTGTACCAAATGTGTACAATATATAGAGCCGTTTGCATCCCGCACAGGTTGAAAGGTCACAGCGTAGATACACACAGTCATGGTACACATAAAGAGTATTGGTATCTAGTCCCCATTCATTTTTGCGAGCACCTTTGAACCTTGGAGGTGAACCTTGACTGTGACGAGTACGATTACTGTCATGAGACAGATAAAAGTTGTATGTAACACATGTACTACGTATGCAGGGCTAGCTGCACACTGCATGGTGTAGTCCCTAATGCCAAGTGTCGGATTTCACTTGCCATGACCTGATGACTGTAGATATGCCGTGCAGTACACTCTCGCTTATCCGTGCTTCAGGTATCCTGGGCTGAACGTACCTGCACTGTCACGATGCCTGTAAATTTTGAGTCAACTTTACAATATTGGTACTTATTTCAGGTGTAGACTATGTGTCAAGACTTTTCTAGTGTGTGTAATCTGTATCTATAGAGAGCTATCACAATTTGCAGAGTGACAAGATCATTTCTGATCTGCTGTTAGATGCTGTATGTGTGTGTGTGTGTGTGTGTGTGTGTGTCTCTCTCTCTCTCTCTCTCTCTCTCTCTCTCTCTCTCTCTCTCTCTCTCTCTCTCTCTCTCTCTCTCTCTCTCTCTCTCTCTCTCTCCCTCTCTCCCTCTCTCTCTCTTTCTCTCTCTCCCTCTCTCCCTCTCTCTCTCTCTCTCTTTGTTTCTTTTGCTCCTAAAGCTGTGCCTTTTCCCCATGTTTGTGTTGTAGAAGTGTGGTGGCTGTTGGAAGTCTCGATGATGTATTGTCCTTGCTGGGAAATAGCCAAGATGAGGAGAATCTGTCGCCGACTGACGATCAAAGTGTTGGTTGGTTTGATGAGGGTGGCAGGCAGAACAGCATTGAGAGGACAAGGGCGTACATGGCTTTGTCCACACCGCTAATGGTCAGCAGCGTTCCGAACAGTGTGTGGGATCCGTGCTCCGGCAAGAATTGTGATACAATATCAATCCAATCTGGACACGGCAGTATACACTCGTCTCCGTCGTCATTGACATCTTGCAGACAGGATGCCACCGCCCTGAACCCGGCAGAGATATTGACGCGTAGACACACGATTGGCCGAACTCCAGTACGTGCTACCAAGTCCATGCCGCAGACGACGCCCATGCAGAGCAGTGTGGATAGCGGCGATTCGTATCAGTTACGCCGCGAGTCGCCTCTGCAGCGGACAAACAGTATCCACACCGTCAACAGCAACAGCATGCTGTCGGGCCACTCAAGGAGAACGGGCACCACCGATACATTCGCCCGGTGCTCAGATACATGGAAGGAGATTGTGCTCTCTAGGTAAGCTATCAGTATCTAGGCGTGTCAGTCAGCTGCAGTGTGGATTGCTGCAGTGTGGATTGCTGCAGTGTGGATTGCTGCAGTGTGGATTGCTGCAGTGTGGATTGCTGCAGTGTGGATTGCTGCAGTGTAGATTGCTGCAGTGTGGATTGCTGCAGTGTGGATTGCTGCAGTGTGGATTGCTGCAGTGTGGATTGCTGCAGTGTGGATTGCTGCAGTGTGGATTGCTGCAGTGTGGATTGCTGCAGTGTGGATTGCTGCAGTGTGGATGGCTGCAGTGTGGATGGCTGCAGTGTGGATTGCTGCAGTGTGGATTGCTGCAGTGTGGATGGCTGCAGTGTGGATTGCTGCAGTGTGGATTGCTGCAGTGTGGATTGCTGCAGTGTGGATTGCTGCAGTGTGGATTGCTGCAGTGTGGATTGCTGCAGTGTGGATTGCTGCAGTGTGGATTGCTGCAGTGTGGATTGCTGCAGTGTGGATGGCTGCAGTGTGGATTGCTGCAGTGTGGATTGCTGCAGTGTGGATTGCTGCAGTGTGGATTGCTGCAGTGTGGATTGCTGCAGTGTGGATTGCTGCAGTGTGGATTGCTGCAGTGTGGATTGCTGCAGTGTGGATTGCTGCAGTGTGGATTGCTGCAGTGTGGATTGCTGCAGTGTGGATTGCTGCAGTGTGGATTGCTGCAGTGTGGATGGCTGCAGTGTGGATTGCTGCAGTGTGGATTGCTGCAGTGTGGATTGCTGCAGTGTGGATTGCTGCAGTGTGGATTGCTGCAGTGTGGATTGCTGCAGTGTGGATTGCTGCAGTGTGGATTGCTGCAGTGTGGATTGCTGCAGTGTGGATTGCTGCAGTGTGGATTGCTGTAGTGTGGATTGCTGCAGTGTGGATTGCTGCATAAACACTGTCATTGTAGTCTGTGCACGTTGAGTGGTTATCACACTATTGTAAGCCGCCCACTGTTTGCGTCACTACTTTTTTTTGCAATCTCCCAGAACCAGCGAGTTTACGATGGCAAATGTTCACGGAGCCCTGTGGCCACACATATACACCCACTGTTGAAGTTTGATTTCACGGTGGTTAATATTTGCGTTATGCTCTTCTCGCAAAATAGCTTTAAAAATTTTAAAATATATGTGTGTGTGTGCCGTGTGCTGTGCTGTGCTGTGCCAATGAACTGACAGGTTGTTACAGTGTGTCGAGATACCCACACTGGAGGCGATCATCCACTGCGTCCTGGTCGACGGCAATCACATCGCCGCCAACTGCGGCTTCCCCGCCGATAGCCCGACCAGCGAGTTTGTGCCGCTGTCACAGGCGCTGGAAAAGCGCCGTCGCAGCTGGCCGTCTCGCGTGTACCCGCACGTCGTGCCGCCGCTGTTTGACTGCGAGTGGAGCGGCGTGCACGCCATGTGTCCCCGGTCTACCGGCGGAGGTGAGGCGGCGGTGGCTTGCATGTACACTGTATACATAGGTTTCTCTCACGTAGTGCGTGTACAGTAAAACCGGTGACTAACGACCACCCCTTGGGGCCAGAGAAAGCGGTCTTTAGTGGCAGGTGGTCCTTAGGTAAAGGTTTGTACCGCACAACCACATATGAATGTGAGACCGTCCGTGCCTGGCAAACTGGTCTGTAGTACAGGTGAAATCCTGATAATTCGAACCTCAAAATGCCAGGAAAAAACTTCTAATTATCCGGACATTCTAATTATCCAAACATGAACCCACAACACAATATGTATGTCAAAACGCTCTCATGGTCACGCAGAGTTGCGCTATGGTCCTTAGACACAAATTTTACGGACATTGAACTGATCGGCACAGCCTGCTCGTGCAAACTGAACTGACCAGTACAGTGTACAGTGAACTTCGAATTACACTTTGCTAACTTCGAATTATCAGCACAAATCCCACACATTTTCTATGTAAGTGGAATCTGTGGGACTTCTAATTAACCGGACATGTCCAGTTCGAGGTTCGAATTATCAGATATTTTTATGTGGGAATCGTATTGATAGAAATCGGTCCTGGAAAAACTTCTAAAATAAGCGGTATGTTCGAATTAAGCCATGTTCGAATTATCAGGATTCCACCTGTACCAGGCTGGTCGCTAGTCAGAAAAGTCCAAGGACAGGTACATGTATATGAAATTCAGCCAGGTTTTACAAAATTAGGACAGATATGCCATGACAAAATGTATTGAGCTGATCAAAACCCACATTTTTTCGACTTTTTGGATGAATGGACTGTAGAGTTGTCTACTTATCCAGTCACCTTACCAGCACCAGGATTTGAACATCTCCAAGAAGAATAGAGAGTTTGAGCTAGCAAGAAGCTGAGTCACCTCTACCGGATACCCTGCTACCAACTGTTTTTGCAAAGAGCACGTATCAATCAAACAACACCATTTGCTTCTCGAACTGTCTTCTCGTTATTCCTGCAACAAACCGACTGCCTGTTCATCCTCTGGCTTCATCCACCACCAGGTGTTTACTCTTGTCAACAGAAGTTGCGCCTCTCACCTTCTTTGTTGTTCACTTTCTGACGATGTAACACCAAAAATTATGAATTGGGGTTCAAGGCCATTGACCCTATCACAAATCCGGCCCGGCATATGCTGCTGTGGCATACCACTGCGTTACCGTTCCCCTCCTTTTTCTCTGACTCGTTTTGTGTGTTTTCTGTGTGTACATGTGTGTGCATGTGTGTGTGCGTGCGTGTGCAGTAAACATCAGCTACACTCCTCTGATTTGCTCCGCAATGGATCGCCTCGCCCACTGTTAGTTCTGCCGTATCTGTACTTCATAGCTTGTTGTGTCTTGGGAAAGGATGTGGCGTGTCGAGCAATGCGAGGCCAGTGTGTTGCCAGTCTGGCCATTGCTACATGCTGCTGTGTGTGTGCTTGCTTGTTAGATCTGCTACACCTCCATCGTCCCGGTCTTTCCGGATTTCCACTTAGAGCAATAGAAAGAGTAGGATATACGTCACACACATCCGTCACCGGGTGTGTGTGGGGGGGGGGGGGGGGCACATGAGTTACAGTAGTTCACTGCACACATTATGGGACCATGCTACCTGTGTGTGCTTGGGATTTTCTGGGGCATTGTCTGTGCTGCGCAGCGAAATGCAGCGCAACTGTAGCGAATTGCCACCACCAACATGTACAGTATTATATTGAGCCTGCATGAGTATGCAGATGAGTGAGCTCATGTCCAGTGAATATTAACGCAACATGTGCAACGCGTGTGGCATGTTGGCCTGCATACGCAGCTACATGCGTTCATGTTCACTCTGAGCGCACCTTCATCTCTCTAATGGCAACGCTGTACTGAGTCAGCACCTGCCTCCTTTCCCTTTCCATGTGTAGGGCCGCAGAAGGGACACCCGACGTGTTGCGACTTCTGGCTTGAGCGAGGTATCGAAGACATCATCCCCACCATTGCACAGCATTTCAGAAGAGTTGTGGATTGTCCAGTAATCCCAAGCGCATTCTACCCGCTCTTTGCTGCCGTTTACCGTGAGTTGCTGCTGACCGGACACACAGACATGTGTTACAGCGTGATGAAAGTAGCGCGGGTGCTGAACGTGCATACATTTCTTTTTAGGAGAACTGATACTGATGGTGTAGCAGTGCTGATGCTGATGGCGTAACTAGGTATGGGCAAGAGTGCATAAATCTCACAGAGTGTGCAGGTCCGAATAATAACATACGTATTGTCGCGACTTTTTCAGATTTACGTTAACTAACCTGATCGTGCAAGTTCATCTTGAATGCATGCATGAAACTGATTACGTCGCGAAACATGACTACTTACCATGTGAAGTTCAGTATCAATTTTCGTCTGATGATCAATTCAGTTCGTGAAACTCAGAGTTACGAAACAGCAACTGCTTGTTCTTCTGTCTGTGAAACATGACTTATTCTGAAAACGAGTCTTGCCAGCTACCCACTGACAGTTGCCCACTCTGGGGGATTGTGTACTTCTTACAGACTGATGTGGATGTGGGTGGCCGTAACAGCTCCTGTGTGTGGATGTGTGTGTGTGTGCGTGTGTGTGTGTGTGCATATGCGTGTGCGTGTGTGCATGTCATGCCTATGCAGCTCTCTTGGTGAGGAAGAAACACACGCGTGCCATCGAGGCATTGCAGCATTGCTTACTGCTGCTACCGCCAGAGCGTCGTGTTCTGCTCGAGCGCATCCTCTGCTTCTTATCCTCCTGCCACGCCAACCAGCAACTTGTCCTTGACCCGGCTTCGGAGAATATTGATGTTGTAAGTCTCACCACCGCAATAATATACACGACTGTCTAGTGTTGTAGTGTGGGACGCTTCTTTTTGCTGTACTGTAATTTAAAAATATATGGCTGCATGTTGTGTGAAACTGCGTCTTAGAAATCCACTGTGCTTGGTCTCTCACCCTTGTCCAAGTACCTTTGTCATTTGTCACCATCATCTCGATCCGTTTTTATGATTTGTTCCCTGTGTACATGTACATCTACTGTACAATGTCATGCCCTTCAGCTCGCTCAGTGCAATTGCAGCTGAACAGCAAAACATATATTTATTTTTTTCCGGTCATGATCGCTACCGTATCGCGGCGGATTCATGGTGGAAATGTGCCCGCAGTTTGTATTTGTATCAGTCCTCCCTTTTCTCTTCGACACGCTTACAGTGTAATAGGCTAAAAGAGGACCGGGTGCGAGATCTGAATGTGTGAGACTTTGCCTGCTCAACAATCAACAGGTACAGTCCATTCATCGGAAACTGGCCCGCTGGCTTTTGAAAGTCGGATTTCGCTAGCTATAGTGATGGCCAGTGTTGCAACTATCGGCCTCCACATACTGGTATCACATCACCTTGGCAAGTCAGCAAGACGTGCTGTGGTTTTTCTTTAGTGCGCTTCAAAGACAAAGTACACATGTGCAAGGACTGTCTCAAAAAAAAAACAGCCCGAAAATAAAGCCCTTGGCCAGATTGAGTGATGTAGTCTGAGTACAATAAATATTTCCTTTGCTGCAAGACCAGTGTCTTCTGAACTATAGTATTACTAACAGTAATCGTTCATCTGAACTCTTCTTTTGTTGTTTCAGCTATTGGACGCTCTGGTTCCATGCCTGCTACAGCTGAGATGTGATACTCCCTTGGCAATAGAGGCCAAGGACGTTGTTGGTTTCATGTCAATGCAAGTAGCTGACGTCTTCAAGGTATGCTAAGTCTCTTTTTTCCTGTTCCTGCTTTGTTTTGCATGTTCATGTCCCATTGTGAGAAGGATTTGTGATCCTTTTTTCCTGACGGTGACCTTGGCATTTGCTGCTACCACTGTGGAGTGTGGATGCACCATCACTCTTCTGTCTAGCCTAAAGTTAATGTCAAGGCAGTGCCTGTTAAAACTGTTGGTGTGGGACATGAATTATGCATAACATGCAACATTTTTCAATTTGGTCCGTTCCTTTAATTTTAATCCTTGGCTCTCCATCCGAGTCTTCGGTGCCTCTCTGTTTGCACATGCATGTGACGTTCCTGAAGCAAGCCGTCTGGAGATGGGGAAACCCACCTGTGTGGTTGTACAGCAGGCCCGGCGGAACCGGTCCGGTTGGTCAGGTCATGGTCGGACCAACTTTTTGACCGCCAACTTATGTTAACAGGCTGCTGAGGAGGTCATGTGTCTGTCCACCATCCATACCATACACAAACTGTATGAAAGGCTAGGGTATGGCCGGACCAATCAAAAACTGCTTCCGCCGGTCCTGTACAGTAATGGACAGCATTGCTCTTGCTGAGATGTTTCCATTTGATCAGTAGTATGTAATAGTATAAATTGTGTGTAATCTCGGTCCTGCAAGTGGAGATGTTGTTCTGTGCTCTACCCCTTGTAGGTGCCCAAAGGAATTGTAGAGGAGCTGCAGTGTCATTCTTCACCTGCTGATGTAAGCTATATTGCCATAGTCAGTGTGTGTGTGTGTGCGTGCGTGTGTGTGTGTGTGTGTGTGTGTGTGTGTGTGTATGTGTGTGTGCATATGTGTGTGCATATGTGTCTGTGTGTGTGCATATGTGTCCGTGTGTTGGTACGTGTGTTGGTACGTGTGTTCAGTATCTTTAGTACTGTTTACATGTGAAATATCTTCCTACAAAATGTTCACCGCACACTATATTCTTCTTCTCACCTCTTGCGACTATTTGTTGATGTTTGTGCACTCAGTTCGACACATCCAGTGAAGACAGTTGCAGCAGGGTGGGTGATGTAGATGTAACGTCCCAGACGACCAACATATCGGAGTTGTCGCTGCTGCAGCTGTTGGACATCCTGATAGCTGGTGTGAACATGACGGAGCGAGAGCAGAAGAGGCGCCTCAGAGAGGTGAGTGTTGCTGGGTTCGGCACTGCCACTGTAGAATTGAGAAACTTTCGCGGCGTACAAATTTTGTGCTTTCAAGAATAACACAGGTTAACGATAAGAAAATTTCGTAGTTATCTCTTGAGCTGGATCATGCTCTAAACAATCAATGCACAGAGCTAGAAGTTTGAATAAAATGTGCGAGTGGGTGATGGTCGCGATAATAGCGAAATTTAATCTCCCACGCAAGTTTCCCACTTTACACTATGCAGCTTTTGGATGTGAGTGGGAGGGAATGTGCATCTTCAAACTTCTTGCCTGTCGTAAGTAGTTTGTACTGCATTAGGAAGGAATGAAATTCTTTCCCCAGTCATAGCAGACGGCACTGTGTCCCGGTCCGTGCGTGTAGTCCAACGCATACGTGTACATGTACGTGTAGAGGCTTGTGGTGAACCGGTCCTGTTGTTGGTCTCATGTAGCCAGGCTGGGGGAACCGGTCCTGTTGTTGGTCTCATGTAGCCAGGCTGGGGGAACCGGTCCTGTTGTTGGTCTCGTGTAGCCAGGCTGGGGGCAATCGTTATATATGCGCCTCGTCAGAATAATGGCTTTTTCCAGTAGTGCATTGTACTTCAGTACACTGGGCACCGTGCTTGGATCATACATTACATGACCGAATGTCAGCCGCATGTGTACCATTAGCCTTATTCATACCACCAAGAGTACATACCCCCAAGAGTGTGCAATTGCCTGCACAATCTCCATGCAGTGCTGCGACGGCAGAACTTCACATCACGTGACATAGTTCAAAAGATTACGCTGGCAACAGTGCTGTAAATTGACCACAAGAGAGTTGACCCCAAAGCAGGGGTGCGTGCAACCCTGTATCTTTCATGCACAGGGTGCAAGTAATTTGTACGGGTTCATGGCGTGATGTGAAGTTCTGCCGTCGCAGACTCCTTAGCTGGAGTTGCACACTCTTGGGGGCTACGTACTCTTGATACCACTCAGTGCCACTACCAATATGTCGACCATATTTCATCTCCTGCAACAGTCCTGCTCTATTTGGAATAACATTCTCCAAGTATGTGCGTGGTCAATTCAAACCTCTCTGGCATGCTTCCTACTCGCCTGCAGACAGCTCCTTCATCCACATTGTATTTCTATTTCTCCTGCTGCGTACCACTCACTCTGCATGCACGGTGTGTGTGTGTGTCTGTGTCTGTGTGTGTTGTCTACAGTTCCGGCGTGTCTATCCAAATCTCTATCTCAAACGCTTTCCGGCAGCCGATAGTGCCGCGCCACGGGCTTTAAATCTGAAGCGTTCCTCTCAGCCGCTGAACAAGCGGCGACGGCCATCATTTGCCGCAGCCACGCTACAGAGAGTTGGCGTGCGCCTGCACAAGTCCTTCAAAACGGCATCGGCGTTTCCGAGGCCTCGTTGAGACAGGGATTTTACCAATGACTCCTGATCGAGTGTATCCTTTCTGAGGCGTGCGCCTTGCTGCCATGTGCTAAGTAGAACGTTCAGATTGTTCTATTGTACGACTTCAGTTTGTTCCGTGCCGTTGTCAATGCAGCAGGTATCGGCTGCTGTCGCTAACCAAACATAAAAATTAATATTGAATACAAAACCCTAAATATGAAACATGCATGGACGCACAGGCGTACACACACACGTGTGCGCGCGTGCACGCGCTCACACACACACACATACATGCATGCACGAGCACACACACGCACATGCACATGCACACACACATGCAGCGGTCTTTGAACAGCGTACCGTCATTCTGTTGAGACCATTGACCCGCCTGCGCCTGAGCACCCCTCACTGTGCAGTACGTGAGCTGATGATATAAAGCTCTTCGCCGCCTGCAAGAGTATTATGTACTCTTGCCGCCTGTTATCAGGTTTGTCAATCTTGCTGATCACCTTCTCACTGCATGTAGGTCTGTCTCCACATTGTTGAGATTATCGCACATGGGCCAGCTAGAGTAATCGCAGATGCCACCCTTTTTTTATTATTCTCCAGTGTGCATGTAACTGACGATTGTACCGGACTACGACTATGAAACATACTTTTGCACTCATGGTACATTATTTAGATTTATACAGCAACGCTCTTTTTTAAAAGCTTCTTTTTCTCTCTCTCTCTCTCTCTCGCTCTCTCTCTCTCTCTCTCTCTCTCTCTCGGTCGTCTTACTGTTTGTACACTGGGTTAAAGCTGGCTTGGCCAGTTCTACGGTTTTTCTGTTTCTGTGCGTGTATATGTGTAATTTTGTGTCTTCTGCACTCCTTGAGTGTTGTTTTCTTGTTGTTTTTTCACTGGCGCCATGAGCAGTGCGTTGCAACTGAGAGATGAGCACGTTGTAAGAAAAAGTGTTATTTATTTATTTTTGCTGAGGCCATGGGCAGTGAGTTGTGACTAAGCAGGTCTTAAAAGCTTTTTTTATTTCGCTGATGCTGTGAGCAGCAGCATAGCAAGTGCAACCGAGCACGTAATTTATATGCAGGCATTGTTTTCTGCAAGTTGTTCGGATGGGCAACTCGATGTTATCCACATTGTAGTTCGTTTCACCCAGTTTTCTTTCTCTCTGTTCTTTTTAAAAAGTAGTTTTGCCCCGTCCTCCTTTCCCTGTATACCTTCTTTTTTGTTACCGTTTTGGTGGTTCTTTTTTAAAGTGATAAAGTTGACCTTTTCCTTTTGTTATTTTTCCCTACTTTTCTGTGTACAAAATCTTCAAAATACATGTCTTGAGGCCTGTTCTCATCAGTGTTAGTGTCCGGTTCTGAGACTTGTTCATTCTTCCACAATTACTATCACCCCGTGACTCATCAAGGACTGAGAGGTGTTTGTTGCGCGCAGGGAATTGTCAAACATACTGTATAGCAGGAGATTTTCGGACGGAAATATTTTCGGACAAAGCCGAATTTCGACCTTTCGTACGGATTATATTTTCGCACAGTGCTAACTATGCTGCATGCTAAATACACGTGTTCGCAAGCAGTATGCATGCTATAATGTACATAATTTCACATGAACAAATTTTAGTACGGAATTAGTTTTAGTACAAAAGAGGCCGTGTACGAAATCGTACGAAAATTTCCTGCTATACAGTATAGTAAAAAGGACTAGTACAAACCAGGAAACGTTTGCGTGGGTTTATTTCGCGATTTGTGAGCACACACCATTTTGCACCGGGAAATGCGAATGTTCGCGATTGGGGTCAATTATTTCATTAGCACCAGGGAATCGTAAAATACCGGTATTTTACGACTCCCTGATTAGCACAATCATGTCCAGTCATTTGCCAGTTTTGACAGAATTATTTCTAATTAAAGTCTTTAAAACTAACAAAATCTGTGATTCCATGTCCATATAGCGAAAATCTCAAACACTTTCCGCTGTTTACAGTACAAGTACCTGGTTGTGAGTGTGAGGGACGATCAGTAGTCAGTGTCACGGTACATGTACTGTGTATACCACGGTATGTACCGGTATGCGCATGCTGTGACCCTGTTTCAACCCACAACTTCATGTAAAGCTGAGCAAACAATGGAAGCCGTGTTCAGCTGTACAGCACCAAAAGCACCGAAACTCGGAACTGTACTCGTACACAGTACAATGCTCAAGAAGTCTGCAACATGGATGTGGCTTTGGGAATTTGAGGCATCCTTTATGAGGCATGCTTCTTCAACAGAGGATGCAATGCCCCCCTTGCACCCTGTATGTCATAAATTACAAACTCACTACAGTGCAAACAAAGCTAGGGGCTGGCTGCGTGTGATTCAATCGCAGGAAGTATGTATCCAATCGTCAACGAGACCTCAATGAGTGGTACAGGAAATGAAAATGTTTGAAGGAGAAGGCAAAAACAGGAAATAGAATTAAACACAACTGTAGCAGTGTGAAAAGAAAAGAAAAGAGATTTTGTAAATGTGAAAACAAAAAAATCAGAATGACAAGTTTCTAGTCCTATGTTGTCGTGTCGATTGTCACTGAAGCGGTACGTATTATTAAATAGTTTTGGTTATCTAAGTCGTAGGTATGCGTAATTCAGCTAACTGTACGAACAATGTACAGCAAACACTACCTAATGGAAGAGAAGACGATAGGATTTGACAAGGCACCAAGTTACCGTAGCTTGATGCAGTCCGTCGCCTTGGAGAGTTGCACACGCAGGGACATAACTTACCAACAGGAGAGCGATTTCACAAACCGTTATCTTCCTCCACGATAAAAACCAGACACGTCATGAAGGATGACGTGCAAGGAGAGTGGCTACTCAATTGCAGCAGGGCTACCATCATTGCGATCATGCCATTGTGGAACCGGCCACGGTCGGTTCTGTCGATGTCGCCATACTAGGGCCCGATGACTGCTTCTTCGCAACGGGTGCTTTCTTGATGCCATCAGTCAGCATTCGCACCACAGTTGTGTGTGCATAAGCCATGTGCTCGGCAAGTGTCTCGCTGCATCCACATGCCTCGATGAGATGGAACGGAAATGTGCGGAAGTGCCGCTCTTCGTCGATGTACGTGACCGCTTGCATGCGTGGACACAGGATGATCTTATTATGGTCCTTGAAGAAGTTGATCTGGTTGGGAGACAGGAGAGAGAGAAAGAGCCAGAGAGGAGACAACAGCGTTACGAGACACACCTTGCCTTAGAAGAACTACAAGGCTGTATAAATGTTGCAGGCCCATTGGACAAATCACACTGCATAATATGATATGCGAAGAACAGCTAAGAGAACTCCCATTGCCATTACAAATGAACTGCAGCACCTTTATTGTTTTGCTCGAAATCAGTCTCCGACTGTAGATAGACCAGTAAAGTGTTTAGGAGGTCATGTAAACATTCCATTAGAACAGCTAGACTATAGCCCAGTGTTGCCTATTATTCATTGTCCAGGGGCAGGGCACCAATAAGCTTAGTAGTAGTAGTATTTATTATTTGACTAGGGGAGTCCCAACAGGCATGGCCTTGTTACAGGGAACCCTAGGTGAATCTTTGTGAGGTGAGCAAAAGTACCAGCAGATTGTTACTGTAGGTGTCTGCGGCACTGCATGTACATGTATTGTTACTGTAGGTGTCTGCGGCACTGCATGTACATGTAGGGCAAGCTGTACTACACACAGCCCCTGGTCTACACCATGTACACTGCATATACCGTAAAGTACCGCCAGAGCGCCCCATCATCTCGTCCTTTCGTGGCCGCCTTGTGGAGGTGGATTCCTGTCTGTAGGTCATACGACACGGACCTTGTACAAACATTGCACATTGTGCAGTCAATCCGTACCCAGTTTACCTTCGAGCTCCACATAAAAGCATACCAAGTGTGACCTTAGTACACAAAGGTTCTCAAATCGTACAAACTTAGTAGCATTCTGCCATACGATTTTCTTCCTTGGCTGTAAAATCAAGGTGGGGCGCTCTCGCGAGACGGGGCGCTCTGGCGGTACTTTACGGTACAGGTAGGGTCAGGAGTACTACACAGAGCCCCTGGTCTACAGCATGTACACTGCATATACAGGTAGGGTCAGGAGTACTACACAGAGACACTGCACTGATCTACAGCATGTACACTGTACTACACTAAAAACACTGGTCTACACCATGCATACTGTAAAGTTATGTAGTGGATACTCTTTCAATGCACTGATCAATGTCAGACTTGTGTGGGAATAGCTCATAGTTCACAGAGACTGGCCCTGACTCTTCAACAGGGGCTGGTAATCACAGGGCGGCAGGAGTTCAAGCAAGTACGGTACATGTCAGCCATACAGTAGCATGCATACCGTAAGCTAGTCTGTAGATTACCTGCAGGATGCCGTTGCTTAGCTGCAGAACGATGGCGTTCTTTGTCCGGAACCACGTTTGAAGCATAGGAAGGCGTCCGTTTTCATACCGATCCGGAGCCCTGGAGCCACCCGCCTGCATGGCAAGAGTTCGAGAAGGTCAGCAGATAGCAGAACACAGCACTGCTGTCACAAACACCAAACTAATAACCATGAGCAAGCTCACACGTATGCATGCATGCATGCATACATACAGACATACATACACATGTACATGCATTGAGAGTCTCCATCTGCGGGCAGCAATGTTCCATCTATGCAGATTACAACACTAAGTCAGATTTGTGAATCCAGCACCCTCCCCAAACCAGCAGAATACCTGTCGCCTAACTGGCGAGAGCTGTGAAACGTCAGTTACAGCGCAGCAATACAAACTTGTGTCCTACGGCCGAGGCTAAGTCACAAGTAAGTGACTGGGATAGGATCAGCAGGATCTACGATAACAGTACTTCGTATCCAATGGACAATTGTTTTCTTATGTCCAGGGTTCTTTATTGAAGTCACACCACACTTCTGCAGAATCTCAGATTGAGCACATCCTCACCACCACCTCCACCGTCGTAGCCACTGAGCTGTAGTTACACAGCAATAGCTGCGCAGCATCTGTTTTACTCACCCGGAGAAGATGTTGTGTCATGTAGCTGCGGAAGTACTTGAGTAGGGTCATCTTTTTCTGTAGCGAACTTGGGTAGTCTTCAGCCGTGAAGAAAGCTTCCGCCTTCTTGCCTTCCAGGTACTGCACATTTCTACATGTCACCAACACAGACGAGAGGGCAGCACAACAAGGGAATTACGCGCCGGGACAAGTAACACATAACAAACTAGAGACGTACAGCGAGAGAGAGAGAGAGAGAGAGAGAGAGAGAGAGAGAGAGAGAGACAGAGAGAGAGAGAGAGACAGAGAGAGAGAGAGAGACAGAGAGAGACAGAGAGCAGGATAGAGAGAGAGAGAGAGAGAGAGAGAGAGAGAGAGAGACAGAGAGCAGGATAGAGAGAGAGAGAGAGAGAGAGAGAGAGATAGATAGAGAGAGAGAGAGAGAGAGAGAGAGAGGGAGAGAGCACACAGAAGATGGGAATCTTCGCAGCTCAATTGCACAACTTACATACTATCTGCAGCCATCATCATCCGAGAACCATCATTGAAGAGAACGCCTGAACTACCATCACACAGCGAGTAACCGAAGCCGTACTTGTCACTGTAGTCTACCCACTTGCCTATCCAATAGACTGGGTTAGCGGCGGGGTCTTCAGCGTCATCTACACACATACATACACACGCACGTGCGCACACACACAGACACACACATGAACATTCAGCCAATAGCGAAGAATCGAGGAGGAAACCGACCATGCTTGGTAGAACATTGTCTGTCATTAGAGTTACTTTGTAAGGTTTCCAACATGGCCATCTCCTGCTAGTGGTATAGCATGTAGTGGGAAAGTCTTAGACAAAACGGTTTGCGCATCAGGATAAACTCTTGTGTAGCTTACTGCAGCAGATGGTTGGGAATAGTGACAGGCCAGTTACCACCGGCAGATGTGTTGCTAGAGCGACATGAAAGAAATAGCTTCAAATGTGCACGCACCCCAAAGTAAGTACTTTTGATCCTTCAATGCCGGTGACATAGGACTTTCAAGTGCCATTGCAAGGAGATTAATTGTAGTGCTCCCAAACACCATTGCAAAGAGAGCAGTCATAGCGCTTCCAAACGCCATCGCAAGGATTAGGCAATGAGCTACATACCATGAAATCGAATGGGCTTGGTGCCGGGCTTGGTTGCAATCACCTTCTCCAGCTGAGCGGAGAGTTCATTTAGATGGTCCATAGGGGATGGCTCTGTGAGTAGCGCAATGCAAACCAGACAAACACTAAGGTAAAGCATATCAGATATACCGTATTTCCCCGAATATCAGTCACACCGTTTTACACAAAAATTCAAGGGTGAGAAAGGGGGTGCGACTTACAATCGAGCATGACTTACTACTGAAGTGATCATATCGAAACAATATTGCTGAAACCTGAAAATGGGGGTGCGATTTATAATTGAGTGCGACCTATAATCGGGGAAATACGGTAGTCATTTGCCGAAAGCACATGCACGTACATACACACACGCGCACACACAGCGCAGCAAGCCAGGCGAGAATGTTCCGGTGCCATGTCTCTAAACTCAGCCGCAAATCCAAAAAGACCAGCCTGCCTTTGCAGGGCGTTGATCGTATGGCATCCAGTACATGTAGTGATGTATGCATTACAAGAGTCCCCTAGTGTGTGTAGCCTAGAGTTCAACTTGCCAGACCCGTTCATTGTAAGACACGTATGCAAATGTTACTCAGGAGCGAGTCGGCAAACCTACCAGCAGCAATGTCATCAAGCGGTGGCTCAGCCGTTGCTGCGGAAGCAGGCGTCGGGATAGCCTTGGTGGCAACCGTGCCTTGACGCGTGGGGACCGATGTGTTCCGTTCGGCCAGTGGGTGTCGCGATGATGCCGCACCGGAGTGAACTGCAAGAGAGAACGAAACAAGAAGCAACGATTAGCGATACACCGACACAACGTTTTGTACAGATAAACAAGGAGGACTGTAGAGAGAGAGGGAGTGCATACGTGTGCAGGCAATTGCACACTTGTGGGGGCAATGTACTCTTGGCATCACCAATAACTATGATGTCACAAGTGAGAATACAAGGGAAGAATGTGTCAAAGCATATCTACAACAGTGACTGGTTTTGATTGTCTAAAATCTGCGACTAGCCGCACAACAGTGCCACATAGTGTAGAGGCATACCGGTATCGACCCGGTAGACGTACCCGTACTGCTGGATGCACTGGTGAACCGCGGTGCAATCGACAGCACCGTCACTGGTAGTCGCTTGGGACATGTGCCGGTGGTGAAGAATGGGTCGCTCAGGATCTCAACTGGCTTCGGCCGATGGCTGGGATCTGGGTGTAACAGGCGCACGATGAGTGCCTGCGCTTCTTCGCTGATCTGTCGCGGCGGAACGTGGAAGTCGTTCTTGCGAATGCGACTGAAGACCTCGCGCAGCGTGGTGCCGACGAAGGGTGGATTGCCGATCAGCAGAGTGTACCTGTGAGAAAACCGATGAAAGGCATTGCTTTGACCGTGTACTTGCAAAGACAATTTGGATGGTGTTATCACAAAGCACACTGGCACACAGCCAATAAGGACACGGACAAGAAACATTGGGCTCCAGGTATGCCTGCAGGTCACTGACAACAACAGTATCTGCTCTGTTTATATTCAACATTCATGATGGAAAGATGGAACTGGCACTATAAAATCATCAACAAATCAACACCCAACTGGTGTCAGCTACCTGCTAGCACAGTAGCAGCTGCTCTTGTGTGTGTGTGTGTGAGTGGGCATAAAGCGGCAACAGCACTGCTTACATAATACATCCCAGTGACCAGACGTCCACCTCAAAGCTGTGCCCCTTCTTTGTAATGATCTCGGGAGCGGTGTAGTTAGGCGTTCCGCACACCGTCCTGGAAGAACACAGTAATTACAGTCATCATGGTCATCAGCAGCCACTCACAATACATGTATGTTTCTATCAGGAAACTGGGAGCAGTACACAGTAAAAAGCTCCACTGGATTCAGCGACCACTTGCGCTGTGCGGCCAGCGGCTGGCTTTTCGTGCACCAAACACAATGTCTGACCCGCATGCATTGACCATATGTACATGTACAGTCATATACAAAAGACTGCAACCGTGTCCAAAGTGACAGGTTGCAGTCCAAAATTGTCAGATCCCTGTCGAAAGTGGCAGGCTGCCACCCCCAAAGCAGCAGGCCCCATACATGTATGGAACCCTGTTTAAAAGACCACCTGCCAGCAGCATAGACAGCTTTTGCTTGCCAATGTAGCTCAAGTCTCCTCAGTCCTATGCCATAAACCACACAAGGCAAGCACTACCATAATCATGCATGCCAATGTGGCCACCGTTATTCACACACTTGTGTGTACGCATGCATCCACAGATATACACCGTTCCAAGCAAACTTACTTCTTCTTTTCACCATCGTAGTCGAGGACAGTTGCCAGTCCAAAGTCACCCATCTTGATTTCCAGGTCCTCGTTCAGAAACAGGTTTCCCAGCTTCACATCGCGGTGGATGATTTTCTGCTCGTGCAGATACACGAGGGCGGAGATGATCTGCTTCATAAAGTACCTGGTCTCAGGCTCTGTCAGTGTTTTCCGACGCTTGTGGAGCTCCTTCATGGACTGGACAACAAGAATCAGGGGAGAGAGAGAGAGAGAGAGAGGGATTGGGTTAGAAATGCAATGCTCGGAGACGCCAATACCGTGTATTTTGAGTTTATCATAAATGGTGGTGTTCAGTGCTGTAGCTGGCACCTGAGCTAACTTCCTAAGGCATGGAACCCAATGTGCTCTTTAAGGACCCTCAAGGGTACTAAGTATATCCGAGGCAGTCTCTGACTTGCTTACAGACTGGTCTAACTTGCATCCAGTAGCAGCTCGGCACGAACATGATCAGACCCAGATAGGACATGGGGTGGTTTAACGCTTGAGTTCATTTGCCAAAACTTGTATCATGGGACACAGTGCATGGCATTGCAGGAAAGCACTGGCTCTCTACAGCAGCTGCAAAGATTTGAACAATACTCACCTTGCTGCGGCACAACTCCAGAATGATATAGACATTGTTTGAGTCCTCGAAGCAGTCAACAAAGTCAACTATGTGCTGATGCTTGACGGATCGATGCACTTTGATTTCCATGGTCAGCTGAACACACACACACACACACACACACCGAGAGAAAAGAAAAAGAATTCAATTAAACCGCATGCTTGCACTCACTGTACACCTACCACACAACGTGTACCTGAGTTATATCCCCATGGCATTCCAGTCTTGCAATTGCACACGCATGCAGAGACACACACGCATAGACACATCTGCACACATACATACGCGTGCGCGCATGTACACACATACATACGCGTGCGCGCATGTACACACAATCCTCTCTGTTATGTGCATGTATTCAGATCAGTAGGGAAGTGAATGTGAGTAAGTCAGTAAGATCACTACATGGATTGGTTTTAGGCTCGTCTCTACTTCAAACAAGAAGCTTGATCCTGGATACAGTACGTTGAGACTTGCACAGCACAACACTACTACAGTACTCTGCTCACACAATCATGCGTGTGTGGACAGAAATCTCCACACGCAGCTCTGCACACTGTGCAGGCAGACAGAGTGACTCTTCCATCTTCAAATCGTACCTTGTCGCGATGATGTTGCTTGGTCAGTGAGGTTTTATCAACGATCTTGCCAGCGTACACCTGGTTGGTCTCCTGATCTGTCAGCTCATAACACTTGGCGAAGCCTCCCTATGGCCAGAACCCCAAGAGGATTTAAAAAGTCGAGTTATTTCTCAATACATGTACTCAATTTAAAATTGAACACCAAAATTAGGATTGCTCACCCTCCCTAGAAAGCGACCCTGGCGATACTTGCGCTTGGTCCGGGAGTCGACAATGATCGTGCCTTCTGGCTGTGAGGTAGCCATCTTGAAATAAAGTAAGTGAAAGCACCAGTTTTCGTTGAGGATGAAGACAGAAGATTTGAGCAAGGAAAGGATGCTTGATGTAGACTGCAGTGAAACTCAACTCAACACGACGTCAGGTCTGCACTGCGCCTGGCTACGCACCACAGCTAGCTATCATGCACTTTCCGGATTTTTGAATTTGGTGCAGCGACAGTTGACCAATCATCACCCGGTATTTGAGTTGATTTGTCTAGCCTGGCCAGGAGCACGTGCATCAGCTGTTTTCGGGCATGCATGTGGTTTCCCTGGCCTGAGTCACACGGGTGACGTCAGAAGAACTCAAAAGCAGTCTTTTCAAATCAAAGACTCAACAATAGAATTTTTAGTTGCATGTTGAAGTGAAAGAAAGACAGTGCTTTCTGGTTTTGTTTCTTGTTCTATTCACTAGTTCCAGCCCTAAAGCAACTTTAGTGCATAGCTTCTTTGTGCTGGGGTCGGCCTGCAACATTGTGCTCGCCCCGAGCGTCAGCCATGCACAGGTAGGACTCACTGAGAGGAGCCTTGAGGCCCCGAAGATACTAGCAGACTTGCAGAGCTAGAGTGACCACCATGGCGACATCATCAGCGTCATTCGCTGTCGACGATGCTGATCTCCTCAGTAAGCAGAGAAGGACAAGCACTGTGGCATGTTCATTTGAGTGTCTTTTCCTGCTACCCCTCCCACGTATCCCTGGGCCAATTGAACGTATATAATCGGACTCGTTCACCAGTCTGTCGATTGCTAAAATTAAACCATTATTTTGTGTACGAATCTGCGTAGCAACTCGACAGATACTGGTGCCAAACACTTGACATAGTGTACACCGTCGTTCACTGGATACACAATACCTGCCCCTATTATACTTGGCTGGCTAGCAAGGCAGTTTCCACATCTATTTCCGATAGAAGAGAACTGTTGTGACATACCGCAGAATCCGGCGGATACGCCCGTGGGATTATCTGTTTCACAAGGACATTTCGGTGGGCTTACCGGTATGCAAGAACATGGGCTTATACGCCGACACCAAATTGTGCTATTGAAAAGTATCAAGGAAGTGAGAAGTACATTGCTGACAACCACTGTGCAAACAAAAACAACCGATGATTGTCTTGAAATGTACAAGAAAAACTACATGTACATGTACTACGTACATGGTGCGACCTAGGCCCATGGGCTTGAACAACGAAGCTTCGCGATGTTCGAACTTGGCCTGGGCTTATGCGGGAGCATGGCCTTATATGTGAGTGGGCTTATCCGCGGGATTCTGCGGTGCCTCGAATATCCAGGTTTGAATATCTCAAGGCCTTTCTTTATCTTAGGTTCATAATGATTGGCTGTGTGGCATGGGGGAATAAACTGTCCCATGTGTGTGTGTGTGTGTGTGTGTGTGTGTGTGTGTGTGTGTGTGTGTGTGTGTGTGTGTGTGTGTGTGTGTGTGTGTGCATGTGTGTGTCCGTGTGTGTGTGTGACTGTGTGTGTGTGTGACTGTGTGTGTGTGTGTTTTTCGCATTTGTGTTTGTGTCTTGTGATTTTTCATTTTCAGCCGAGGTGCCTCCCTACTTGAAGAAACTAGCGCGGATGGTTGCCAGGGGATTCTACAACACGGCTCAGATTCTTGTTGTTGATGCTCTTGTTCGGGATCCCTGGTAAGGAGATAGGCAGACAATCTTGGAGTTTTGATTGTTCACCCAGCTTAGCCAGGTCATCTGCTCATACTCTGCTACTCTGTTACTATTAGCATGAAGTACAGTAGCGTGTCAGTTATCCGACACCCTCGCGACTGGGTCCTGTTGGTTAAATGAATATTCCCGATAGCTGAAGCTAAATTGTAAATATCCATCCCAACGAGATTATTATGCATGTACATGGTCGCAAATGTCCGTATCCACGGACATGTACCTTCATTTTGAGATTCTTTTCGTATCCGGCACGCGTGTTAATTTTGCACATCGGTATGAACTCATCTCTATAACAATAAGTCAATGTTCAGGGTGTTAATTGCATGGGACACACTGGAAAACTTGAGCTGCCAGCATGCTGTCGGATAACCGGCATGCTGGATGATTGATCACTGGATAAGTGACAAGCTGCTATGTGGCCATGGTGCTCAGCAAAATCTGATCTCTGCAGTAGGCTAGCACCCTGCACCAGTGCACAGCCCAGTGATTGCAGGTCTGGAGCTGTGCCTCGCCCTGTACCAGTGCACAGGCCAGTGTTTGCAGGTACTAGGTCTGTGGATGCCTAGTGCCTTGCACCAATGACTGACTGACAGTGACTGTACAGCCCGGTGTTGGCAGGTCTGGGACTACACAACGCCACACACCAGCGCACAATACTATGCATCAGCGCACAAGGTGGTGCACCAGTGGACAGCTGGTGCTTCCACTGTACCTAGTTCCAGGTCTGGGGTTTCACCAAGTGCAACTGTACATTGGCCTGGATTTCACTTATCAGAACTTTACGAGTACTGGCAAGAGTTCATAACCCCCAGGGCAGGGGGTTATGAACTCTTGGTACTGGGATGGTTCAGTGTAACTGTACATAGCGAGGTCGCGTGGCCCAACGGATAAGGCGCCTGACTACGAATCAGGAGATTCCAGGTTCGAATCCTGGCGTGATCGAATTTTTCCAAGTTTTTTTGGAAGTCGATTCAGATCATGTCAATGACTCCCTGGTTCTTAGCATCCCGAACATCTAGCTCTCCATATGAGAGCAAGAGTACATAACCCCTAAGAGTGTGCAACTGCCTGCACAACCTCTATGCTGTGCTGCGATGGCAGAACTTCACATCACGTGACATCAAGAGTTCATAACCCCCAAGAGTGTGCAACTCCTGATCAGTCCCTGTATGGAAGCCCGCTTGGCGGAATTCCTTCATTGCGTCATTTTTGGTGCAGTGCGATGAATCACGCCGATGAATTCTTCTAAAATTTACAGTCAAACCAGGATGCTTCCCCAGGGTAAACTGCCTAAACTGCGATTCTAGTCTGAGTCTGAGCCTCAACTTCAAGAAGCAAAAGTGAAACAAACAAAAGCACATGATCCTAAAGACAAAATTATTTATTTTTCGATGCAATGGCGACTCTTCATCGCCTTCTTCTTTCACCAGTGCAGTCAGTCTCTTCAAGAACAATTTCTTCCCCAGGCCATCTGCATATTTTCGGTGCTTTCCTCGAAGATGATTTCAAATGGTTGAGGAACTTGAGAGAATACGTCGAAGGAGCATTTTTCGGCTCTCGGAGTTGCACAGCTATCAGAATGATTGTCCTCGACGGCAATGCAATATTTTTAAGAGCGTCCTCACTTCTTCCTGTCGCGATGTCCATGGATTCTTGGAGAAAGAGTTTGCTTTTGAGAAAGTACGACTACGTCCGAAATGTCTTTAAAAAAAACGGCTTCGAAAAGTCGAGGCTACAGCCTTGAGTTAGGAGCAGTTCAGGGTATAGTTTCCAGAAATCGCGAAGAACCCAAATTTACCTCGGATCACAGCTGCGCATGACGTAATGTAGGAATTTCGCCGAGCGCTGGGTCTATGCCTGTTGCACACTCTTGGGGATTATGAACTCTTGGTGACATGGTTCAAAAGGTTATGCTGGCAAACAGTGCAAAGTGACCACAAGAGAGTTGTACCCAAAGCTGGGTTGCGTACAACCCTGTAGCTATCATGCACAGAGTGCAATTAATGTGTACGGGTTCATCACGTGATGTGAAGTTCTGCCGTCGCAGACCCCATAGCTGGAGTTGCACACTCTTGGGGGTTATGTACTCTTGATGAGAGAAAGTGAACTGAAATCTCTATTACTTCAAGTAGATCTACATGGTAGATTGCGTGCACGCTGATCTTTACTGTACATTGTACGTAGTCAGCGCTGTGTGGTAAGCCGTTGGTGGAACACATGGTGTTAGTTTTTTGTCATCTGAAAACGGAACCAAAATATGTACCCGTAGCTATAATGTAGGAACACACAATAACCTTGAAGTTGATTGTTCCAACTAGGAACACACGCTTCTTGCTGAACTTGACACTTGACTGACTCACGACTGCCATCCGGAGCACACGAGGAGCACGTCGCACCTTCCACTCGGCAAACCTGCCAGAAAGCACCACTCCCTGCTCAACTAAGTTCACACAATAACCTGTGGGCTAAACTTAATACTGGTGAATGAATGTGGCCAGAGTTGGGACGTCTGGATAAGGGAGTTTGTGTGTGCATGCACTAGCTACACTGTTTTGAGTCAGTGTACTGTGCATTGTATGTGCGTGTGCTCCCTTGTGTTGTGCTGTATGCTGTGTGCTGGTGTGCATGTACTAGCCATAGTGGCAAGAGTTCATAACCCCCCGGATTATGAATTCTTGCCATTATGGTGTAAGTGCGTATGTGACCATGTGCTCACATGTGCTGTGCTGTGCTGTGCTGTGCTGTGCTGGTCCAGCGTAAAGGAGGAGGATCTGTCTGAGCTTCTACACATGGACAAGAAGATGGTATGTTTATGTAATAATTATGTGTGCCTACTGGTGATGGTGTATGTGAACCAACACACAGTGCGGGTTAATTGCATGCCACTTGCAGCCTCCATTGCATGCATCATTTGCCTATGCAAGTGTGTGGGTATCAGGGATTTGCTGGTCAGAATATAGCCACTTTTATAGCTTTGTAGTGAGGGCCAGACTTAGTTAGTACAGTGGATCCTCGGGGATTTGGGCACCCAGGAGCACGTGACCGCTTCTTCAACCATGTTCGATTGGGAATAAAGGAGGAACGCTGCATCACAGCCTTTTCGGACCAAAACCAGTCGACTCAGCGTCCAAAAGACTACAACATATGGGCCAATCGCGGTCATCCATGCTTTTATAAGAATGAAATGGCGCTTTTAGTGACATTTTGCATACAAATCCCCATCTAGTAGGGCGCAGTCACCCAGTTTCGGTGGAAGTGCGCGAGTTCGATTGGGATTCAAGTAGGAAGGGAGCGTCTCAGCTTTCTCGGACCAAGACCATTCGACTCAGCACCCCGAAGACTACAACTGGTGAAATTTTAATTTTTGCCTTAACTTCCCCTTTAATTGAGTGAGGTGGTCGGAAATCGAGGTTCCACTGTACAGTCAGTATCGCCTATAGCGTTGGTGTTTGATTTTGAGCATTTTATCACTATAAGCGATATATTACTATGACCGATACTGCATGCAATGTATGCGAGTGGGGTGTCAAACGACTCAGCGCGCCGTGCACATACGCACTACATACATGTACAATGTCATGTAGCTGGCTGTAGCTCCGGACACACAAAATCAGGATTTCCTCATGATGGAGGCATATTTTGGCAACTTGTACAAGCAAAACTCACCAAACAACACTCATTGGACAAGTTCTTCACGAAGAAGTAACACCCTGTTCTCCTCTGACATCGCTTGATTTCACATCAATCACTATAACCGATGCAAAAATAGTGTAATAAACGTCTTTTGAAATATGAATTTGATCACTATAGGCGATATATTACTATAGACGATTATTACTATACGCGATAACTTTGTATACTTAGTTATGGCAAATGAAAATGAATTTGAGAAATTGATCACTATATCCGGTATATTACTATAGCCGCCAACCTTATAGGCGATACGGACTGTAGTTGTTGATTTTTTAACCTTTACTGGCCTTGGAATGGTACAATTCCGGCACAAGTTCTTATCCCTACTTCTGTAGCAACTATTTGCTACCATCACCTTCTGAGATGGGTATCCGAGGCTTCAATACATTTTGCCACTTCCAAAAGCTGCAAGTATCATACCATACTATTTTTTGTCTATTTCCTACCTTTTTTTGACTTGATTTCAATACTGATTTGGGCAGTATGACTCTCTGAGTTGTAGTTTAATGTGCGCTCGTGTTTAAACAGTTCATGTACATGTATTTATGGAGAGGACCTCATGACCGAATTCCTCATGCTGTTGATGGCTCACTCTGTTCAGTACAAGTTAAATCCCACCAATGACCTCTTTGCTTTTGTGCTCTCGTGTTCTTCATGCAGCTGCGACAAGCACTGATCATCTTGCGCCGAGACCGCCTCATCAAATCGTAAGTACGCACTGTGTTTTCTGTCAGCATGATGCAGTGATCCACTTTCTAACTTACAAGCCGAAGTGGTCTGGTAATGCTACAGTGTGTTTCGAAAGTCCAGACCTCTATACTTTCAAATACACGCATACCTCGGTTATCCGGACCCCGAAGTATTGGGCACTTTGGTCTACTTGAAGTACCCCCCCCCCCCCCCCCCCCCCAGGTGAGTTACAGTGGAAGTATTACTACTCTTTTGTCACTTTTTGTGGAAATAGTGACACTATAATAATATGCCATATCTATGGCCTTTCCCCATCAAAATGTATGTGATTCGGAGTTACGGACATTTCACAGTTACGGGCAGTGTCCGGTTCCAGACCGCCCGGATAAACGAGGTATGGTTTTAATTCAATTTGTTTTGAGATTTTTGGGAAATTTCTTCGGGATATTGCTCAGGCAGTCCCCAATTTTACTCATGAAGATTTTCAAACGATTGGATAATCAAAGCCCAATTTCGGAATTTTATGCACTACAGTCCATTCATAAAAAGATGGGCCCTGGCTCTGGCTAGCTCCCGTATTTGGCGATTATTCGTGATTTCATCGTACACAGTGCAGTGCAGCTGTGCTGCGAAATTTGAAATTTGAAAAAGAGTCCAAAAAGGGTACCTGAACTGGGGTTCGAACCGCACCATGCACTGTTGCAGGCGGGGTCAAACGGCCGGGATTTTTATTGTTTTTCCCAATTCAGTGCTTTTGGGTCAAAACCTGGCCGAAATCCTATTCTTGTTATGGCTGGCTTTTTGGACAAAATAACTTCAGAAACATAATTGGAAGAGGATTCCATAGGGGATTGCAGAAAAAAATTCTAAAAAACCTCAAAGTTTGACCCATTTATCACCAAAAGCTAGAAGTCCATCTTTTTCTGAATGGACTGTAAAATGATCACAGATTTTATTTGGTATACATGTAGATGCTGTCCTAACAGTTAAAAAACCCCAGATGTCTCTACTTTTCGAATACACTGTAGCACTACAGTTGCACTCGGGTGAAATCCGACCAACAGTGCATATCTGGTGCCCTCAACTTGCACGCCCTTGACGCCGTGGAAGTAGCACGAATGCGGCTGGACGTACACCTGTACAAATACAATGATGTAATCGGAACTGGTCCAGGGCGCTAGCTTTGTACCTTGGGTCGGATTTCACCGAGCGCAACTGTAGTAGGTAGGCGGCCTTTGCAATTGTTTTCATGCAGTACTGTAGCGAATTTAATATTATTTACTGTGTGTTTGCCATGCAGGGTGGCACACACTGAGAAAGTAGAGGGCTTTGATCAGCCGAAGAAGTTTGACTACTACTTCATCAATTTCAAATCGGTAAGTCAGAATGCAACTCTACTGGGACGTAGTGGCATATTTTGATTGTTTTCACTTCCACGGTCAATGCACATCTTCACCTATAAGGCTATATGTGTACCAAGTCGACAGTCTATTGTTGCCTGTTGGTTTCTGTTGCTGATACTGTGCGTGTGTTGACGATTCTACCCTGTGTGTTCCTCCGTGCCGCTACCAGTTTGTCAATGTGCTCAAGTACAAGCTGGATCACATGAGAAAGAAGATCGAAGCCGACGAGAAGATTGTGAGTTCTCTTTTGACATGTAACGATGGTGCCTAGCTCGATTCCTGGTGGTTGGCAGTCTAGTGCTCTGCTGACATGGTTTTTTCATTTACAACGTCCACACTCTTATGAATTGCCTTTTTTATTCCTTATATACGAAGGCTAGGTGATCAGGACTGCAACTCTGACCCGAATCTTGTGGCCATGTTTCTGGACCTCTCTCTTCAGATCAAGATGGATTGTTGCTTCTTCTTTTTTTTGCTTTTTTCCTTGCTGCCAGGCGAAAAACCGACAGTTCTACAAGTGCCCGCGCTGTGGCAAAGAGTATGGAGACCTGGATATCAATCAGCTGTTTGATCCATTTGAGCACATCCTCAAGTAAGTGTCTGCCAGTGTTCCCACAGACCACGGGTCTGTAGTGGACTCAGGGCGCGAAATAACGGTCGGACAATTTCCGACCGTTTACGGTCAGTTTCCGGATGTTTTGTACACATCCGGACAAAGTGTACGCGCACTTTTTTGCAAAGTACAAAAAATAAAAGGCACTTCAATCCTTTGTCTCATAGTCATTACTAGTGATGTCGTCTGGCAAGAGAAAGCCAAGCACCGCTGATGCGGGTGCTCCTCTTGGAAAGAAGCCCAGAGGAGTCAAGAGGACCACTTGTGACAAGTGGGTCGCCGAGTATGATAGGGAGCTTTCAACTTCTGTTTGCCTGAGCTATGAGCGCAGTCCCTCAGATCGTAGCGTTGTCGAAAATTTGAAGTGTAAGATTTGTTCCCGTTTTGTTGATAAAATTCGCAACAGCAATAATTTTTCTGACACCTTCGTCGTTGGCTCAAGGAACCTGAAAACGTCAGCCTTCAAAGATCATGCTGCTTCTCAACATTGTGTGATTTGATGTGAAAATTTGCACGTCCGGACATGTCCGGCCATTTTTGCAACTGGCAGGACATTGTGTCAGAGCACATTTTAATCCTTGGCGCATGTCCTGGGACTATTCTGAATTGTCGCGTAATGCTGTACTAATGGGAGCCTGCACCAAGTCGACCGGCATGTGAAGCGGAATAGATGTCCGTTTTCTAGCCAGTATGTGTCCTGAGCAGCAGTAGCCTTGTTGATCCCTCAGTTACCGTGTAGCCTCTGTAGTGTGCTCCATCGGCACACTACACCACTGGGCACCGGGCATATAACCGTTGGAGTATGATCTGATCCAGTGCAGTATTACAGTATAGGGGACATGATGAGAAAGGCCGATTCGAATCGGGGCTGATCATGCCATGTTATGTATGTTCCTGCAGGTGCACGTATTGCGGTGGTGAAGTAGAAGAGGATCACTCACTCTCAGACCTGAAGCAGAGTACGATATCAGTGGCAGAGTAAGTGCATATCTCCGCTGTTACTCTAGCTGATGACTTGGTGTGTGATTATTACTTCTACATACCGTTGCTGAATAGAGGCCGATTGAGCCCATGTGTCGTCATTATGCACTGCTTTCTGCATCTGATCACCTCTTTCCTGGCCAATCTATGGGGTCATCAAGTGTGTGTACTTTCCACAATATTGTGTTGCATTGTATTTTTAAAATAAAATAACAAAAAAATTCAAGTGCAACGCACTCACTGGGGTCTTCAATTGTATTGAAAGCTCTTGTACTTTGCTGCTGGTTATATGGCGGATATGGCGTTGTGTGTACGCTTGTTGTGTGCAGGCTGAACCAGCTGACGGAGCCTCTCCTCACCTTGATTCGCCAATGCGAGAATGTCAAGCTCGCGCCGACTGTACTAGAACCCGAGCCCAAGCCTATTAAACAGCTGGTAAGTCGCAGGTGGCTGTTTATGAAGAAATACCACTTGCCTATCCTGTGTTGGAATAACAGTTTAAACGCTTCAGTATGTCTTGTAAGTATTAGTTGGTATTGTACGGCTAGCTACTGTATAAGCAGAAATATTCGTCTGGAATTTAATTCCGTCTTTTTCGTCCAAGGAGTTTTGGACTAAATTAAATGCCGGACTAATGTCGATTTGTCCAGCTTTTCTATACACTCCTATGATCCATGGACGAAATTTTCAACCGCACGAACTCCCTTTCTTTGAAGTTGGACGAAATTATTGACCAACGAAATTTTCTGCCTCTACAGTACAGTGAAGCTACAGTGAAACTTAGTATAAAGTCCCTTGGATATAACATACTTTTCTCTTTGCATTGGATCTAATGTACTTTTTGAAGACCCTGAGTTTCCTCTGCCAGTCATTTGACCTTGGATGTAGAGTTCCCCGGCTATATTAAAAGTCCGGATGGCTATGTCCCTTGGAGGTATAATTATTATACCAAGGTTTCACTGTACCACAGAAATCAGTGCACATGTACACATGCATGGTACTACTACTTCAGTAGTATTGCTCTTTTCTATCCATGGCTTTGTTCTATGCAGGTTGAGAAACGAGGTGAAGTGGCCAACAAATCGAAAAAGGGCCCTTGGACCTCTGGCGACCGGTATGCACCCCTATGTTGTGTGTTGTGTGGATCCTGATTCACACACCTGTATGATTGTGTACTTATGGCCAGCGGTTCTTCTTATCTGCTGTGGCTACCAGTCTACCACACATGTACAGTATTTGTTCTTCATGCTTGCTTTCAACTCTGGGTTCTCTCTCTATCTCTCGATCTCTCTCTCTCTCTCTCTCTCTCTCTCTCTCTCTCTCTCTCTCTCTCTCTCTCTCTCTCTCTCTCTCTCTCTCTGTCTCTCTTTTCTCGCTCTTGATATTCTGGAACGATTGCAAAGTGCTCATGCATGTACACATGTTTATTTCTTGTTCAATCAGCTCAATCAATCCCTTTGAGAACTCCACTGGCATTCAGATCACCCTCAACCAGGACAATGAACAGCAGAAAGTGGTGAGTTTGGTCAGCTATCATTACACCAACAGCTGCTCTGGTAGTGGGACATTTGGGCAAAATCGCAGGTTTTCTCACTTCTTTCATCCCAGCTGTGTTATGGTCGTTATTGATACCCCAGGGACCAGAAAAAGGTGTCCTGTGTATGGGCTAGGGAGTGCTCCTTATTACAGAGTCCATGAAAAACTTGATTGAGAATGTTTGGGACTAGAAGAATGTGTCTGGATTGTGCAGGTGTCCTTTGCTGAGAAAATAATGTCCATACAGGGTCTGCTGAATGGTGCTGATCACTATCTCTTATTCACCAATACTGGCATCTGCCCCCCCATACTGGCATCTGCTGTGCTCGACTCGACTGCATGCAGTAGGCAGGGTGCAGCGTGGACTGTTTTAGTTCAGTGCTCTGCTGGTAGACCCTCTACTCACTCGGACTGTAGATGCATGCATGCGACAGGCACCATGCCACTGTACATCTATCCATGGCATTGGCCGGATGTTTTTTGGCGACGACTGTACGTCTACACTCCCTGCACTGATGTGTAGATCTACCACGCATGGTGCACCATGCAATGCGTACATTTACATGTACTAGCACTGTGCAACGCTGTCGCGGGTGTGTGGTCGTCGGTCGCGTTGAGCGAGTGATCGCCTTATCCGAGCTGTTTTGAATGTGAATGCGTCCGTGACCAGGAAAAGTGGCCGCCATGGTCGAGTGGTCGCCATGGTCGAGTGGTCGCCATTACAGGTTTTACTGTAATTGTTTAGACCTTGCATATACAAAGGAACGCCGTCAACAGGTTAAAGTGCTCAATGCAAGTTAAGTACCAACTACAGTCCATTCACAAAAAGATGGGCCCTGGCTCTGGCGAGCTCCCGTATTTGGCGATTTTTCAAGATTTTATCGTACACAGTGCAGTGCTTCGAAATTTGAAATTTGAAAAAGGGTCCAAAAGGGTACCTGAACTAAGGTATGAACCGCACCAGGGAGTCGTAAAATACCGGTATTTTATCGACTCCCTGAACCGCACAATGCACTGTTGCAGGCAGGGTCAAACGGCCTGGATTTTGATGGTATTCCCAATTCAGTGCCCTTGGGGCAAAACCTGGCCGAAATCTTATTCTTGCTACGGCTTGCTTTTTGGAGAAATAGACTTCAGAAACAGGAAGAGGATTCCATAGGGGATTGCAGAAAAATTCTTTAAAAAAACTCAACGTTTGACCCATTTATGGCCAAAAGCTATAAGTCCATATTTTTCTGAATGGACTGTAGTCAGCACTGCGGAGCCTTTGCACACATGGCCCTGCGTATTACTGCTGTCGTGGACATGGACATCTGTACTACTATACGGGAGGTTAAGCGGCCCCAGGGTGCTGGCCATGTAGCTGTGTATGCGCATACGATCAACATGTGCACGTGCACTGCATGCAACGTTCTGTACGCACTGAGGGCACCGGCCCCGGTAATTCGACTGGGTTTCCATATCCACAACAATATAATATAGGTTTTTAGAAAAGATAAAGGACCAAGGAACTACAAGTTACGCTATAATGTCCACTAACACCACCGGTTACTAAACAATTGGCTCATGCAATAACATTGCCAAGTCATCCGAGTCTATATCATAGATGTTGCTGAGACAGCAGGAGTGGTGTGATCTTGCATGTGTCGTTGTTTGCTTTGTGCCATCCTTGTTGTTTTGCAGGTGGCAACTAGAGAGCAGCCAAGCTGGCTGGCAAAAAGCACTGTCCACGTTGAAGAGGATACTCCTGTCTCAGGGTCACCGAGTGCAGCACCATCTCCGGATGGTTCGGGTGTGAAATCTTCTGCAGCCGCTTCAAAGAAGGGTATGGGATTTACGGTGCACGGTTGTTGCGCTCTTGTGCGGCTGTAGCATGCAATACTCCACCGTTGTGTAGTTCACTATCGGGTAGTTCTGTGCCGCACATAGGATGATCAGGTGACGTTGGTAAACAATTGAGCCATTATCCTACGATGTTCAAGTCAAGAGTGACCAGAACTGCGTGGTATTGCATATGCATGTGGGTAGCAACGGGGGTTCAGCTGACAGGCATGTCCATGTAGTAGCAAGTACAGTTGTGACGAATCAACAGCATGTACAATTATGATAGTACTCACTGCTAGACTAATATCGCTGCACCACTTTGCCACTGCCCCTAAAGGCTTGCCTATGGAACTAGTCATAGTTGCATAAAGCCAAGTTGTTTTGTTGCTACTGGCTTTCTTCCTTGTCCGCGGGGTTTTGCTAGCTCTGTGCTAAAACATTGGATTTTGGAAGTATTCTAACAATTCTGTACTCACTTTGCCAGGGTTGACTGGCCTGGTAGTAGAATTGGTTTCTTTGGGACCAGATTATGTGGTCGTGAAACCCAACCTGTGTGTGTGTGTGTGTGTGTGTGTGTGTGTGTGTGTGTGTGTGTGTGTGTGTGTGTGTGTGTGTGTGTGTGTGTGTGTGTGTGTGAACGTGTATGCTGGCACTCCTCCACTTGCAGGCGGCTCCAATCACATCCTCACCGACTTGCTGATACACGAGTCGCGCGCGAGCGGCAACGTTCCTCTACCGCCCGGCGTCACGTCCACGGTCGGCAAACGAACCATTGCTCAGCGTCAAGAAGAGGACGACAGCAGCAGTGAGGATGACGAGGCAGCCGCTAAGAGGCAAGCGCAGGCGCTGGGTAGCCGCTCGCACTTGCTGGAGAGTGCCGCTGCTGCCGCCGCTGCTGCTGCTGCAGTGGCCAGCAGTCAGCCGACGTCGTCGGGCAAGTCCAGTCCAGCAGACGAGGTGGAGATGATGGAGGATGACGACGACAATGAAGAGGAGCTGACAGTCAAGGTACGGTATAATATTCTGTATTCTATGACAGTAGTGTCGGGTGCCGAAGAACGGACAGGCTAGAATTTCACCACGCACAGCATACCGATATATGCAAGATGACTCTACTGCGCATAGACTGCTATACATGAAAATAAGAACTGTACGTATATGTACAGTGAAACCTGGAAGAACACCAATAAGACAAACTTTCGCTTTAGAAGAACTAGTATTCTTTTAAGGCTATTGGATAAATCACTGAGTGTTTACTGGGGCATAAAATATGGATATTAAAAGAAGCAGTCCCGCGCCGCTATTGCGAACAAATGCAATCAGTCCCTTGGTGTTCATCCTAAAGAGAGACTGTACATGTACTTGGTCTAACGACCAAGGCAATGGTATCTGTCAAAGGGCGCTTTCGATTACACGTTTACACAATTCTGGAACTGTTTTTTTAAATTCTGGAATGACCAGAACGAGCGGATTCCGACCTTGTAAACGAACGACTGGAATTCACAACGCATTTTATTCATGTCATGTCGCAAACAAAATAAGAATCGTAAAAAGAGATCACGTACACCCTTGGTCGCACGTGGACCCAGCATCGCACACACGCCGGCCAGGGAGGCTCTTCGCGTGCTTGAGTCATGACCAGACCGGTGACACACCGACTGTGCAATTCTGGCGCCAGAATTAGAGAAATTCCGCCCTCTCTTCGGAATTGACGGAATTGGATAAAATCAATTCTAACAACGGAATTTGTCACTTTTTGTGTAATCAAGCTGTGCATCACCAATAACTAATTCTAGAATTGACCGAAATGCGTGTAATCGAAAGCGCCCAAAATCAGTGTGTTCACATAGCCAAGAGTGTACATGAAAATCAGAGTGTGCACCTCGACGGTATTGCTGCCACGGCAAAATTCCGGGATTGCTTAATTGTAGCCATGCAGTGTGTACAAGCATGTCTGCGTGCAGATAGACCGATGATAGAACTGATCGATCTTGACAAGGCCCTTCCGAATGGGAGTTCAGCATTCAGATCCATGCAGGAGGATGGAGTTGACACAGGCAGTATATGGGTGCTGTTTCCTGGAACATCATACAGGTATATGGGTGCGTTGAAGGGGCACCCGTAAGTGGCTTTCTTTTTTTGTTGGCGTGTGTATTCCTGCAGGTTGGCGGCAAATCATACCCACTCAGTGAGGTCACTGGTGATCTCCTTGCCCAGATGACCGAGGAGGAGAAGACCGAATACACCCGCCTTGCTCACCAGGCCTATACAGACCAGTTTGATATTTAATACTACTGTTGCTGCTGCTAGTGCTGCTGCTGCTGCTGCACATCGCCAGCAACTGGCCAAGATTCTATTGTTGGCAGCCAAAATGAAGTCGGCATTGTATCCTGTCCTGGTCTACCTGCAGTAAAAACACACACATGACTGTGCAGGTAATTTGCGGTCATGGTTCAACTCGTCACAAGGTGCACTGCTACGTGAGTAGAGCACAAGTTCACAACAACAACAAAATAGTTGTGCACCGGTCTGTGTCCTTTTTAACCACTTCAAAAGCTACATGATTGTACAGTTCTTCGGCAGCCATGTTGACGTAAAATTTTAGACCAGTTGAAAATTCACAGAGCGTGCCTCCTTTCCTGCTGTTGCACCTTGAATACCCGAATCATTGTTGCTCATACTCTGCTCATACTCTGGATATCAAGTATTGTATTTTCTCTCAAGTAGTACACTGTACAGTACACAGAGACAGTGCTCTTTTTTTCTAGACCTGGTAAGAATTATTATAGTGCTGTTTAGACTGTATGTGGCATCATACAATTTCCTCACTGGACCGCGGGTGACGTTCCTCTCGCCGTTTATCCTCTTGACACATAGAAACGTTTGCTATCGGCCTTTCTTTCGTCAGTGTTCTTCCGTGCATTTCGTTGATACTGTTTGATAGTTTTGGACATTTCCTACTGACAGCTTGCTAGATGGAGAAGCAAATACACTGAACCGCCTTTCCAAAACAGAACTCTGGATCGTGCCCAAGTACTTCAAGTACATGGTGCAATATTCTTTGTTAAAGAGGACAGCAATGGATATTGAAAAACCATGATACAGTACTTCAAAAAGCAGACGGTTACTACGTTATACGCACCTAAAACCTAAAAAGCAAAGATATTACTATCAAGGATAAACTCTGATGCATTTCATGGGTAGAAAGATAGATATACATGACATACATGTAGCACAATCACTGACTGTTACTATACTAAGACACAACATGCATGGCAAGAGGGGGGGGGGGGGGGGGGGGTTAGGTACTCTTGCTGCTAGAAAATGGAATCATTGATGCATGATGGGTTCAAACCGAAGCTTATTCACAGTCCTAGGCAGATCAGTATGAGGAGATCTGTGCAGTGTTTGTTTGAGTCAAGCTGTTGTTATTAATAATTATTATTAATGAAGCTGGTGTCAGTCTGGAGTATGAAGGATTATTTAAGGTGGGTTGAAAATAGTATACTCATTAGAGCTGCTGGAGGTTGTGATCACTTCATGAGGAGAGACGAGAGAGTATATGTTCCGTACAGCCATCATCTATTTTAACTTCCAGATATGAAGTATTAGTAGGCAGGTAGTGTCTGTCAGCTTGCAAGTATGTTCTGTTATTCATGAAGGTGTGCAAGGCGATGGCGGAATGGCTTTGTGTTGTGTGTCAGCAGCACGGGGTCGCAGGCGCCGCAGTGCATGTTGTCCGTGGCCATGCGGAGTCTCCGCAACAAGAACGGACCGCGGGTCAGCATCCTCCTTACCAACATTAGGACACTGCCGGACATCCCGTAGCCAGTCTGGGCGCACTCTTTTGTGTAGCGGGAGATTACCAGTGTGGTCTGATGTGCAGTTAGCGCTACGCTCAGACAGTGGTGAGAGTACATGATCTTCAACTGCTGACGGCACACACTCAGTGAACTGAGAGGCTACTTGCAAGTCTCTGGCACAACGATGTGATCTAGCGCCTAGCTTGGTGCTGACTAGGGTTAAAGCGGGCTTACGGGACACTGTTTGCTGTCGCTGGCTGCGACGTAACGAAGACACTGTCGAAACCGCTGCCGGTTTTTGAGACTTCTTGGCCGATTTATGATCGTGTCTGCGAAGACGGCTTTTGGTCGCCTCCTTGCGCTTCCTGCGAGGTGTGGCGGTGTTGTCGAACTGTGGGGATACCTACATCAAGAAATGAAAAAAATGCATTACCATAATGTACATGTAATGTTAAACAAATACTTGTGATCCAGAGTCAAGATTCCGGAACCTGAGAGCGCGATCCACACACTGCACTTATCACACCACCCTTGTACTGTATGTACAGTTGCGCTATTTGCAGGTGGGAATCCAACCCAAAGTGCAAAGGTGACGATAGGACCGGTTCCCATTACATCACTGTATTTTACGTGCATACAACCAGCAGCATTCATTTCATGCCACTTTCAGGGCACGAAGGGCCGTGCAGGTTTGGGGCACCAAATACAGTCAACTTTGCGAATAAAGACTGTCGATCGGACACGAGAAAAGCGTTGTTATTCGCGAGTTGTCGTCATTCCTGTGGTTGAAAGTATGCAATGTAACGGTGGATCTGAAGGTGGGTCTGAAGGCAGTGTCGTTATTCGTGGGTGGTTGTCATGCCTGAGGTTATTCACGAAGTTGACTGGATGCACTTCAGGTATAGGATTTCACCGCAACAGTAAATATCAGGATTACGTTGCACATGTATCAGTAAGCAAGAATCGATAAACCTGGCCAAACGTGGTTATGGACTTTGCATAACACTAGTACCGTAAAATCCCGCCATAACGCCCCGTCTCTCCTGTCCGCCCCTCCCTGACTTCTTGTCAGGGATGTATCCTCGTATGACTCTGTCGCAGTCTGTGATGCCGTACTGTACTGCAGACGCGTGCTCGACCCCGTTGGAAATGTACGCAACAGTGCCCACCCTAGGTACCCTCTTGACCAGGGATCGCACAAACCCTGAGTTGTGACGGGTCTGTACGACTCCTGGCTCTTGACCTTTGGTCGGTGTACGAGATGCACGAACAGTTTTCGTAGGGTGAGTACTTTTTCATGTTGCACTGAATGCGGCAAGGAGGATTCGCCCATCCGCCTCTCCCCACCTGAAGCGACGAGGAGGTAGGGGCGCTCTGGCGGGATTTTACGGTAATAGAGAGGTTCCGCATAACGTAATTGTGTTCGTAAAAACGTAGTCGATCTACGGAAAGTCTTCCACTGCATGCGGATCTGTGTTCCGCCATACGGAGTTTTTGAATCACGTAGCTGCCCTTGGCAACTCGGAATGCGACAATGTACGACCGGGTCGACCTGGGAGGAGAATCATAAATTTGTACCCCGATCCACTTACGGAGCACCTCTGTTTTCAGAGCCCTACCTACGTACTCTACGTAGACAATTTTCCGTATTAAAATGGAATGCAAAACTCACGAATTCACGGGTTTTCCCGCCCACTTGCTCAACTTTACGCAGTGCGGAACCTCTCTAAATACTACTGCGTTACCTAACTGTTGAGTGTGATCGAATGTACAGAAAACCAACACCACCGTTCTTAGCTTTAGGCTGTGGCGTTCTTAGAATTTCAGGCTGGACGTTCTTGGGCTCCACGTTCTTCAGCGCGGGACTCTACTGTAGATGTATGTCGCGGCGAAATTCCACGATTACATTATATTTTGTGCACATCTGAGGCGGGAAGTGGCGTAGTGCGTACAACTGAGCTGCAGTTGTGCAGAAAGAGACCTGCTTGAACGCACTACATCACTAAAATGATGTCCAGTCAACTTCGCGTATAACGACACTCGGCGTGGCATCAGAAAAGTGTCGTTATTCGCGAAGTGTCGTTATTCGCGAAGTGTCGTTATACCCGAAGTCCCATTATAATTATGTATTACAGTTGGATGTGACTTTGCTCTGGGCATGGATATTCTGTCGTTATTCGCGAATTGTCGTTATATCCGCAGTCGTTATTAGCGAAGTTGACTGTAATCCCGGAATTTCGCCGTGACACCAACCCATCCTAGCGGCACACTCTGGGTTTCCTGTACTCTTGATTGTATCAAGAGTACAGGAAATCATGTATAATTATACCAGCCTCCATTCAACTCCTATTAAAACATGTTTATATTCAGGTTTTTATTGAAAAAATAAACTTGAACCCACTGTGGAAGTTCAATGGGAGTTTATATAAGAGGGTGGTATAAACTAGTATTTTGCCAGGTTGTTGTCTTTACTGCCTGTGTACCTTACCCACTTGTCAGCTTTGGGGGACCGTAGCTCCGGACCAGCAGCTGGTCTGTGCGGAACATCACAATATCCATGGCTTTTCCCTGAGTGTGGACTCTCCAGGAAGTGCAGCGGTAATTTCGTTGCACAGAAACCAGGAGGCAATGACGACTGCATCCTCCCTACGGGTTCGGCATAACTTTGTTACGAGGAATAGGAGAGCAGTATCCAATCTGCTCCATCGCGTCACCACTATCCCACGATCAGATTGCCAGTGGCATGGCAATCGTGATTATCTAGCTTCCCAAAGTTTAAAGTTTTATGATCTGTTTCAAAAAGTGCTTTCATTTCCCGCTATCTTGCGCAAAAATGGAATTAAGGAGGTTCGCGACGGTTAGCGCCATGTTGGATTTCCGAATTTTTTTCTGAAAAATTATGCCTTTCGGAGTGGAAAAATGGGACGCGATCATGCAAGCAGTTTGACCATGGCTTCCCAGCGCGTGCTCGAGTCGAGACCAGATTTGAGGAAGAAGCTCAGCCGCTAGTGGACTTGCGGATTTGTTTTGACATCGGCGGTTTTTGGATAGCTTGGTTCTCCTGCCGACGTGTCGTGGAGATGAAGACGCGGGAGAGTAATCTGTCACCCACGACGCGGCCTCGCATTCTGCGTACTGGACGATTCAAGAAGCCGAGAAGGGGGACGCTTCGCAAGCTCGAACGATCGATCGAGTTCCTGAAAAACGGAAAGGGCGATCTCCACCACCAACGCCACTGGATTCGACTCCCGCGAAGAGGTCGTTCAGTGCCCCTCTTCACGGTCGACGAATCGTTCATCTCAGGTATCTGGCTGTGGGATTGTCTGCTTGCCAGAATCCTGGATGTGGCAAACCTCTGGCGCTCATTGATTGCGTTGAAGAGAAGAGCCTGGGCAGCGTACTTGTCATTCCGTGTCAGCAGTGTGGGATGGAGAATTTTATAGATACAGATAGCCCTGTAACTGCTCAGCACCCTGGCCCCCGTGCTTCCACAAGCAACACCAAAGCTGCTTTGGGTAAGTGTGTTTTTCAATCTCATCAAATTTATTCATGATATTTGCGAGTCATTGCCACCCTATGGCTATGGAAATGTATGAGCACACTGTATGCGCGGCGAGCGTGTGTGTGTTTGCATAGACCTGCATGTTTGTGCATGTGTGCACCATACGCATGTATGAACATGCATATGCGCTCATGTGGACGTGCCCTCGCACATATACTATACACACGTGCATGACCGCCCCAAGGGCATGTTGGTGTGACATGATTGTGTATGCGGGCATCTCCACTCATGCACATGAGTGTGCACATGCATGTGGGTGGGTGTGTACACGTGCGTGAATGTATATGTGTGCACGCGCACGCGCGCATGTGTGTTCTATTGCGTGTGAGAGCATGCGCGCGTGTGTGTGTGTGTGTGTGTGTGTGTGTATTACCGTGGGCCTGCGTTTTGTAGTGCGTTCAATGATGAGTGTTTTCAATTCTGATTGCCGGTACTTTTATCCCATTATTGCGGTTCTATAATTTTTTGTGTTACATGTGTGTGTGTGTGTGTGTGTGTGTGTCTGTGTGTGTGTGTGTATGTGTGCACGCATGTGTGTGTCGATGGTGTGCATTTTGGTGCTGGGTGAACACTGTGATCCCTAAACCGCGATACCGGAGCTCCCAAGCTACAGCCTCAGATTGATTTATAGTTCATCGTTGGGAATGAGTTCGCTGCTCATGATGCTGTTGCGGATATTGCGGCCCTAGTCGAAGCTCGCCCTGATGCCAGTATCCTGTAGCACTCTGTCACTTTTGCATCAGCATGTTCGGCGATGGGGTTTGCAGAACATCAGCAAAAGCGGCTGGCCACCCTTCAACCGTTGGTCCAAGCAACGTGCTGCTCTAAATCAGTTGCAGTGCGGGCAGCTGCTAGTGGGTTGGTGATGAAGGAGCAAGTCGGAGGTAAGAAGCGGGTGACAGCCTCAAGGAAGATTATATTAGCGGTGGCTGAACACCTAGCCAAGAACCAGCAGCAACCCAACTGTAAGCAACGCCCTGTGGCACAGCGCTTCACTTGTTTGTGCGCACCGTAAAATACCATCATTTTGCCAGTGTGGGAACACGTTCTAGCTCGCATAGTTGAAGAACAAGAGGACTCAATGTTGTCTGATTCGTTCCAACATGTCAGCTTTCATTGTAGTTTGATATAAGGCTGTGGTAAGCGCTATCACAGCTACATGTGTAATGTATCCACTCCAAACCCCATGCCCGGGATATTTCCGTCAAATTTGTGTAAATCGCAACTTGTACCCTTGACCCTTCCTTACTTTTGGTCCCGTATATCCATAATCACTCTACTCTAGTTTCTGCCGATCCCGCGTACCCGCACGCGGTGTTCTCACGCACCGTATTGCGTGGTACGATAATGTTGTACTTTCCTGTGCCGCGTACCCATTTTTGGCTTTCTTCTCCCTTTTTATGTATTCTCCCTTCGACAAGAAGTGCTTCTCTTCCCTTGGTAGTTAGAAGACGGCTGTCGTTTTTTCTCTCTGAACTTCAGTTTATCCATGTAATTCTGGTGCCCCTGGCTTGCTGTGTCGTGTGGTGTTGGATGTGAGGAATCTGCATGCTTTCCCAAGATTCCGACACATGTACATGTATCAAAACCAAGTACCAACAGGAGAGTAATCATGGAGAAAAGTACCTATCGATAATGCGTGCACCCAGGGTTTTCCGGCAAATTCACTAGTTCAGCTATTCCATCCTTGTATTGTTCTGAACGCCGAGGGCTCTAGCGAGTTTATGCAACACCTAACAGCCAAAAATCCAATAAGTTATGACCAAAGCAGCAGCAGCGAAGTACAAGCAATATAGATACGTGAATTTACCAATTTTAGGCAAATTTTGACAGTTTTTTGGATTTTTCTCCAGAATATGCACGGTGACCCCTATTTTCGCCACGGTAAACCTGTTCCAACCCACTTATAGAATGTATTTGAAGTATCCAAATTTGGGGCAAACTCAAAAATAAGCTGCAAAAAATATTCAAAGTTTCATTTTTTGCGTCTTTTTGTTCTTCTCAAGGAAATGACGACCTGGATCCCATCGTCAACCAAAGTGTACATTTTTCGGTGTTGATACCATCTTAGTCAATACCTCGAACAGTCTGTATAATTTTATGTCATATTTTCTGTCCTAACTAGTGTTATGGACGATTTCTCATCAATTTTCGGATTTTGCGATATTTTGTGTTATCAAGGAAAATTGTGTTTTTGGCAAGACCTATTCAGGCAATTGAAAAACTGATGACATCAGTTTAACATTGTTACTAAGCGAAAATATAAGGCTGTACCTATTCAAACCTGATGTCAGATTGGGCTGATGTTGAAATTAATTTTTTGGGCCTAACTGTCCCGAACCCCCTTAATGTTTTTATAGACGCGGCTGGGTACGCGCGCGCGCGCGTGCACGTGTACGTGCACGCGTGTGTAGATCGGTACGCGGTACAGTCAAGAGTTCATAACCCCCCGGCCCCCGGGGCAAGAGTGCATAAACTGTTTATGGACTCTTGCCCGGGGGTTATGAACTCTTGGTACAGTACATTCAGTTTTTTGCTTTTTGTTATCTGTTGTTGTTGTAGAGAACACAGTGTACAGCTCATTCGACTGTATACAATTCATGTACTAATTTTATAATTAATATTATAATATTTGTAGTCATTGCATAATCATTATCTTACGTCTTGTGAGCCTGAGAGGCGAAATGAGTGATCTTGAGAAAAACTAATTACTTAGAAGGTCAGACTCAGGTCGTGAAATAATTCCCAACGATAATTTTAACACTGGTTGGGCAATGATCTATCATTACTGAGTCTGTATCAGGGAAAACTTAGTACAGTCCAGGAGTCCCTGATTAGAACAGAAAATCCTGATGACATGACGATACACAGGTAATGGTACGATCACCCGACTGCACGATCATCTCTAGTTGTCGATCTCACGAGACAGGCAAAATCAAGTTCTAACGAAGACATGTCAGCTCGAATGGAGAAAATCATACAAGAGATGAAACCCACGAGCCGATGACTCCCTGCGTCCTGGCATCATATCATGTCAACAAAATCTTCAGAAGCTGTCACCATGCCCCTCGTCAGATAAGACCAGCGCCTACAACACACGTCTGCCAAGATCTGACCATCACAACCACACACACACACACGGTAGATCTACATGTACATGTACAACGACAACTCAATGTAAAACCTGAAAACAGAACAAAAAAGTGCCTCACACGAGTCACGTAGCTACGTAGATCTACTACGCAGTTCTACGTAGCTCCACGCACATCGTACGACGATCTTGCACACTCGATTTGAAATAATTCAGAAGCCCGTGCAGATCATCCTATCCTACTCGTAGATCTACTCCTGATCCTGGCTTTTTTCGAAGTAGCATTACATCTATTGTAGCTGTATCCTGTATCGTCGAAAAAGAAAGACGAGGTAGACGATTGCGGTAGTAAAAGAACTGCCACAGTGCCAGGCTGTGCCAGCCAGTATTGCCATCAGTTCTAAACAAAGACTGTGAAGTGTGATGCCTGTATCTGTGGCGTGATTGTGCTTCACCCACTCACGTACTCGCTGGATCAACTATAGTATAGTATGATCCACTTGATTTGTTGAGGTCAGAGGATAGCACAAGTGAGTTTCCTAAGACCTACTAACTAGGTCATCGATGTCTTCGTATATCATGCCTAGTCCAATTGACTCAGAAAATTACTTCCACGAAGAAGAAGGAGCCATGGACTCGCCAAGTCAGCAGCGCCGAAGGTCGGGTTCATCATCTCAGAGGAAAAGTGGTGGTGTCGTTCGTGCTTTGCGTGAACTGGGAAAGAGACCATGGTTGCCCTCACCACTAGATGCTGCGACCAAATGGCTGACACCTTCATACGAGACCAAGAACGAGGACTTCAGACGTCTGTTCAAGTCTTTGCCACCCAATGCTATGCTCTTAGACGACTATTCTTGCGCACTACAGAGAGATATCCTAGTCCATGGTAGAATGTACGTGTCTCAGGATCACGTCAGCTTTTACGCCAATATTTTTGGATGGGAGACCATTGTTGTCATACCTCTGAAGCGGATTACCAGTGTGACACGCGAGAAGACTGCTCACGTGTTTCCAAATGCTATTCAGGTATGTATCTTGTTGTGTCGGTCCAAATTTTGCTGAGCTTTAGTGTGTGGAGAGTGAAAGGGATATGAGTTATGCATAATTATTTGAATTTTTGGATTTCATGTATCCTATTTGGACATGATTTAAATATCAAAGTGTCAAAGTGCAAGACCTGTTTAATTTAGATCCTGAACGATTGTAGTGGGTGGGAAGGTGCTGTACAACTTACGCACAGTGTATGGATCAGGGCCGGCGGAACCGGTCCGTTTGGTCCGGTTGTCACTGGACCAACTCTGGCTCAGGTCACCCCCTGGGATTCGTCTAAAACCGGGTAGAAAAAAATTCTGGATACACATGTATTATCGATCATGCATACCAGGGATGAATTTATCCGGTATCGCATCACAGTTTGCTATGCAAAATCGATCTACTGCTACTCAAAAATCACCGCGACTAGCAGAAAACTGCGATACATACAGGCTATCCATGCTTAGCTTGCGCCGTCAAGTAACAAAAACTGCTATGCAAAAAAATAACAGTAAATTCAACCCTGCATACGTACATGTACTCAGTATGTGCAATGCACTCATAGTAGGTCGTACATTGTACATTGATATCCATGCAAAATTATTTCCTGTAGTGGGCTCTGAAAACTTGTGAAAGGGCCAAATTCTGCTATTTCTGACCCGATTTTTCAAAAAAATGTCTGGCGCAGATCCCCGGACCCCCTCAAACCGGACCAACTTCGCCTGCTTTCTGGCGGGCCTGTGGATATATGGCCTGGTATGGTATTAAAAAAGTAGGGCTCAAGCGGTTAGTTTAACCGGTTGCAGACCGGTCACGAAGAATTAACGGTTAACCGATAAAGATAACGGGTACGCAGTAACTTTTCAGTAAAAAAAAAGTATCAGGTCGTTGCAAAGTATGCACTTTCGCAGGCTGTCGCACGCATACGCAATTTCTGGGCTGTCAACTCGGTCATATCTGGTCTCTTGGTGTGAGAGTATGTATGAATGAGCATGCAAGAGAATGTGCATGTGTGTGTTGTACTGAATAGGGTACATTTTTTTGAATGAGTATAGTCAAATATACGGTTAAAAAAGAGTCCGCAGGATTGCCGTGGCTTATAGGTTATAACCGTTAAACCGACCGTTAGCTTAGCAGTTAACCGTTAGGGGTAAAACCGTGACCATTTGAGCCCTATTAAAAAGCGTACACTGATTATGGATACGTATACTTCTTCGAAGTACGGGATAGTTGATTACTTGATTTATTTATTTTGTATGAAATGAATGATAATTATATTTTTAAATTCTGGATGTAGTGCATCCTTGAAATCAGCATCATTCAGAGTGTGTAAAAGCATCAGAAGTGTGCAACTGCTGAGCTAAATTGCAGCTTGGGTCTGCAACACCGAAAACAAAACGAAAAGGAGAAAAGAGTGCCAGTGCAAGGTGAGCTTTGTGATTCCCACATGTGCACGGCTTAGAGAGTGCGAACTGTGGGCCTCCGTCACAATTTGACTTTTTGCTGCCGCACACATTTACATCTTCAGTTGGCCAACCATGCTGCTTAGGGCCGGGTTCCACTGCGGCTCCGCTGCTCGTCTTTCGCGGCTTGAAACGTCATCATTACCATAGTGATCGCGGCTCGAGCTGGAGCAGCGAGGCCGCGGCTCACCGCGAGCTTTCGCTACAATTCTTGACCAAAAACTGCGAGCCGCGGTCGCGGCTCGACCTGTTTCCCGTACTTTGCATTGTTTTGTACGCCAGAATTTTAAAATTCAAATTTTAATTCGTTGCTCAGGCCAGAACACGAGGATTTTCTGATTTCGCGCGCGCGCGCGCGAGCGCGTATGCAGGTGAAACGTCATCAAAAAGTGTGGACCACGACCGCGGTACCGCGAGTGTCAGTGGAACCGCGCTGCTCCGCTGCATGCAGCCAAGTGCCGCGGAGCCGCAGTGGAACCCGGCCCTTACGTACTGTGAGCTGTCACTCGGCATCACTAACACAGTGTCATAGCCATGATGTATGGTATTGTGTTCGTGCATGCTCTTTGCATGCTCTGTGAGGTAGCAATTGTGTTCCATTGGATCCCCTGATCCTTACATAGCATGGTCTATTCCGTGATGGTCCAATTCCAAAGTGCAGACAGTGCATTTGGCGAAGCGACTTACAGGTATTGTTTACTGGTATGCCAAGACCCATCGTGTGTGTGTGTGTGTGTGTGTGTGTGTATGTGTGTGTGTGTGTGTGTGTGTGTGTGTGTGTGTGTGTGTGTGTGTGTGTGTGTGTGTGTGTGTGTGCATGCGTGTGTGTGTGTGTTCGGGTGGGTGTTTCAGATTTTACTCAGTGATGGTGTAGAAATCAATGGGACATTTTCCAGTGACCCGAAGCCTCATTCAAGCACTGGGGCTACTGGAGCCACTGCACCAGCACCAGTGGAAACGTCAGGGGAAACTGATCGCACAACTCGGCACAACAAGCTCTGGTTTACGTCTTTTGTTTCCCGTGACACGACACACACAGTTCTTATGAAGGTATAGCCTCTCTCTCATCCTGTCTCTCTTTCTCTCTCTCTCTCTCTCTCTCTCTCTCTCTCTCTCTCTCTCTCTCTCTCTCTCTCTCTCTCTCTCTCTCTCTCTCTCTCTCGTGCTATGTCTGTTTTATCTGCATGTATCATTGAATAGCCTTCTATCATCCAATGAACTCTGTCATTTTAGTACAATACAGTGATAGCATCTAAGATCATCCTGGTGTGTTTGTACCTTTTATTTCATGTGCCCAGGCCTGGCAAAATGTTCTTGTGGATAGTCCTCTTTCGCCTGTACAGCTGCGCAACTTTGCGTGTCGTTGCTGGGGAGAGAAGCCTGACGTTACACCAGCCATGGCGCGTGCCATCATGAGTGATGCATCGATCGTTGCGGGTGACACTGGCAGCGCTAGCACTGGCAGTGACTTCGCGTCATCCGGCAGTGTGTGCGGGGACGCTACGGTGGCAGCGGATACTGGTGACTTTGAACTAGTTCAACAATCCAGCGAGGCAAAAGACAAGCAAGAGAGTGTGGATATGGAGAGCTGTGAGCCAGTGGTGGAGGACACAATGCCTGAACCGGATGAGCCTGTACAGTGTGGCTGCACTGTTCACAAGGAGACTTATCTCAACCAGGTAGGCCTCATCATGATTGTAACTTCCACTAGTCCATAGACTACTACTGACTGAGCGGTGAAGTATAAAATCTGCTTCGGGCTCGACGCCCAGCTCCCTGAAGCCGTGTGTATGTTTGGGTGTGTGCCATCGTTGCGCAAAGATCATAGTGCTGTGTCAGAGGTTGGCTTCTGATGCGTCATCTCGTATATGTACACCTTGCACGGTATGCTGGAGTGATCGACTACCCCCACACATGTATCAATGTGCAGTTTACTATCGTCTGTAGTGATATTAATGCGACAATCTCTCCTCCTCCATGCGCTCTCAGCGTACACATGGCTACCCTCGACAACCATCACACACACACCAGTAATTCTGAATAACGAAGGGCTGCGGGCACTTCAAATATTGTTACTGATAATATTGCTTCTGACAGCTGTTTTCTCCACCAACGGCTCGTCAGAGAAGGTGATTCTGAATAGGATGTTGTAATTGACATGGCAAATATTTATATGGTATATCACGGGTGCAAAAAAACTAGGCAAGGTTAACACTGAGAAATTACAAGAAAATTCTCAACGCAGCTCACCGTGCCCAGGGTTCTGGAATAATATACTACGTACACTGCAGCATCTGTACAACTTACAGGGTGTCAACATGGTCATGGGCCATGCAAGTCCTCAGTGCCAAGTACCATTATTGTCTTCTTTTTTTTAATTAACCGGTCTCATAATCAAAGTGGCCGGCCTGTATGCCGTGTGTTTTGTGCAGACATTCAACTGCTCGGTAGATATCCTGTTTCAGCTTCTCTTTACCAACTCTGAATTCTACAAAGTGTTCTGCCGGGAGCACAAGACAATAGATCTTCGAATGCAGGAGTGGACACCTACTGATGGTGATGGCCAACGTCGTGAGGTAAGACTTGTTGCCACTTACAAAATTATCTCAACAATGTGTCATTCATTACAGCCTTTTGCTATATAGGGCATATGCTATATGGCACTGGCGTTGCATGGCCACTGTGTTTGTCCTTTCTACAAGCAGTATGTATCAATACAAGTGTTGGTGATGTAGTCACTGGTGACGTAGCACTGAAACAGAAATTAAACTTGTACTGTCTATCACTTCGGCAAATCTCTCTTTCTCTCTCTCTCTCTCTCTCTCTCTCTCTCTCTCTCTGCTACACCTCAGGTTACGTATACCTTAACGCTGAACAAGACGATGGGTCCGAAGTTCTCACCAACCACCGAGACGCAGCACTGCTTGGAAGGAAGTTCTCCTGGAAAGATGTATCGAGTAAGTTTGATGGTAAAGAGTTTGCCTAGTGTGCCCTGACATTGAATTTTTTGCCCTTTTTTGTTTTTATGTCTTGCTCCAGTCTGAAGGGCATGAATGAGAAAGGATGAAAGAGCGCTTTTTAGCAGCCATGTTCGTATGCTGCTGCTTACTGCCGCATGTATAACATTTCTCTTATTATTATTGTGCCTTTTGTGTGTAACATTTCTCTTATTAATTTCTGACCTATTTCTGCCTCTGTGTGCGTGTGTGCGTGTGTGTGTGTGTGTAGGTTGATGTTGAGGTGTGCAATGGTGGCATTCCATACGGCGACGTCTTCTGCACGGAGCATCGCTACTGTCTGACGTATCTCTCTCGGTTCCAGTCTCACTTGCACGTCGGAGCTGATATTCACTACCGGAAGTCTTGCTGGGGTCTTGTCAAGGTAATCAAGTTGGCTTTCTCATGAGGGCCATACTACATGTCTATGATCGGGCCGTGTTGTGACCTTCTATGGAGGAAGAAGTCACTGTATGACCAAGTATATTTCAGTACGTATTCTTCGAAGTAGAGGACAAGAAACAACTCTGGATCAGTTGCTACGCAGAGTGTCATGCATGCTCAGGCAACTGGTGATCACGTTAGTGAAGGCTGTGCACTCAGTACACAGAGCACTATTTCCTCAGCTGCTGCTGTTCTACGTCTCAGTGCATGCCGGACCCTGCGTAATGGAATTCCGAATATGGCGTTGCCTGCCGTGGCTTATACCCTTCAAACAACCTGCTGGGTGCTAGCTGTTTTGTCTCAGCATTGTGCATGTGGTGTGTGTGTGTGTGTGTGTGTGTGTGTGTGTGCTACTGTGCATCATACATGTGCATTGGGTGTGTGTAACTGTATAATTATCATACATGCATACAGGGTGTACGACGATCCCGAACAATCCCTTGAGGCTTGACCCTGCTCCGTCTGTCTATCTTGGTCACACTCTCTTTTTGATGTCCAGACATTCATTGAACGCCACTGCTTTCAAGGAATGGAGAGCTACTACAAGGACCTGGCAAACAGTCTGGACGAGGAATGCCTCAAGCTACCGACTCCGGCTGGTGTCAACTCGCATCGGCCATCTCGCTCGCCCAGTCTGTCTGGCAGCTTAGCATCGCTTCCCAGTGATAAAGCATCCTCTGCAAGTGTGCAACAAGACCAGGTTAGTTATCAGTGGTCTGCATGCTGTGACTGTCATTCGTGAAGTGCGCATTGCATCGGCAGCAAGCATTAGGTACTTGTCCCAATGCTAGTGATGATTTGTGTCTGCATGGGCGTTGTAGCTTGAAAAGTCGATTTTATGCATTTGCTTGTCTGAACTTTCAGGCATGTGCATGAAATGGCTTGGTACAAGCAAGCCTGTTGAAGAAGCCAACGCCAAAGTTGAAGGAGCAGAGTGCGAGTGTGGCTTATCCATAGCATAGCGTGAAAGCATTTCGGAATATTCCTGTTTGTGGTACTGGAGAACCATTCCGTCATGCCTACTAGTACTCCACCAGTGCTCGCGTTGATGTCTAATATTTGTGCAGCACATTGTGTCCTGCTTCGTGTCACATGTGTTCTCTCTGTCTTGTCTGTATGTGTGTGTTAACTCAGCTGAGTGAGAGCAGCACCCCTGCAGCTGACAATGTAAACGCTGTGTGTCGGTGCGGGGCTTCCATCTCATCTGGCAAGCGTTCCGGCAGCTCTCGTTCAACGAGCCCCGCTCAGTTGTCCTCCGCAGCCTCGGCACCAGCGTTATCCGAGCCCGTGTGGACGTTTTCAAACATCCTCATGGTTTGCCTGCTGGTTGCTCTCATCTTGAATATCCTACTTCTGCTTCGCCTCACCTTCCATACTCCGGTCATGTTAAACCAAGCACAATCGTTTGGCTCCGCTGAGGACGTCTTTGCAGCGCAGCTGGACCAGTGGAAGGCCGCTATGTTCCGGCGGCAGCAAGCACTTCAAACGTCGTTCGATGCATTTCCGCAGCTCTCACAGGGCGTAGCTGATTACCTCGTGCCCCCGTTGGAGGACAAATAGTGACGCAGGCTCATTGCGTCACTTCTTGTCATGTCTTGTGCGGTATGTGAAGATCGTCCACGTGTAGTTTCCATGCAGGTGCTTGGCTTTATAAACAGTTCTTGAGAATGTTCAGTGTTCTAACCTCTCTCTCTCTCTATCATTTCAGCTTCCTATATTGATCTCTTTTTTTAATTACATCAAAGCGTGCAGAATTTTCTCATTTTTATCCAACCAATGGTTGTCATGAAATCATTTACACTTGTCCACTTTCATACAAATTAGGCAGCCGTTCCCCCATTGCAACCTGGACCGTTTTGTCCTGTTTTGTTTCATTTTGACTTGATGTTGCATGCCATTGCACGAAACTTCTCACAAAATCACATCGCTTCACTAGCATCTGGCTTTGGCTTTTTATAGTCCATCGTCCATTACTGGCATTAGTCACCCGCCTCGCTACTGTGCTTAACCATTGCATTGCTCGCCAACGACACTTGCGGTCACTTTTCAACTTGTTTGTGTGTAGGCAACATGCAGCTGGCTTTGCTGTTACCTACTTTGTTTTATTATCGAAATGGTGATAGTCCTGGTGTTTTAAATGTTCTTTTCAGATTTAATCATCTCATTATTTTTTAATCACAACCTTGTCGAAGTCATTATCGGAACAAAGTGCTAATTTGCGCTTCTTCTTCTTCTCTTTTGATATCCATCCAATCGTTGTGTGTAGTGGCCAGTGATCTAGTTCTAGTTTGTATCCATATAGAATCTACTTCAGAATCAACTGAACCCTGTGACCTGTGATCAGTATGTGCCGAAGAAGGCTATTACCAAGTGAAGTAAAGAGTTTTCATGTACAGTACTGTAAATCAACTAATTAATAATTATTTTCGCTGGCGATTTAATTTCGCTGATTTCGCCGCTGGGTACCAACCGGCCAAAGTAAATCGCCGGCCAAAATTTGTCATAGAGGCAATTATTGAGCCATGGCTGCATGTGAGGGCAACAAATACCAATCGATTTCTTTTTTGAAAACCCAAATCGGCCAAAGTGAAATGATGGCCAAAAGTTTCATTTCGAGATCGGCCAAAGTTAGTTTCTCACTGGCCAAAATTTGTTGATTTACAGTACTCTGCTATTACATTAATAGTATCAAGAGTACATGAAAACCATGTACTCTTGATACTACTCGTAGTACCGGTAATACTTATTACTATACTATTATTGCAGGCCAGCAGGTTGAAGAGCAGGGAGTCGTAGATCTACGACTCCCTGTTGAAGAGCTTGTTTTGTTGCTACGAGTACTTTTATGACATCAAAGTGTAGACCTACTCCTGAATCATGAATGAGTCATGAGACGATACAGAATGATCAAAGTGACGTAGCTAGCTACATACGGTACGTAAAAAAATGAAGCTTTCCTGCAAAAACAATGTCAATAGGCTACAATGTAGTTTCAGATGTTTTACTTTTTTTAGCAAGAGAAATTTTGGTATTTTTGTGAAGAAACTGATAGATAGCCTTACTTCGAGTGCAAGCGACATGGCGGAAGAAGAACCTAGTGCAATGACCATTGGTGATTCGTCCCAGAGGGATGCTCTGGCGGAAGGGATACTGGGCTTGCTGAGGCCTGCAGTGGCCGAGATGGACACGCGAGTAGCAACAGTTCGCGAAAGCCAGCAGGAGCTAAGATCATACATTGATACTTTAGCTGAAGGTTAGCTGGACCCTGCAATATATGTTGCTGCTCAATGCCATGTCCACAATTATTATTTGGGCAGTTGGGCAAGTCGAAATCCAACAAATATTACCAGTGCATATTAACACTATAGTGACTATACCCATACATCTTCACGACACTTTCCAAACGGTCTCTGGGCTACACCAATCACTAAAAGGAAAAAAAGAGATACCAGTAATCTATAGAAAAGAAAAAAAGGACCAAGGAACTACAAGTTACGCTATAATGTCCGCTAACACCACCAGTTACTAAACAATCAGCTAAACAATCAGCTCATGCGATAACATTGCATTACACTGACCGACGGTACTGACGTTCTACAACTAACTGGCTGACAGCTCGTTATACATTATAGCATAACTTGTAGTTCCTTGGTCCTTTTTCTTTTCTATAAAAGAGACAATCATTCGAATTTTCAGGCAAGGCCCATCTTCAGGAGTGTTAATGCTCACAGCAATTTTACCACTGAAGTTTGATTTCAGCTTTACAATTACCGTACAGAAAAAAAAGAACAACAAAAATTCAAGGTTCGCATTAGACTCGGCTGGAGGCCGAGTTTTCCGCATCCATAGGAACGCCATCACCCTCTATGGATCAAGACACAGGAACGCCATCACCCTCTGTGGATCAAGGTGCAGATGCAGCTCCTAAAGCGGTGGGAGGTGAGTAGACCAGACCCACCACAAAGTGGTCAAAGACCGAAAATCCCATTCGCTGCATCAATAATTACAGAAATTGTGAAAAAAGGAGAAAGTGTTGTGTACAGTCGCAAGAATTTGCACGAAACTTCCAAGCGCCTTTCACTCCCGTTCGCGTTTACACTTGCCTTTTTGCAATTTGGTTCAATTGTCCAAGCAAATTGTTACATCTTAGCTGGTCCGGAAATATTTTGCATCATACGTTATTTCCTGTTCGTAGCTAACAAACAATGATGCAGGCCCAGCTGCACTGCAGTGTACAGTGCATCAATTTCTCAAGTTCCATGCTTCAGAATGTGTGCCATTTTGTGGGGTACTACAGTCCATTTCAAAACTATAGACGCGTACCTAGGCAAAAACCGTTATGCCAGCATCTATACCACATAAAATCTGTGATCACTTTGTGCATAAATTTTTCCAAATTGGGCGTCTGTTATCCAATCGTTTAGAAACTATAATGAGAGTAATTGTGGAGCGGTCCTGAGCAATATTCCGAAAACTATTCTCAAAACGTTCCAGCCAAATTTGAAATATTTCAAAAACCCTACGCGTCTATAGTTTTGAAATGCACTGTAGTATATCATCAAGAGTACATAACCCCCCAGAGTGTGCAACGCCTGATCCAGCTCTGCATAGGGTCTTGGTCGAGCGGAATCGGATCTTTGCGTCATAATACCGTACACATCTGAGGGGAACCCGGTGAGTCGCGGGTACTCTTGGATCAAAAACAATGGTGCCCTGCCTCGAGACCGGCCTTGCGCTGGTGTGGAGTGTACGCATGACATCAGAAGATCCGATTCCGCTCGACCAAGACCCTATGCAGAGCTGGATCGGCGTTGCACACTCTGGGGGGTTATGTACTCTTGATATCATGCCACATCCGTACTGCCGACTTTAAAACTTTAACTTTTTGTGAAAGTGTCATGGCCCGTACGTTTCTCGTTGGTTCTAGATATATGCCCATGTTCCACGCTCCACGTATCATAGTCTTGTACATGCCGCCAGGTTCTTGACCAAATAATCTCAAGAAATGAGACTACCCCACAGTTTTGGTCCTAGCCTCCATTCCTCACCATACACGCGATCACAACGCAAACAGGTTCAGGTATAAACCACTTTTATTGAATCAACACATATCAATGTAGTTGATTGTTCCAACTAGAAACACACGCTTCTTGCCGAACTTGACACTTGACTGACTCACGACTGCCATCGGGAGCACACGAGGAGCACGTCGCACCTTCCACTCGGCAAACCTGCAAGAAAGCACCACCCCCTGCTCAATACACAGTGTTTTGGGGGAATTCGCCCCTCATCACTGCTCTTCACTGCTTATCCCCTCTTTTGCTTATCTCTGATAACATGAGCCTCCCAAGTTGTTGGTTGGGTGGTCGTTGTTTCGCGTTTTTGAAGTGAGCTGTGGCCGTCCTGTGCCGTGGTCCTTCGTCCTTCGTCATCATCTTGCCACAGCTAACATTCTTAGTGAGCTGTGATGTTTAGTTTGTTTTCGTCTAGAGTGCGCTCACCTCCCCCTTTCTTAAGTTACTTCATAACTAACTTAGAACCTTCCAAGTTGGAAGGCTTGTGGTTTGCGCAAACCAGAGGTGATGCAGCTTAGCATCAGGTCGTTGAATATCAGTATCAGATTCACATCAGTCAGTTTTGTGCTAATTGTTTCCTGTGCCGGCTCTACCCGGTTTGAGTCTGAGGTACGGAATTTCTGTACATTGTGTGTGTGTGTGCGTGTGTGTGCATGTGTGTGTGTGTGTGTGTGCGTGTGTGTTTTGTCCTACATGTATTAGAACTGAAGCAGCTGTCTGCAATGCAAGCGTTACCTGTAGACCTCGAGCCGTATGTCAAAAAACTGGCGAACGCCAGGAGGCGCGTTGCACTTATCGTCAGTCTCATGCAGACAGTGCAGGTACGGAACATATTGTTGTGCACCCGTAGTACATGGTGTGTCGGCCATGGATACATGTGCATATGTGCACGCTTGTGTCCGTCAAGAATTCAGGGGGTTGTCATCCGTATCACACTGTCTGTATCGGACAATTTTCATACGGAATTTAAATTCTGTACGCTATGCCCGATGTCCTATTTTTTTCCGTATGAAAATGTCTCACTGTACTACAGCATCAGCACATAGTAGAAGTATCCTTGATTGCCAAGTGTATAAAATTTCCTGCTGTACAGTATCAAGTTTTGTCAGATGGGTTCACAATCCACGTGTACTAGTAGTTTGGATAACATGGCCGTTGAATGCTACTGTGCTACCTGTGTGCTAACGTTAGAGCATCTGGACAGTGAGTGCAAATGATTCTGCAGTTCCTAACAGTCATCACACCTGTATTCATTTGCTCCGGGTATGTCTTTTGCAGGACCGCCTTACCCGTGTCCAGCAGGGTGTTGCTAAGGAAACATCGCGTCGAAAAGCGCTCGCCGCAGTACAGCCTTCGTAACATCTTTTTGGCGTATTCTAAGTGAAGAATCTCCTTTTGCAAAGAACTACCCCTCCCCATTGTACAGATTTTGATTTTCTTCCCTTTCTTTGCACACGAGTAGTCTTGATGATTCACATTCCACAGTCAAAATCAACTGAGAACGTTTTGAACAAACATACTCATCAAAAATGAAATGAAACAGTATGAAACGCTATAAATATGCTGAAATCACGCTTCCTATTCAATTTATGAAACACATTGTGGCAGGCCATGCAGTTTTTCCACTAGCTTAAATCAATTCACTAAGGACAAGTAAATGTGGTATGTCATGCAGGCATGATCATATTGTACACGAAGCAAGACTACAAAATGGCCAAAACATGGCACATACACACACACACACACACACACACACACACACACACACACAACACACACACACACACACACACACACGTATGCTGACTTCTTCATTCCGTATTCCGCTTTTGTGTTACTTGCATAGCATTGATTTCTATCATACAATAGCAGGGTTGTGATAGCACTTCAAGTACCACCGTTAACCTGGCAGCGATTCGTGAGTTCAGTATGTACGGCATGGCGTGTTCACGGGTATTGTATGTGTCAGATGGCCATAATACACATGTACATCATGGTTTTCAGTGTGTGTGTGCGTGTGTGTGTGTGCGTGTGCGTGTGTGTGTGTGTGTGTGTGTGTGGCACCACATCAGCATGACTGTGCACTTATATAGACATTTCAACACAATGGCGATCGATATTGAGCTGCACCTCCGAAGCGCTCACTGGGATGCCTTCCACCAGTCTCGGTTCTGTGCTGCAGAAGTAGTGCTGTAAACAAAACAATCAGGTGAACACACACACACATACACATACACACACACACACACACACACACACACACACACACACATTGCTTGCACAGTGCGCTACTTCGTTTTTATTGCAGTTGGGCAAATTCGGTTTGGTCTGAGAATGTAAATTAGTAATTACTAATAGTCCATAGATGTGTGATTAGTAGCATCAAGAGTTCATAACCCCCAAGAGTGTGCAACTCCTGATCAGTCCCTGTATGGAAGCCCGCTCGGCGGAATTCCTTCATTGCGTCATTTTGGTGCAGTGCGATGAGTCACGCCGATGAATTCTTCTAAAATTTACAGTCAAACCAGGATGCTTCCCCAGGTCAAACTGCCTAAGCTGCGATTCTAGTCTGAGCCTCAAGAAGCAAAAGTGAAACAAAGCAAAGCACACGATCCGAGCACATATTTTTTCGATGCAATGGTGACTCTTCATCGCCTTCTTCTTTCACCAGTGCAGTCAGTCTCTTCAAGAACAATTTCTTCCCCAGGCCATCGGCATATTTCCGGTGCTTTCCTCGAAGATGATTTCAAATGGTTGAGGAACTTGAGAGAATACGTCGAAGGAGCATTTTTCGGCTGAGTTGCACAGCCATCAGAATGACTGTCCTCGACGGCAATGCAATATTTTTTAACAGCGTCCTCACTTCTTCCTGTCGCGATGTTCATGGATTCTTGGAGAAAGAGTTCAAGTTGTTTTTGAGAAAGTACGACTTGTACGTCCGAAATGTCTACGAAAAAAAGCTTCGAAAAGTCAAGGCTACAGCCTTGAGTTAGGAGCGGTTCAGGGTATAGTTTCCAGAAATCGCAAAGAACCCAAATTTACCTGGGATGACAAGCTGAGCATGACGTAATGTAGGAATTTCGCCGAGCGCTGGGTCTATGCCCGTTGCACACTCTTGGGGGTTATGAACTCTTGGTAGCATCAGTGGCTGCCATTGTGTTGGTGGAAACTTGTTGGAGTTTTACTTGGATCCTTTTGAAATTGGTACAAATACACGACCTCATTGAGCCTATGCTAGGGATTGAGTTCATGTTTGCCTCTCGGGTGCAATGCTTGAATGCTTTTCTTTCTGTTCATCATCATTAATTTTTATGCGGTCAATAAAAACACGCTTCCAACAGTAGCATCACATTGAACCACTAATTTCAAGAAGGAGTTCATGGTGATGTGTCCCTGGTGGTCATTGGAAAGCCCAAGATGGCAAACTTTGCTTGGGCCCTTTCCCCCGGCCACGGCTTTGTTTCTTTCCGGCTCCCAAGAGCATCATGTTGGCGGCAAGGTATGAGTGTGAAACCCGGCCCTACAAAGAACAGCAGTGACTCTGGCAGCCTGTCTTGTCACCGGCTGACTGGGGTCTCCAGCCTCCTGGGTGCTGGGCACGATGCAGCATTGCCCTACATGCTGTCATGCGATTGCCATGACTCATACATAATGGTATTGGCAGACAAAGATACAGACTCTGGTACGTTTGAAATGGATTGCCCAATCTCCGCTGTAATGTATACAGTATGCAAAACTTACCCATCTGCTGCTCCAGACAATGCTTTGATGTCGCTGTGCAGTGACTTGGGTGGCGTCATGCTGCGCCGCGTGTCACGGCTCAGATAATAATTCGTGTGTATCCTTGTCGCCTCACCAGGTTTGGGGTTGCATGGTGGGTAGTCCCTGCACGTACCACGGAAGAAATGGAAAGCGAAGAAAGCTCACCATCAGGTCAACAGCAGCCAAAAATGCAACTACAAGTGAAAACCTCTTGTCAGGCTCTTGACATGTTGAGCAATATAGCTACGGTATTTCACCGAAGTTACAAGTCACACTTGATTATAAGTCGCAACCCCATTTTCAGGTCTGAACCAAATTGTTTCAATACGTTCACATCAGTAGGAAGGCACACTCGGTTGTAAGTCGGCACTCCCTTCTTTCCTCTTGAAGGTTAGTGTAAAAAGGTGCGACTTACATTCGGGGGAAATACGGCGGAATGTTTATGTTTTCTCCACGGAATGCAATGACAAAAGGATTTCCAGGATTTCCAGCACACAGGTCACATTGCAATTATCTACTGAGTTTAAGCACATGATGTAGCTGGCTTGCATGTGACATGCTTGGACTTGAGCGCATACGTCTTCTATCTTGTCTCTTGCTGCACCCTGCATGCCGTGTCCACGGGTTCTTCGTGTGTTACACGCGACACGTGTTTCTTCGTTGTAGCCTTGTCTCGTGACAGGGCTCTATACTTGTACATTCAGGATGCAGTTCACCCACTTCCAGTCTGTCCAACCTTGCCACCACTCCAAAGCAGGACACCCACCGTATTATGTATACAAAGGCAATTGTGTCCCATGTAAATGTATACAAACGTTTCGGTCCAAAGCAGGACGGTTGGACAGCCTGCACTTCTGATTTCATGCATTCGGTGCATAGCGCCAAGAGTACACAAGCCAGACTTCGCATCTCCGGGAGAATGAAACAAAGGCAACCTTTTCTGTTTATGTCGTAGTGACGCACGGCTATGCTGCATCTCATACCAGTTCACATGGTCATTCTACTGTATCACCAAGGTAACTTCTGTTGCACAAATGCTACACAATCTACATCTGGTTTATGGCACTTTATGCACCCTTGATAGTGCACCACTAAATACAGGTACAGTAACCGCGCTTCATGCTGTCCAGTTGTTCGTTTGATTTGAAATCCAAAGTTTTTTTGCATGTGGAGCAATTATTTATTGTCTCCACTTGAGCTTTCCCGCCACACTGAGCGCCACGTTGGCTATAGTCTATAGGAAGATACGTGTTGTACATGTACCCGGCTGTAAATCCAATAGGTGCAAGAATGATACAGTTGCAAATGACAACCAAAAGATCCCACTATGCTGCAAGCAACCCATGACAACCGAGTGCGGCTTAGTATCCGTTGCCTACACACTTACACACACCACTGTTCACAGAAAATCTGCCATACACCCCATTCCTCAGTTTTCATGCACTACAGTCTGCATGCTTGTTGGTGATTATTTGCACTTGCTCATTTTAATTGTTTACTCCCACAACTACGCCACAAGTTTTGAATGCATCTCATTCCAGATCGTTCATCGTATACAGTCAACTTCGTTTATAACGACATTCGGCGGGGCATCAAAAAAGTGTCCTTTTTCGCGAAGTGTCCTTATACCCGAAGTCTCATTATTATGTATTACAGTTGGATGGAACTTTGCTCTGGGCATGGAAATTCTGTCGTTATTCGCGAATTGTCGTTATATCCGCAGTCGTTATTAGCGAAGTTTACTGTATGTATGTGTCCTATCCGGTCTCCATGAACGCATGCGTGGGGCAGGGGATAGAGCCGACATAAACCGTTTTATATGTCCTACTAGCAGCACCCCCGCCAGCGTTGCCTGGCCGAATGTGGCATGCGGGTGAAGCAATTCGCAAGTACATGAACAGCACACGTGCTCAGCACGTGGTGGTGGCCAGACCGCTGAAGTCCTGGTGAGGGAGGTTCTTCATCGTTGGAAGGAGAAGGAGGGACGTCTGTTACGCCTTCGGGAGGCTGGTCAGGGTTGTCCATCACCTGGTGGCGGATGAAGCGGCTCAAAAAATTCATAAACTTACGAACAAAAGTGCGATGCGCTCTTCACTGCAGATCAGATGCAGAGTGCAGTCAGTGCAGATCTTTTGTATCCTTTTGTTGCAGATGTTTCTATTTGCAGAGAACGGTTCACGTGGTCCGCAGCGCTTGTGCGGCTGCTAGTGCTACCTATGCCTATGGCCTAGGCTAGGTGGCTACATGATTCGCACGCTTCGCGTGCTCAGTGCTTCTGCGCGCGGCTGCTACTGCTAGTGCTACTCGTAGAGATCTACTGATCGTGTCTGCTAAATAAGTATAAGCGCTACCACCGTACCTACACTGTTCGCACGCTTCGCGTGCTCAGCACGTGGTGGTGGCTACACGATTCGAACGCTTCGCGTGCTCAGTGCAACTAGTGCTTCTGTGGCTGCTTCCGCTAGCTACACGATTCGCACGCTTCGCGTGCTCAGTGCTTCTGCGGCCGCTAGCTACACTGTGCTACACTGTTCGCACGCTTCGCGTGCTCAGGGCAGCGTGACACAAAAACACACGTCACGGCCTCACAGGTGCCTCTTCTTTATAAGGAGCGTGACACACACACACACACACACACACAGACACACGTCACAGGTGCCTCTCTTTTATAAGTAAAGATGTATACAGCCGCACGAGAGAGAGATTTTGGTAGTTGAGTAAAACATAATCATACATGTGCCTAGCACACATACACACATGCACACAAACATACACACGGAGCACACACACGTGCACACACGGAGCACACACGCATGCACACACGGAGCACACGCGCGTGCACACACGGAGCACAATCACGTTTGAAAGTCACTGCATACATACCTGGGCATAACGCCATAACCCGGGTATCTTTGTCCAATATCCAAGTCTTTCTGCAAAAGAACAATGTTCCCATTTGCAAAAGAAAACTCCAGCTCAGTTCTGCCTACAATGCTACTGTCATGTAGCTCGGAAGAGGAGTAGGTTACAGGCGAATGCTCTAAACCTGTTCATGAAGCTTACCCCGCTAAATATTTGTAGAATCCTGCGGGTGATTCTCAAATAGTATCCAGGGGGCACAGCTAGTTTGCCTGGCGCCATACCTCAGTGTTGGCAGTGTCACCTAGGTCGCTCCTTCGCCTTTGAATTATTTGATGTCGACTCGACAAGCTTTGATTGTGTGCACAATAAAGTCTATGCGGAATCTTCTACCCCGGCAAAAGAACTCGCAGAGGATACCATCTGATCTATGAGCTATAACAGTGTTTCTACGTGGTGTTTGATATGCTAAACTCCTCTCTCACCAGCCGTGATCAGGACAAAGTTTTGTAGCTCAGCAAACTATTCCTTGGTAAAGTCGCTTGGACTTGGTAATACTAATAGCAGCTACTGCATGTATGACGGTTTCCCGTTCGAGCTTCGTTTTGATTTTCTCTTTTTTTGTTGTTGCAAAAGTCAGTTCGATATTAATTTTCAGTGTTTAGCGCCGTGTTTCTGCGCCGTGTACGAGACCACTCGCGTGTATGTACCGCGGTCAGTGCATGCAGTGACGTGCAAGTGAGTTGTGTATCTAGCTCGCTAGCGCGGGCCATACACGATAATCGATGCAGAACGCAAGATGTGCCTGACATTTTTTCTTCATTTTTAGCACAGGAAAGAAACCAAAAAACGTCAGACTCAAGAGGCAAAGGCTGGTGAGTCTGCACTTCATGATAATTCAGACTTCATTGGAGACTAGGTTGTTGGTACTTTTTTTTAGCTTCAAACAGTGTCCGTGTTCGTGACAAGTGGAGGAGAAGGGATAACACCTCCATCTCAGAATGAAACGACGAGGTTAGAATGAGTAGATTTGTGCCAGTGAAGTTGCTTACTGTCTGTATTAGTAGTATTAAAATTTGCAATTGCAGTCGTTGGTGGTGGCTCTGAGTATCTAGATCGTCCACCTCACATTGAATTCTAGCTGGAATATATTTGCATTGCCTTGCCCTGATTTGCAGTTGCTGTAGCCCAGGCGAAACGCAAGATTGCGAAACAGAAAGCAAAGGCGAAAGAAACCCAGCGCAGAGAGTAAGTGTCGAACACTCCCAACAGCTACCGTGATGTGCCTCTTGATGGACTTTCATTGCAGCCCTTTGCAAAAATAATTGGAATAGTTGTTTCGAATACTCGATTTGTTTTGTGACTTGTTTTTTTTGTATGCCTTGCCCTGTACCTGTATTCTTGTGTCACATCGTACTGTCCCTACATGTAATCGTGAAAACTCCTGACCAGCTGGTATATTTCCAGATGGCGTCCAATCCATTGATTTTCAAATAAACAAAACTGTTTTGCCGCTATCTGATCTGAGTATTTGGCCAAGTTTGGTCCCTTTTTACACGCATGCACGTGGGCACAGTCACAATGTAGCTTCCCTCCAAGCCTTCTGACCGAGTTCTGTCCTGTTTCTTCGATGGTGGTCAGCGTGAGAAGTCTAACGTTTTAGACTTCCGGTGACTGATACTGGTGATAGTATTGTTCTTTTGTGGTCTGGTCAGCAAAAAAATGTGCGGTGAACTGAATGCTTAGCATGTATGGGCTAGCTCGAAGTGAAAATCCCTACTGGGATCTTCTTCCTGTGGTTGCAGGGACTAATTTACTTCAAAAAAATTGCATAGCAATAATTGCTACACACCTCGATGTTTGCATAGCAACGCAACAATTTTGCATAGCAGTTTTTTTCCGTCGACAATGCAGTCTTCAGTGCACTTCCACTTATACCGTCAACAAACGCCATGCTGCCTCAAACCACGAAGCGAGGACGCCTTCTCCCTGCACATCTTGCAAAATATCTTGGTCACAGCTCCACCACTCGACTCTGCGCGAATCCATTCTTTTTTGGGATCAAATTCAGCAATCCACTTGTCCACAGTACCTTGCTTCACAGACATGCCGGCAGTGAAGAGGCTTCATCAATAAGGCTAGCAGAATTTTACAAAGATAAGTCCTGAACGGTCGAGACGCCTACTGCTAGTGAAGCAACGCGGTCTAAATCTCAAAAGCAGGTGAAGTACTTGTCGACACTCGCCTCGTGCTTCCTGGGCTGCACTTCAAGTAAATATTAGTTAGTTTCCAAGTGCACGTGCTGCGGTGCGCGTGCGGAGATAGTGTGACATATGGCCATGGACCATGGTCCCGCGGCCCGCGCGCGTGCGTATGGTGTAAAATCTACCTGCAGTGCAGGCTGGACAACCACACACACACAGTCTAATCTAGTCACAGTGCATGGCGCGCCATCTCGTGGCGCCAAACCAGCCACACACACTGTAAAGCTACACATGTGCATGCGCTACGCGTGCACTACAAGTCTATGTCCAGGGCCATACTTAGCTGTATGTTGTGTCGCAGTTTACCGCGACTCACTACGAACTTCGAATCGCAGACACTGTGTTTTGCGTCGCAAATTGCGATGCGATACCGGTTAAATTAGTCCCTGGGTTGTACTGTATTGGACACCACGGCTTTGTCTGGTCGACGATGGTAGTCATGGTACACACATTGAATGTGCTCTGCGCAGTACTAATAAGAGCTTTGTATGCGGCCACCTGTAGTATGTAGAGTGGTTGGTGGGTTGCGTGCGCACGCGTGCGTGTGTGTGAACACGTATTGCACACATGTTGTGTACCGGTAACTGAATATTCGCCGGTGGTTGGTCTTATCCTGTGACTGCTGTTCACATGTTTTTCCCACCCAGAGAGCGGATGAATTCTACACCTGCTGACGACGAGGACTACTCCTCTTCGGACGAAAGTCAGGAGGATGAAAGCGACTACTGCAAAGGTATTATGAATGCAGGGAAAGCAGTCATATGAATGCCAGCTTGCTATCAAATGCTTGTGTAACGTGGACGTCAACGTGCTGATCACCTTGAACTGTTTCTTAGGCAGCTTTCCGTATTGGCAGTGAAAACTGTCAAGACGACCACTCTGGTGTAGTAAGGCGATAAGCTAGCGTAGAGGACCACTGGAGCCAGGGCGAATTGGTGTTGTTACCAGTCACTTGACCTTGGATGAGGAGATCCCCGAGTGCAACGACCTTATTCTGGGGTCCCGTGAACTGAACACTTGCCGTGGACGGGCTTTGCTGTGCAGGTTTGAGCTGTTAAGCTCTAAATGTAGGAAACGTCAGCTCAATCGCTGGGCGACGTTTGTGAGAAACGCGGTATCTTGTATAGGAGTATCTATATACTAGTAGTAGTATAGAAAGGTGACACACCTTCGGGTACCCTTGGGTCGCTGGCTTCTTCATTTTATGTATGCACCCACTAGTCCAGTACAGCTGTATTTGACAATTATTTTTGTACAGCAGCATGTACTATGATCGGGTACATGAGCTGTGTCATTTGCACACCGGCTTATAAATGGCCATTGGTAGTGGTCGCCTTTTTTCTATGGTAAGTAAGAGGAGAGCAATTCTTTACTGTATGCTGGGCCAGTACTGTGCATAGCTAGCATGCGCTTGCAAGTAGTTGTGCAGTCATCCAGTCTTGCTGGATTGCTTGCCACTTCGCTGCATGTTATAATTATGTCCTAGCTATTCCGAATTTGATCCTAGAGGGTGGTGGCGTTCCCACGGCGGATGCGGAAAACTCGGCTTTCAGCCGAGTCTCACGCGAACCGTGAAATTTATTTATTTATTCCGAATCCTGCCTCCACTGGCTGCTTACAGTAGCTGCTTGGTACTACGCGTGCAGTGGGTACACCGCCATGGAGGGTGTTCTCTGGGTTGCTTTGGAATGAGTTACATGTATATGCAGTGGGGGAGTTTAGGAGAGCCCCGACACAAGCAAAACACATATTCTTTGATTGTTGGTATACTACTAACCGGTTTCACTGTTTTTTAACAGATCATCAGAGTGTAATGAAAAAGTAATCAAAGTAACACAATTTATACTGGAAAGGCGGTTACCCGCAAATGTAACTATAGAGGTTATGCGATAATGTCAAATCCGCCATATATGGGAGCCAGTTGGGGTGGCAAAATGCCCAAACCGGGTACAGAAACCCCTTATATAGAAGAATTTGGGGTCGCAAACGTACTATATGACGTGTATCGCATAACCTCTATACTATAGTACAAGTGGGCCACCAAAAAGCTAGGGGCCCCAAGTGCGCGGGGGGGGGGGGGGGGGGGGTCCTATGCTATGACTTGTACATGTAGTAGAAAATGTGTATGTGTAATTGGAATTTCTCAGAAATCTACAACTGTGTACATGCCATGCAAAACGTTGTATTATGCCAAAAATGGATAATTTTGTTGTATTATGCCAAGAATGGATAATCATGTTTGTCTGGCTAGTTGCATGCAAGTTAAATAGTACAAATGGTACGAATTATTTGTACAAGTCAATATTTGGTAGTGACAACTAATTTGTTGGCACTACCAAAATGTTTCACACCAGTGTTGCCCTGCAGTCACCTGCCTGCTTCGGTTTATATATAAACGGCAGTGTCCCACTGGTGAAAAAAATACATGTCCCTACGTGCTTACACATATGTGTGTGTGTGCGCGTGTGTGTGCGCGTTGATTGCAAAAGACGGTTGTCGAGGCCACAGAACTTGCAACGCCATGCCTAATTCTGTTTACTTTCGATTTCTCTCTCTTTTCTTGGCGTGTCCCACTTCTGGGTGTGTCATTGCCCGATAGGGTAGCTGTACATAGTAGTAGTAGTAGTAGCAATAGGGTGTTGATCTGTGTGTGTATGTGTATTGCTCTGTGTGTGCATTGCTCTGTGTGTGCATTGCTCTGTGTGTGCATTGCTCTGTGTGTGCATTGCCCTGTGTGTGCATTGCTGGCGTACGTAGGTGGGTATCATCCTGTGCAGATCAGCGACATGTACAATGAGCGTTACGTTGTCGTTCGCAAGCTCGGCTGGGGTCACTTTTCCACCGTTTGGCTCGCTTGGGATGTCCGGTTAGTCAATGCACCTCCCATGTACTGTATGTGTGTAGGCGCATAATTATGGTTGTTCATCTGTATCATTGACATTGCACCTCCCATGTACTGTATGTGTGCGCCTACACACATAAGGCCTAAACAAAAAATAGGCTTGTTTCCGGTCGGCAACCCCTCAAAAAGGAGACTCGGTCGGCCGGAATGAAACTTTTTTTGGATACTTTTTTTTTGGTTCCTCAATCGTTGTGGTATTGATGGACAAGAGCACCTACACATGTACATTGTCATGGCAAGGATCAATGTCAAAGTTGACTGACTCACTGTTCTTGTACAGCATGGGGTGTATTCCTGTTTTCGTACATTCTGAGAAATCAAGCAAACAGTTCGAGTCCTTCCAGCTCTGTTTATCTAGCTCGTATCGACCCCGGAGGTTTTCGAGCCGACAGCTGAGAATCTCTGCTACCTTGTAGGTGTTTCGATTCTGGAATTCGGTTGAGATATGACTGAGTTATGACTCGTTGAGTGCACTTGCACACATGGCATTGCCACCGTTTGTATACATTTGGGACCAAAAAAAGTTTCAGAATTTGGGAAAAAGTGGCCTGGTCGGGCGACCGGAAACAAGGTCATTATTTGTTTTGGCCTAATTATTATGATTGTTCATCTGTATCATTGCAGTGCTATACAAGCATTCCGACAGTGACCCTGTGTAGGTGACAGTTTTCATGTAATGTCATTGTCACTCTTAGTATAGAGCAGAGGGACACGGTGCTGGTGCTGGGTATGACGAGCCAGACCAGTCTCCACAGTATTTTGTTAGCACTGTAGTGTGTTGTTGTTTGGAAGACGGAATGCCATGACGTTGTAGCAGAGTAACACTAACACAGCCTGGCTGTGTAACCCGATACGGAGTAACACCTGTGGTCATGATAACATAACTCCTTTATCATCTCCTTGTTTGGGAGTACATGAAGCCTTGTTCTGACACCCTACTCTAAACACAGAGTTTGTTAGTATTATTCAGATAGTAAAAAAGGAGAAGGACCAAATGTTACGAGTTATGACTAACTGTCCACCAATGTACCCAGATCCTTTTTTACCATAATTAACCCTTTACCTTCTGACCATAATTCCCAGGCAGTTCCACATGCGATATTTCTCACCTCATTCTGAGAATATCTTTGGTTATAATTAACCGATTTTCACACTCTTGGGCATTCTGGAAAGCTCTCCACGAGCTGCGTACAATGAGCTCAAACTGGACACTACTGAGATCACATATCCAACGCCAGGGTGCTTCAAATACTCCCCATCGCTGGGTATCCAAAAAAATTCTCTCCTCTTCAGCCATTTCTCACTCCTTCATCGTAAACATTTCAAATTTGTTGTCCTGGGTTTCTTTTTATGCTGCCCACGCGCTCAAAACATGCACAGGTGACTCAGCATGTCAGGAGAGGGAAAATCCCCAGCTCAAGGCCAGTCACTCAGAAAAAAATCGACTTTTGCCGTGGCTGAAATGTCGAGCGCGATATCTCTGGATTGCGGCATCGCAGCTCTTCGCCGATTGTTGCAACGAACAGCTGGGCTCTTCGGCTTCTTCCTACATATTTAGGTTTTGAGATTCCGTCAAGAATTGATCGAGTTACGAATGTTTTAGTGCATGCATGTCCATCGACCAAATTCTGTCGATTCATGTACACACAGAAGGTAAAGGGTTAAATTGGCTCACCATCCGTATGCAGATAGTGTTCTCTGTTCTTTTATTGACCGCGAATCACCCAGTGGTAGTTCTACATTTCTACTCTTGGTGTCCTCAGTCTCATTAGTACTGCTCCTATCAATATTAGCAGGAGTACATAACCCCCCAGAGTGCACAACGCCTGATCCAGCTCTGCATAGGGTCTTGGTCGAGCGGAATCGGATCTTTGCGTCATAATACCGTACACATCTGAGGGGAACCCGGGGAGTCGCGGGTACTCTTGGATCAAAAACAATGGTGCCCTGCCTCGAGACCGGCCTTGCGCTGGTGTGGAGTGTACGCATGACATCAGAAGATCCGATTCCGCTCGACCAAGACCCTATGCAGAGCTGGATCGGTGTTGCACACTCTGGGGGGTTATGTACTCTTGATATTAGTATAAGGGCTATACTGTCGTGAATTCTGATGCTTTAAGTTTGATGTTCTGCCACAGAGGGAAAACCCACGTTGCCATCAAGGTTGTAAAAAGTGATGAACGGTATACCGAAGCAGCTGCTGACGAAATTCAGCTTCTTGAGAAGGTAAGTGAGCTTGCCACACTGCAACTACTCTGCTGCTTATCTGGCCAGTTTGCATTCAGGTTTGTTGCTTGTTGCCACAAGTAAGTAGGCAACATTTTCTTGGGGTGGAGCCCATTGCACATTGTAATTTGTAGCCTCCAGGCGCTACTGTGATTGTAGCAAACCACTGGGTATTGTCTGCTTTGCTATCGGCCCGTGCAGGTGCGTAGTCTGAAGGGAGCGCAGTCGTC